CGATAAAGCCTTTGAACTTTGTTGATACAATTTAGCTGTGTGGCTGCTCGGAAAGCTCTCCCGACAAACAAACCAACATTTTAGGCTCGCAAATGTACACAAAGACTGCGCCGCAAAATCAATAAATCAACAATGGATGATTTAATTAACTTCTGCCTGCTTTTATTATCAAATTTTATGAAACATAAGAATATAACAAGGAAACGAGCAAAAACTCTAAAAATGTTCATAATTTTCTAACGCAAACATAAACTTTATTCAGAAAATATAAAAAAATACGCGTTTATAAACTAAACTATTAAAAAAAACACCTAAAAAAGTTGATCAGGAATTCTTTAAGGTTAGGAACTTTCAACATAACCATATATTCCACTTTAATCTCTTTTAATCATCATTTTAACTTTTATTACTTAATATACGAGTAAAGGCAAAAAAAAATTTTTTTGCATTTTTTCTAACAAAATAATGAATTATTTTGGAATAAAGCCGAATATTTTTAGTGCAAACAAATTGTAAGTTCTAGTGGGTAGGTGATGCACGCGTCGGAGTCTGAAGTGTTTATTTTGAAACATGCCAACCCTCTTCTTCGCTGTGGACGCACGGACACAGTCAATTACGAAAGGTAGAAACGGGAAGAACGGCACAAACGTGTTGTGTTCAAACACAATCCCACGCTCTACACCCTCTTCCCTATGTTACGGAAGGCGTAAAGGTCGTCTCGACGTTTCTGTTTAATGACAACGTTGAATTTCGGCAAGTCAATGATGGGCGTCTGGAATTCACGTCTGCAATTGCAAAACAACGTAAATGGTCTTGAATTTATTAAGGTTCAGGTATTAAATACGCACTCTAACGGTAAAAATATAAATTAAATTTTATTATGAGTATTGTAGGTAAACTAGTTTTTAAATATACAAATTGAACTGTCAGAAACAGGTGAGAAGTGAAAATAAATAACTGTTTCATAAACAAATATCAATTGTCCGAGATAAATAGTTAACGCTCGCTTGAATGCCCGAAACATATCACCACTTTACTTTACGTCGAGGCAAACGTAACTTTTTGGGCATAACCACACCATAGACCATAAATTTCCGACCCGCGTTCACAATATCGGCCAATAATACTGTTGGGCTGCGACCCTCGCATAAAATTTTCACTCTATTCCACCACAGTGTTTTTTTCTTCTCTACTCTGCTCGGTTTTTTTTTTCGTCGCGCGCAAAAAGTTGACGCACCAAACGTCATTTCCAATTTAAAACATTTTCATTTAGACGAGCTTTTCCCAATGCGCATTGAAAACTTTACGCAGCTCATAAGACTCGCAATGGCTTCATTTTAGTGTGTCACGAGGAAAAAATTCACTTAATTCACAAAGTTGGCAAAAAGTTTTTCTATAATGGTGGAAAATTTACGAGCGTTTAAAAGAAAATTACATCGCAAACCGGAACAAACCAATATTTATTTAGTTTTTAATTTTTAGCAATATAAAATTAATTAATATAAAAAAATTAGTAAAATGTTTGTGCAGAAGATAAAACAGTTCAAGCTAATAAAACTCGTGCAAATCATGCCAGTACGATTACGATTACTTCAAGCTAATCAAATTTAATTATCGCTTCTTCAGCTTTACGCCCCGCTTTCACAATCACACTCCACCCACGCCAACTTACGATAGTAAACTACTTTATCGACACGTGAATTAGCAAACGTAAATTACGCAGACTAAAGTTGGAATTTGTTAGAATATTAATTAACCATTTGCTGACTTTCTAATCCTGCATGAGATTAAACTCTTCAAGTGCAGTTTGCATTCAGTTCAGCAACCGGTTTTAATTTAAATTTATATTTATAATTAGAATATATAAATTATAATCAGTTGCAAACAGTGGTGCACGTTGAAAATCTGTTGTTATGAATATTTACAATAAATTGAGATGCACGGAAGTGCGCAGTGTAGCGTGAATGAGCAGAAGGTTAATTAAACTAGAACAAAGAGAGACCCACAGGGTGAGTGAAACGCTTCTATAATTGGCGGTCGGTTTTGTGGTTATTTTACCAACTAAATGAGAGAGGCAGTAATGGAAAATTAATATTTAATTTACAATAACCGTTGCGTTGCATATTTCACAAGTTGTAACTTATAAAGGTTTTTGTGACTTGTATAATGTGAAATTGAGTATAGGCAACTTATATTGCAGTACGACAACGCCACCTAATTAAATAAATTTATTTTGTGTTATACACTTGGTATATTATTAATTTAGTATAATATGAAATGTAAAATACATTTGATAGATGTCAATTTACAGTAAAGTTTCACAAGTATCCTAACTACCCTTGGTTAGCACAAAGTGCATGCTTGCATTGCGCTGGCGGCGGTAACGAGGGCAACTGTAATTAGTTCATGTCCTCAACTCGTTCCCGCCTACATTTTCAGCACGAAACAACTTTTAACTTTCAACTGTCCAAAACTATAACCTATTATTTATATCTATTACAAAATCAGAACACGTGTCAAAAACTGTGCGAAAACTCGTTAATTTTTAAGCTTTTTGCAACATTTTGTTATTGTTTATGAAATTTGTAAAGCTAAACTTTTGATAGTTTCAGCATTTAATTAAAAGCTGCCTTGTGAAAGCGCCAACCAACTTATACAGATTAATAATTGCATTAGTAAACAAAGCTTTCAGCCTGATTGATACATTCTCAAGTTGACGGTACGCGCAGGTTGCCAACTTCCAATCGAATATAAAATTTAATTTATTACATAAACATCTATCGTGCTTTAAGCACGCCGCGCAGGTGAAACGTGCTAGAAGTTTTGTTAGCACAGCTTTGAACTGAAAGCTCGTTCATTAATATTAATAATTAAATTTTCTTACCTTACATAACCTACTATTATATATCCATATATACTACACGTATGTAAAATGCAATTTGGGTTGCATATCATAAGATATTATAATAAAACTGCCACGAAATGTAATTAGAAACGTTAAAGTCCAGTGTACTTATTGGAAGAGATAAAATTCATCCCCTCGGGTTGACAAGCATCTTTTATAGCTTTCCTATGAGGTGGTGCTTCGAGTTGAGCCAGAGCCTAGATGCAGGGCGTTTGGCACGCTTTGCATTCATCCGACTTATATTTGCATAGCATTGAATATTCATTGTCGTCGGAAGGACGAGACAGCCGCAAAGGATTCCTTTATAAAATGCAGATGGATGCGCGCAGCGCAATTGGACCGTGCTCGAATTCTCGACAGCTCAAGCCCACCTTCCGGAAACATTTCCAACGTCGATATGGATATGCGATATGTCGGAAAGAAAAATTCACGGAATTCCCTGCGTTCGTAAACTTTATGCATCGATGGTTAGTTTATTCGCCTACAGCGCATGCGAATTTCATTCACATTCACATAACCTATAAAAAACCACTTAAAATTTTGTTTGTTTTAATGTCTCAGATATTAATATTAATATTTACCGTAATTATATTCACCGTACATGACGTAATGAATGTAATTTACCACGCATTCGCGTTTGTTTGCATATAACATGTTCGCGTTTGAAGTTTGCGCTGGTTGGCTGCATGTTTGCTGAAGAGCTTCTCTCATCTTCTGCAGGACGATGGCGTCTTTATTTCCGCGGCACGTGGAGCGCATCTACAAAATTTGATTAAACTAATTCCAAGACACTCAAAGTCCTGTAATCCCAATGTTTTAGTTTACCAACAGCGGCAAGTTAATACGCTCAAGCAAAATTTGCATTTCGGTGATAACAAGCGAGTAATTATGTGAAAACTTACACAGACTATCATCTAACCTTTAAATAAAATTTTCGTAAATTATTTTAGGTTATAACGTGTTAAAACTATCAACATAACCTCTAATCTAACAAGGGTGATTGCATTTATCCTTCTAACAATGCCCTAGCTTTTGTTAAGCTTCAGTTTATCAGTTTATCAGCATTGAGGCATCTCTGTGGGCACCGAAATCCTCACAGAGAGGATTTAAGAAATCTACGACGTGATTAACAAGTCAACATAGATTATATACAAACATCCTGAATTTTTAAATCAAATAATTAGTTGAAATGCCAAATTTTCAACTTTTCTTTCGGAGAAATAAATTTATTTACCAATCATATTATGGAAAGTTAGAGTCGAGTTAAAAGTGACTCAACTAATGGAAGCAAGCATACAAGATACGACTACGAAGATACCAAAAGTTAAAGATTCAAAGTTCGGCAAAGAAAGTGAGTGTATGAGAAGCACTCAAGCAACAATCTGCTTGCATGCAAAAGTTAAGGTCGAAAACTTCGCATCGACTTCGTCATCGCACTGATAATGAAGTGAATGAACATTGAGTACGAAAATTTTAATTTACTGTTTACGTATTGAAGATATTTGAAGATATATTTGTATCTTAAAATTTCGATTTTGGAAGGCATCGGATTTTCGTCAGCGGGTTGATTTACTATATTATTCATGAGTGAAGAATGTAGAATGAACGTGTAAGATACAAGATACAAGCTACAAGTACAAGGCGAAAGCTCTTGGTACCTTTGTTATTTGATGTCTTAAAGCGCACACATGCGTTGCCTCTCACACGTAATTTAAGGTTGTACAATATAAGCGTTTAATTGATGAGGTAATTTGAGTATTTAGTTTAGTAAATTATTAATGCTCTAAATCTTAAGGATAAATTTGACGTGTAGTGTAAGAATTTATGGATATTTATTAAAATTGCTTTTAATACTGCATTTGATTTTTTCGCTTGATTGAACATAATATTCCCTTGAAAGAAACGAAAAATTACATCAAACGAATCGAAAAAGTCTCTTGTGCTTACGTGGCCGAATTCTTAGCCGTTTTGGATGAGTTCCAACCGAGCAACGAGCTTTATCTTACAGATAAAAGCACGAACATCTTATAAAGAACGTTTTTAGTTATAAAATATTTAAAACATAAATATTTATTATGTTTTTTGTTTGTTTCAGAATGAAGACTTGCAAAATGCGTTGCGAGAGCTTTTGGACAGCGAAAGAGAAGTTTTGGGAGCAAATGCACAATACTACGACTGTTTGTAAGTAATATTATCTAAAGTATAGCAAAAAATGTTTATATAACGAACACGTTCATTAATATTGCATAAATGTACTGGGTATTTACGATTGTGTGGGTCGTTTTAATTTAAAACTTTTAATTAATCGCGTTTTATAAGTACCTATAGGAAATAAAAAGTGAAGTATAAAATGTCGTTGAAATAATGCGCGCAATGAAAATATTTGTCAGGCTACATTTCCCTGCATTCGAAACGAATCCAATTTAATTTAAAGTTGAGTACTTTGGAACTTTAATAACCCGAAGGCAGTGTCTTTACGCTCACTTCTACGTATTTATTAATTTTAATACGTTTGCGTTTAGAGCATTATTAAAGTCAGCTGCAAACACGTCTGTGATTGACAAGCAGAATATCTGTTAAATTTATATTTATTACTATTTATTATTATGAATAAATAAAACAATAGAAAATTATCTAATTGAGAATATCACGTAAATTCAGAATTTTTAATTCGTTTCTTTTTAAATTTTTTAATTTCCGGGATAATCGTAATCGAAATATTGAGAAAATTTTATTAATTTACAGTACAGTCAGTATCACATTATTTATTAATAGTTTAATTAAAGTGTCTATGAATATCTCAAATTAAAGAAAAATTTTTAAAGAAATAAAGAAAATTATTTATAAGAAGACCTTTAGATGTAGAAGAAGAAAAAGGAAAAACGTAATTAATTAAAGTAAATCCGTTCGAAGTTTTGCGGTCAATGGTCATAATACGAGATGGTGGATAATAAAAGCTCGAGGATGGCAATTTTTATGAGCCGATAAAAGCGACTCATGAAGAAACGCTAAGGCAATGATAAGCGAGAAAATGTTGAGGAGTAGATGATTTAATAAACAAACAAAATATAAACATATTTAACTTAATCCTTTTCATATAAGCAAATAAATAATTAATATAATATAACAAATATAACAGTTTCAAATTACATAAATCCACAATTTTATATACTAAAATAAAAATAATATTTTCTACACGGAATTCACATGATTTTTAATCGAGCACTAATATTTTGGTTGATATACATTTATAGCAAGTTATTTTAAACTAAAACTTTAAACATCACATATGCGATGCATAAAATTTTCAATCAATAAACAATTTCTATCGCTGCAAAACATATTTTCTCACGCAAATAAAATTCAGGTATTTCCCTGATGTAGCAAAATAGTTTCTTTAAAATAAAACGCATAGAAATCATTTTCAATACTCAGCATTTATGATTTTTCTTTATTTCTTTACTTTACATCGTTGGAGAATTGCAAAATTTCCACTCGTATTTTGCCTTTTGTGTTTTATTACTCGATCAAAAAACACCTCTGCTTACTGCTCTCTGCTCACCACACACCGCAAAAGGTATAAACGGCCATCCCGTTCGTTAATTGGAATTTAATTGCAACAATGCTGGGGCGGTGGAAGCGAGCGACGTTCGCGCTCCAGCGAGAAAATAGCGTAAAGGGGTTAACTAACAGGAAAACGCGCGTGAAAGTGGAAAGCGAAATAAGTTTCCCTCAGCTCGCCTGCTGGGCGATTGTTACATTCTTGGAAACGCGCCAAAATCAACCGACTGGCACCATGCGACAAACGCAACCGCTTTAATTAAACAAATTTATGATAATTTCAATTCACCCCAGCTTAATAATAAATTAATAATTATCACATAAGATAAAAATTAATATTATACCCTGTATAATCAAAATTATTTTTGTCCAGACACAAAAAGACATAAAACAACTATAAATACTTTATGTCCATGGGATATTTTTTTCTTTTTTTATTTCTTTTAATAACCCGGCGCCTCCATCATTTATTTCTATACTGGTTAATTACTCGCGTAAATACAGTTTTATTTTATGAAAATACTAAAAATTTATATTTTTGTTAATTACTTGTTTCAATATGTAAATATCGAAAATATTTATGACATATGGATTTACACGGATTACATGAATGTAAATTTCGAAGCCCAACACAAAACCGGAAGTAAAACGTAGTCAGCACACAAACTGCAACGGAAATATACGATATAGGAAGGATATTGGTCAATATTTGATCTGTGCAAGCAAGTTGGGAATTATTGGCATCGCTCAAAGTCATTTCCAGATTGAAAAAACGTAAAAAAATGTTTTTTGGTGGAGGCGCCAGTCTTGTTGACTCAATACTCGCAAACAGAAATCTATTTGAATGTCTATGTTTTGTTTTGTTATCTGAATTATATCTGCAGATATAGATATAAAGGAAAAATGTTGTGTCGGCTGAAAAAAATGGGTTAAATTTATTTTTTACTGTTGAATGTTGAAAGAATTTGAGATAAGACCGAAGAATAATAAATCGAATAAAGAACGAATGTGGTTAACGTGAGCATAAAACGTAGATGTTATTTTTTACGGCTAAAAACGTTCACATCCTCATAACTTTTGAGTACATTTTGAGTAAAAGATGTAGAAGTAAAAAAAATTAAATTACGATTGTGTTTTTTGCTTGTTTCAGGTCTGTTTTACCCGAAAACGTGACCGAATGCCAGAACTACGCCTATCTTGAAGACATTTATGATATACTGACCAAAAATCCAGGTAAATTAAGTAATAAACCATAAAAATTTCGTTTTTCCTTTTATCTTCCTTTAAAATTGGATTAAATAAATATTTAGAATGAATACATTTGCCTGCAATTAACCTCCTTGAGTTTCAAATGCAAGCTTTACTTTCCTAAAACCTTTTTTGTGAAATGTTTCCCCTTTACCCTCAACGCTCAGCGCGCAAAAAGGATTTATGGGCACGGCGAGTTAATTGAATTTTAATGCGGTTGCAGATGTGGACGAAAAAGACTTCGTGGCGAAATTAGGTAAAACGCTGATAGAGCAATCGTGCACGGGGCGCATCGAGCGAGCATTCGCCTGCCTCGGCGGCAATTTGCGCGAATTTCTCGCCACATTAGACGGCGTCCACGACGTGCTGCAGCATCAGGATGAAGACGCCGACGCCGCCACGGAGCAAACCGAGGCCGGTTTCGTGTGCACCAGCAACGCCGACAATCTGCAGCTGGATTTCACCACCGAACAACGCTCGGTTGCATATTTGTTGGTTGGCAGTCTTAAAGCACTTGCAGACAAACTATATTCAACCCAGGTCGATATTGACGTCACACAAAATAAACACGATGCTACAAAGTTTCGGTGAGTGCATAAAGTATAATATTTAACAAGAATATAAACAAATTTCTTTTCTCTGTTTTGTTTTTTTTGTGATATTGACATAAAATTAATGGACAGACATAAAACGACCATTACCGGAAAAGAGTTTTTGTTTACTCTTCGGCTTGTGTAACAAAACATGCAATAATTGCTTTCTTTTCATCGGGGACGCGTTTTTCGCTCGCTTGTTTATGTTTTGCGCTCTGATTCCAGATATAAAATCAAGCCGTGCACAAAGCAGGCGGACGTGGTGTCCCCAACAGACGTCGCATCGTCGCCCGACCTACGAATGGGCGTCGCGACCTTTTGCAAAGCGTTCCCGTGGCACTTCGTTATGGACAGGCGATTGGAGCTTGTGCAGTTGGGCGCTGGCTTCATGCGGCTATTCGGCAGGCTACTCAAGACGCTCGGCACCGCTGTGCACACATATTTTAAGTGCCATCGTCCGAAGAACATTAATTTATCCTTTGAGGATGTACTCAAACGCGCCAACACTCCTTTCGTCCTTGCTATACGTGATTTGAAACAGGATGCACAAGGACAGGTAAATGTTTTGGATATTATCATAAAAAAACATTTTTTTTGAATGAATGGTGAAATATTAAAAAAAAATCATAAAAACTTCGATTGGAGAGGAAAAAGCGTTCATTAGTGAGGTTATGTCACAAAATTGTTTTTTACCGTGTTTTCAAATAATATTTTTCAACTGAAGCATTGATTTTTAAGCTGAAATCCATGTTTTGAAGCAAAAATTCAACCAAATTAAAAACAAAAATTCTAATAATTAACGCAGTTGACTAAAATTTTTATAAAATAGTCAAGTATAAAATAAAATTATTAGATATATTCGGTAAAACAACATTTTTTCCTAAGTAATTCCTAATATATGGAAAATTTTCAAGAAATCGTAAGAAAAATACTTCATTAGTGAAGATATGTCACAAAATTGTTTTTTACCTTGTATTCAAATAATATTTTTCAACTAAAACATTGATTTTTAAGCTTAAATCTACGTTTTGAAGAAAAAATTTCACCAAATGAAAAATAAAAATTTTAATAATTGACGCAGTTGACTAAAATTTTTATAAAATGGTAAAGTAGGTACTCGTATAATATAAAATTATTGGATATATTCAAGTAAAACTACATATTTTGACAAATTAATTCTTAATATATGTAAAAATTTCCAGAAAACTTAAGAAAAATAGTTCATTAGTGAGGTTATACAACGAATTCAATGCAGTTACAGGTAGTACTTAAATCCTATGCAAATAATACAGTAAATTATTTGTAATATTGAATTATTCATGATGCGATACAAATGCATTTCGTGCTTGCGCAGAGAGTGCACAGATAGAGAATTCTCTCGTGTAGTTAAATCGAATCGATTTCCGTGCATTGCATTGGTTGGAAATCGTGAAACATTGAAACATTTCTACAGGCAATTTTCTCTATTGCCCCAGCTACACTGTAATTTCACCTCGGAGCGCAAATTTTTATTTAAATTCAAACAAACGAGTTCCCCCTCAACGTAACGTGTCATGTCTTTCACTGATTAAACGCTTAGTCAAAACCGGGAATTTCAATGTTAAGACTGGAGATAACGCAAATTTGATAATAAAATGCTTTGTTTTGACACATACGCGTAGTAAATTGCGTTTGGTCGCGCCCCATGAGCATTAAATGGTAATTATGCTACGATTACTACACAACGCACTAAATTCACCCGCTCTCCGTAATTGTAGAGCATTCAAATTCGCATTTGAATATAACATCTGAAAATTTAATTGGATTTATTTGCTTTGTTTTGAATTTATTGCTGAATTTTTTATGTGTTCGTGAAAACATATTTTTTATTTCATCCGTGGAACGTCTTTGTCGTGTTTGGGAATAGAAGCTTTAGTTCTATTTGCGATTGTGAAACATGACACGCATAACCGAGAGGAATGAAGGATCGCACGGAAAACAAGATGATGTATGATGGAAGTCGGAATATAAAACCAAAAATTCACCAACCTCGCCCCTTCAACCTTCGCTAACCTTTGGAACTTATTGTTTTCGATAGTCAATAAAAAAACCTATTCGTTTCATATATTTGCACATAGATATATATAAAAGTATAATGTGTTGCATAACATTTTCAATTTGACATTTTACTAAAACCCGATTAAATAGTCATTTCCATGCGAAGATTTTCTCATCAAGCTGTCGTGTTGAATTCTCGGACGAGTCGCAATTTAGTTATATCAGTCGATGCCATCTTAGCAGAACTATTTTCGTCGCCGGAGCATTCGAATATTGGAGCAAAGATTAGAATCTATCGACGTTTGCTTCCTCTCCGGAGCAAAAAATATAGGCAACACATTCAGCAGCATTCCAACCGATGCGTTTCGCTATCTTCAGTTTAAATTCAGAAACTACCAACTACTAAACTAACATTGAAGTCGGTATATACCACTCGGCAGCAATTGAAGTCCGGAATAAATCAATATGGGTATATGCGTGGTGCTTTTATTAAAATTGCGAATGTATAGGCGTCGGTCAATGATGTTAACCGTCACCGACTCACACAAATTCCGATTAAATTAAAACGTCCCTCGGATAAGCAGCAGATATTTTCCTATGGCCCTTCAAACGCATACTTAACATTCAGGCCCTGAATGAGGGTTTAATAATGTATACACATACAGTGTGGGTGATGCGAGGAAACTATTCGCAATATTAAAAGACACTTTTCTCTCCGCAGGGATTGGAACTCAAAGGGCAAATGGTTTACTGTGTCGAATCGGATTCGTTGCTCTTCATTGGCTCGCCGTTCTTGGATGGGCTGGAGGGACTTACTGGAAATGGACTTTTCATCTCTGATATTCCTCTTCACGATGCCACTCGGGATGTTATCCTCGTGGGAGAACAAGCGCGAGCGCAGGTAAATACAAATAAAGTGTATAATGTATATTATTCGAGTGTATTATACAAAAATTGTGGTAATATCTCTCATGACTTACGTAATGCTCACTTTTAGAATGCCATTAATCTGTTTACCAGCCACAAACGGCGGTCATACTATTATTCTCATCTTGTTTTTCCCCGCGGTTCGCAACCCCGAAGTGGAACAAAAACAAAACAAAGAAGAGAAAAAAATCGCCGAATTTTATTTCGTATTACATACCAAAATATCATCATAAATCAACGCCCAAACCATTTCATCTCAGATAATTGGATTAATATGTTTGAATTTGGTAATTTTGCAACAACACAACTGGAATAAATAATAAATAATTTATCAATGATACGATTACCATATTTAACGTTTTTTTGAGTTTTTTCTTGGTATTCATCACTTTGGAAATTTGTCACGCGTCAATTACAGATCCGGGCTCAATCTAATCAGTATACAGCACGTTATGAGGCTCACGTATTTCGTCCTGGCCAGTTGGCCGCGTTCCCAAAGCAAAGAGGTTTTATCTGCGCGCATGCAAAGTTCTCCGCGCGCGCTCAAAAAGCTTTTCGGACATTAATTCGTAATTGTCCTCTTGACTCCCGCCCTTTGGCGTGATAAATTACTCATCTTTTTGAGAGCCTACAGTTTTTTCTTTATAATTTAAATTTATGTTGTGGCAAGTAAAAAAAATTGTGCTGAAAAATACGTTCGGTACTTGCACCACAACTCAAAGCATTGTCGTTTTTTTATTTAAACATACATAATTAGTAATTCTTCGTTTTAATCCCGAGTTGAACCATTATTAGCACATCCGAGGCGGGAATAACTGATCCCGATGGCGCTAATTACGCCGATGCTCGCTAAAACTTTCGGCGATTATGCAAAACCCGCACATGCCCACAACTAGTCCCTGCTATGTACCTGTGCGGTGTTAACAATTAAACTTTATTCGTACTTGTACTCTGCCCACATATACCGTGTGTGCGTTAAATAAAAGATTATCATTCGGGCAAACAAAGGTAGTGAGGTTATGTTCCAACCGGATGCAGTTTGCGAATGCTCAAATTGTGTACGCCCGCAGTGCCATAATATGGCTAACGTATTGCTGCGTGGTATCATCAGTAAATTATAATGTCGTTTACTGGGCGTGATGCATGTTCATGGTCCAACGAACAGCAACAGTTTCAGTTTCACGACCGGGAAAGGAAAGTAAAGTTACCGGAACAAGGACGAAACTGTAAGCCCCCGGCATATTGAACCTAGAAAATTTTACACATGAAATTTAATTATTTATAACTTATAATATAGATATTCATTATTATTCACTAGTGAATAATTATAGTTTTATATTAAAAAATATTTTTAAATTTTTTAATTTAAAAAACTGCACAGAATGAAATTTTTACAGTCAATATACTTGACTTTATTATATCTACATCGTACCCGTACCCGCAGGTCTGTTAAGAGATAACGCAAAGAGTGAAATATCCCACAAATGATTTATGGCCGGGTAACTTCACCTGCCCTCAACTTAAATTAAATTATCCGTCAATGCTATTATATAAGCACGTATATCAACTTGAATATTTCGATTTGACTATAAAACGAAACAACATTAAAGAAAGTGCACTTTAATGTTTGTCGTTTGTCGTTTGTCATTATAAATCGTTTTAACAGCCTGCGCCGACATAATGTGAACGCCAGTAAACTAAATAAAACTTTGAAATTTATTTTTAGGTTATATAGATTAAATGTAAGGTTATGTTTTGGGGAAACTGCGCCATCTGTTGAATGGGCGTTGAAAGTGAGATATACGGCATTATTATGATGATTGCCGAATTTTCGGCGCAATGATTGCGTTCATTCCGTTCATTCCCTCGAATTACATCCCATTGCGTTGTCAAGACGTCTCATTTTCGTTGCGGCGTGCTTTATCTCGACAATGGCCGCCGCCGTGCGCTGTTGCTTCCACCCGTCGAATCTTTTTATCGTACAACTTCCCATCAACGTGTGTGCGCGAGTGTTGAAAGGTAGGCAATAATATACACGCGCAATATACGCCCTTCTCAGTAAGGGGGCGGCAGGCAACCGGCAGGAGTGTGTTAATGGCATGTTCCAGCCGCGTGCGTGCATTTTATCTGTAACAACACGTCGCTGGAAAATCCGCTCACGACGTGTCTCTCGTTCGCAATTTCGTCGTGGAAGCTATATGCACACACACGTGATATTCTCAGCTAGATGGAAAACATGTCGGCCAACGAGAAGCGTATTAACAAATTGAGAATTGTAGAAAAATGCGCGATTTTCACAACCTGCTGCGTCCAATAAATTTCGGATAATCCCACACACTGTTGTCGGCAATTCGCGGCTACTTTTTTATTCTCTCTTTTCGGGGTGCAAGTGGGTTTAAAGTGCGCGCAAACCCGTCAAGCGCATCTGTGCTGGATAATACGCCGAATACGTTTGTTTTCACTTTAATTTTCGCCGTTTTAAACGTCTCACTTTGTATTTTTACTCCGGGGTTACTCTCAGGAGGAGATTTGTGTGTTTGGTGGTAATCTGTTTGGGGAAACTTTTTTACTCATCCCTTTCTAAAGCTTTTAAAGTAAACTCCGAGTTAGTTCGTAAATTTTAACGACAAAAACTAGAAAAAACCAACGTAATTCGTCTTCTTAATAACATTTGCTCTATTTTCAACTTATTTTATACTCTGCAACACGTTATATACTACATAACCTCAATATCTATCAATAGTTGTCATTTTAGTAGCTTCTAACCTATAATCTTTGATTGAATACTTATAATATACGTCAGTGCGTGTAATATTGAACATTAATTCATAGTGATTAATCGTTTGCAGGATGGTCTACGAAGACGCATGGATAAACTAAAATCCTCCATCGAGGAAGGTAACCGTGCCGTTGACAAGGAGCGAGAGAAGAACGTCAGTCTTCTGCATCTCATCTTCCCGCCCGACATCGCCAAACGCTTGTGGCTGGGTAAAATCTAATTTTAACGCGATTTTCGACGCGTTTATTTGCTTTAAATTCACAATATGAAGCCGGCTGATGCAATGTGGGTTGCGTCACTTAGATTGTAATTGAAATTGATTATTCCGCCATACTCGGAAAGCCGTGACTATTCAAGCATGTGGAGTTGTAGAGTTGTGGTCATGTCTGATTATTCAGATCGTTGAAATTCAGTAGAAATCAATCACGGCTTTGAATAGCATACGAAATTAACCAACATTATCAACATACTCATATAAACATAAAATATTAATTTTAAGGCTATACATGTCATATTTTCTGACATTTTGCAATCATTTTACTTGTAATTCTATTTTTTCAGGAGAAACAATCGAAGCTAAGACCCATGAAGATGTAACAATGCTTTTCAGTGATATAGTCGGCTTTACGTCCATTTGTTCGACGGCAACACCGATGATGGTGATCAATATGCTTCAGGAGCTGTACAATCAATTCGACATCTACTGCGGACAGCTGGACGTCTATAAGGTTCGTTCATCATTCTTTAGAGGTCATTATTATCTCCCCCTCGACCAGAAACAGACCATCAATCAAAAATATAATCATAATATCAATAATAACTTTGTTTACTTAATATTTTAATTAATCCAACGTACGGTTTGTTTACTTCCGTAAACTTAACAATTAGCCGGTGGAAATGGCTGAGAAGTTGTTGCGAAGTTTTTAATTAATTAATTTCACACGCGTACGCGCCGCGTAAAACTAAAAGGATATTGAAGTTAAATTTAATTAAGACAGGCTGCGAATAAATACGCTTGGTAAATAGCGTAGAATGCAAACAATGCAATACTTTTCAAAACATTAATATTTTCATAACGAGCATTGCATGTTCGCTGCCGATCGTAAACGCAAATTAGTGTCGATTATTTGCGTTTTGATGTTTTGAGAGTTGGGCTTTTAATTAATGTGCAGTGTTTGCGTTTCATTATGTTTATTATTACGCTAGTGGTTGCCAATTGAATGAGGAAAAGTAAAAAGTATTGAAAAAGAATAAAAAAATTGTGCTTTAAGAAAGCACGTTTTAGACACTGAACATTTGTCTGTAATTACTCGTGGTTTACGACGGGGTGAATTGGTCAACGCGCCTTTATCGTGTCTTTTATTCCTGCTAAGTTAGCAAAAAAACTTTTAGGAAGATAAAGGACGGGTTACAAGAACAATCAATATTATTTTCTTGCTTTTTGGATGAATTGCAAAGAAAATCAAAAAAAAAAGTATTTAAAAAATTGCTGTAACTCAAAAACTACAAATGCTACAGTTATAATTTTTTGTAAGTAGATGAATAATAATACAAATAATAAGATCATGTATTAAAAATCATTTTTGGTTTGTAAATTTATCTAAAAATTAAAGAAAACTATAAAAAAATTATTGAAATTATTGCAAAACAAATTTTTTTTTCATAAATCATACTAAACATGTGTAAAATCTTGTTATCTTCTATTTGCAGGTGGAAACCATCGGTGACGCATACTGTGTAGCTGGTGGACTTCACAAGGAGTCGACGACGCACGCTCAACAGATCGCCTGGATGGCGCTGCGCATGATAGACACGTGTAAATTGCACCAGACGCACGACGGACAGCCGATAAGAGTGAGCCCTGTCATGATTTATTATTATTACTTGCGGCGAGTGAATCTAAAAAACGAAGAACAGCTCGAGAGGTTTAATCACGCCAAGACTCAAAAAACCCGCTCACCTGAGTGGCGCTCGCCAGAACTCGGGGCGCAAGGAGCAAACATACAAAAAAAACGTCATTAATCATCCTCACTCTGTCATAGTCAAGATAATTTTGAGAACTTTACTTTACTTTAGCAAAATATTTTAATATAACAATGGATATTAAAAACCATCATGATATTTTGCTGTTTTTATCGGTGCAATGAAAGAAAATAGTGTTTTTGTAGTTATTCGTTAATTATGCAAAAACTATTTAATATTTGGTCATGGTTTTTATAAAAATCAGATAAAAATTAAATTCTGAATCAATAAACAAATAAATTTTATTAAAATCATATACTAATGCATAATTAATAGCATTTTTAAATAGGCTTTGAATTTTTTCGAAATTTCATTTTAATTATTAATAACTATTAGTCAAAAAATTTGCATAACACAATATTTACATAATTAAATGTAAAATTTTACACAAAATCTATTTTTGGAACGATTACGTCTTTAACCCTTATAGTTTTTGCATAATTAACCATTTACTATAAAAATCCACCTATTATGCACGCTAAATTCATTCTAAAAGAAAAATCACAACTTTACTTGTTTTAATATGAAAATAAATCTTGCGCATCCAAGCATGCAAGAGATTACAAAGCAGATCGTCAGATGGTTGCACGCGGCGAGAGGCTGCGCTGGCCGATAGCGAGCACAATATGTCCGCTTCGGCGAACTCGGGCAGTGATGAAAATTTAAATATGAAAAGCATTCGAAGCTCGCTTGCGCTGCATCCAACCACGGTACGAAATATTTCAAAAATGGCGGCCACAGGGGACAGAGACAATCGGTAATGTGTTGCGTGCGCATTTTTTCTCTCATTTTTGGTTTCTATTTCATTAGGGTATTGCCGAAACAAACGTTATGCAGCCGGGAATAACTGGCCGGGAAATGTAATTAAAGCGGGTGACTTCAATTAAAATGTTTGCTAACGATTACTGACATCGGGTTACATATTTAGTTGGCTTACACATATTTTCACTCACTATTAACAAGTTATCATTATAAAATAAACAAAAATAAATTAAAAAGCATTTTTACGTTGACCAGCGCCTCCACAATATACAATTACGTGTTAAAATAAATATAATATTTTATAATGAAAATACAAACACTAAAACATTGATTTATATAATAGTTTTTATTTTTATGTTACAGATGCGAATTGGTTTACACACTGGCACAGTGCAAGCCGGAGTGGTGGGTGTGTTGATGCCGAGATATTGCATGTTTGGCCACAACGTCACAGTCGCGAACAAATTCGAGTCGGGCAGCGAACCGCTTAAAATCAACGTCAGCCCCACGACGCACATGTGAGTATAAATGCCTGAATTGTCCGTCGTAAAATTCTCTTCTCGAGGCGAGTGAATAAAAGTTTAAATTCTGCGTCCCGGCGCTGATTTTTATTACGACTTTACTACTTTAACTGTAAATTTGATTTTATGCTCAATATTGACAAATTATGTTTGAATCAAATTGAATTCTAGCCAGATATTTAGCGAGTAATAGAAAAATATAAAAGCTCGGCGTGTTTAAATTTGTCCTTATTTAATTTATTACGTGGAAGCAAAACGTAGGGAGGCTAAAAGAGTGTAGGCAAAAGTCTAGAATGAAAATAAACGGAAATAAAGTGCTCTTGATGTTGGATGGTGAGGCGGGCAGCAGTAAGAAGGATATTGTGTTGGGTATTGACAGAGCGTACTACTCGAAATCCAAATAGACTTAGCGGAACATGAAGTTCTTCTTTTTACAAGAGTTGCTACACATCAAGATGTTATACTGCATTTCCTAAAAGAATTTTTTTTATATTTTTGATTATTCCAGCTAAATTAAATAAAAATTTGAAATTATTTTTATACATTTTGTAATACTAAATATTCTTAATTTTTTAGTAAAATAATTATAATAACTACATTAGAGTAAAAGTTATTGGTAATTTTTATTTAATTTTATGTAAAATTCAATTTCTTTTTTAATTGTTGCAACCATTTACAAAATACAAAGAAAAATTTAATTTTCTGTAGTCAAGTTTAATTTAAATTAATTTATATTTTCATTAATATTTAATTTGTTTATTTTTACGTTTAAATAATTCAATTACAGCGTTTTAAAATTGGATATTTTTAAAATTTAATGTTTTTAACTTTTTTCCTAGTGAAACCATGAATACCAAAAAAAAAATACGGAACTATACTCTATTCTAATCCTAGAATAGTTTACTGGCTGCTAGATTGATGATGTTGGGGTAATGCGTGAATAATGCGTTTGGCCAGCGTCGTCATAAAACCGCCCGCTATCGACGTGCGTTGTGATGGCGGAGGCGCCGTGTTGTAACCTTCATCACACAAAAACAGCCCACTTGTGCGCCCACAGGGAGAGATATATTTAAAAATTTATTAATATAATAATGGACACGCATAAATCATTCGCACGCGCGCTAAATATTATGTGATTTTTCGCGATATTTAAGCCGGAGATAAATTTGTTTCGGATTAAAAGCAATCTATTTTGATGTGTTTTTATTGGTTTTTATTTGTTTGGGTTTTCTCTTCTTTCTGCAGACGACTGGTAACCGGTGATGGGTTCAGCTTCGAGGCGCGGGACCGCAGCTGCCTCCCGAAGGACTTTCCGCCGAACGTCGAGGGCACGTGCCATTTCCTTACCGGATACGTCCATCCAGACGTCGCGCCAGGGGCCGCCCTGCGGGAGCACATCGCCGCTGGCGTTGCCGACATCGGGCTCAATTCCGACCATTAATTTGGTATACTTTGCGCTTACACAAATCACCACCACCATCACTGCTGAGTTTTATGCGATGCTTTTTTATTGATTAGTGTAGTTGCGCGAGAGTTATAGATGCATTTTCTTAGTTATTAATTAATTACTCAAAAACTATATAATTTAGTTTACTGTTTTTTTTGACAAAATATTGTAGGAAACTGTAATATTCAATTATAAATAAGTTTTTGAAAGAATCATAACTTTATCATGAATAGTTTTTGAGTAATTAAGAAATATCTAACCAAAAAGCTTTCACATTTAGATTGACGTATCGTGCTTATAACATAAAGATATTAATTATAAATTAATGAAGGGGAAAAGTGTGGTAACCTTTACTATGTAAAAATAATTGGACAAAACTTGTAATTACATGTACATACTTTCGAGTTTACTATGCTAAATACGCTAAATAGTCTAACTATGAAGTTTATCGCTAATTATCTTCGTGAAATTAGTCAAATTTTAATTGAAATATTTCTGTGACATTTCTGGTGATGACCTTTATCACTATGCCAAATTTGATGAATATCGGTTGGAGCGTTTAGCAGATAAGCAGATAAAAAGTTTATGATAATTAGACAAAAGTAACGCGTCACTGTGAATCGTCTTAATTAATTTCGCTTAGCCGGGTACGAGATTAATTGCCTCGGCCCTACCCCCAAACCCCAAACCGACATCGTGCGACACCGGAAGATTAAATCTACCCCTCGTTCCGCCATCATACATCTCCTAATTACATTCATCTCGAAATATCTAAAATTTCGCTTGTTTTCTGAAATTAAATTCGAAAAGCGTATAAATCACTCGAATAATTAACTGCGATTATTGCAATAACAAAGATCCAAGTCTGTGACTTTGAAAACAGCAAACAATTAATCACAATTATTTATTTCTAGCATTCTGTTCGCGATAGCACAAGTTGAATTCGAAAAAGTATTTTAATTGTGTGTGCACTTTGCGGCGGCATAATAAATGCGGTATTTTAAGACTTGCGCTGAGGTTGGCGGCCGGGCAAGTTGCGTTTCCGGTGGCTGGCGGCTGTCAGACTAAATCCGGAAGGCGTGCCAACGCCAGGCGGACAGGGCGCGTCGCTAGTTTAATGGAAAATATAAGAATTAATAGTGCATGCATCTCTGCGCGCGGCCATTACTCAAATGAGACAAAGTGCTCGCGCAATAATTTTAAATGCGTCGTAAATCAGGATTTTCTTCTTCCGGTTGGTTGTAGCGCATCTTTCCGTTATTGCAATCAGCGGCAGTTACACCAAGAGCAGCTGCTTAATTAGCATCGTAACGAAACTATTAACGAGGAGTAAAAAAACTGCGAACATGCTAATTATTTCAAGTATTCCGCTTTAATTTCCTCATGACACATTTCATCAAAGTGAAAGGAATGTAAAAAAGATATAAAAATCTATTTTACAAGTACATAACTTCAACTTCTTATTTGGGATTTTTAAAAAGTGGAATTTTTGAAAAATTGCATTTTCCTATAAATCATTTTAAATCAATTAAAATCAACTTGTTGAAGATTTATCTACGCTACAAATGAAAAATTTTACGATGCACTAATTGCATTTTCTTCATAAATTACCGCAAGTGCACGAATACCACAGGAATTTAATAGTTTTATGATAAAAAATGTATGCGTTAAGATGTAGCTGTTGTTGTTGTTCTTGTCGTGAATTACGCGTTTTGAATTGTTGTGCCGCGCGGTTGCGCGGTTTTCGGCGATGACGTTAATGGATGGTCCTGCATGGTGGTCCTGAACTTGTCGCGCACTCGCCTTGACTGAGTTCCACCCTATCGCGGGCGAACGCGCCTGTCAGCATCGCGCCAACAATTCCGGAGTTAAATAAAACTCCCGGACCCAAAACGCGAGCGAGAGATGAACGCCGCCGCACGCTGGATTTATTTATAGAATCGATGCCTGCCAGCCAGCCAGCCCTTCGCATTGTGTTATAAAACGGCCGGAATGAGTTGAAATCATTGATTTTATTCAATTTTTGTACGTCAATAAAAAATAATCAACAATACACGTACTCTCAGTCCAGTTTAAATGCGGTTGATCAACATATTTAAAGAACGAAATATTTTTGTTTAGATTTTTAATTATTACTCATAAAATATTTATGTTTAGATATATTTTTTGAGAGATTTAGGTTGGGGATTAAATTTTGCATCTGTTTATGAAAAGATTTAAAAATTTACTCATATTAAGCAATAACAGTTGATTAATATTTGTTATTAATAATATTTTCAAATGATGAAACGCGCAATTTATTAATAAATAGATATCTGAAGAAATTTTTAGTATAACTTAATTCGCTTTTGAAAAATTAGTAAAAAAATAACTTAAAAACTATAATTTATCCTCGTCGCAAGTTATATCAAACAAAATATCTATATATTATTGATTAATGATTTATGAACTTTTTGTTTTCATTTTTTTTTCCCTTTTATGTTTCTAAGAGTAATGGCGGAACGTAAACATCAATTTCTTTACAAATAAAAATTTGGAATGAAAGCATGACCAAGATAGAAATGTACAAAGTTGCTCCAGAATCACTAAAAGTACAAGACTTTTATGATTAACATAAATAATAATTTTTATTTCCCTTCATATATCTTACGAAATAAAAATCTACTAATCTCTTAAAGTTTAAGCAATAATTTCGTTGTTTCAATTGCCTCGCATGCGCCGTCGTAAACTGCGCTCGACCAAGCTTTATTGTGATTCGGTTATTGACTGAAATTAAGTATAGATTGCGTCATCCTTGAAAGTTAATTGAAATATCGGAAAAATTTGCTCGCGCAGTAAACACTACTCGACTACCCTCTGGATATCTACCTAAATTGGATATTTTTAAAGCCGACGTTGCGCGTAATTGATCAAGCTGATCAGCACAGGGTGTTTACACAAAACAATGAAGGGAAGACATAAAAATTTGATTTCATTTTGCATTCACCCTGTACATTAAGGACCAACATAATAAGTATTAAACTTTGCTGATATCTAAGTCTAAATCACGCGCCAAATATTAGAACTTAAAGCGTAAAGAATGAATTTTAACAGTTTCGATACTTATATCTATACATAATATACATAGTTAAGTATATCTTGAAAATAAAGCCAAATTTTACGACAACATACGAACTATAATAAAGACACTATACTGTAATCAAAAGAAAAAAGCAAGCAACTTTAATCGACAAAAATAATAAACTAAAATTGGCGTAAATGTGAAATTTCCAAAGCGTTTGTTCTAAAACTTTAGCGAGGCAAGCATGCTGAAAGCTCGTAAAGCGTGTGCGAGAACATCAAATATATATGATACTCGCAGGATGAGCGCGCGCGCGCAATAATAACATCACGTCGATGTTTTGTGATGTGTGAAGTTTGTTCGTTATGCGCCGGAAAATCGAACGTGAATACAAAAAGGCCTTGAGTGCGTATTACTATTCGAGCGTCGTCGGCGTCATAACAATTAGGCATTAGCGATATTAGTCTGTTATTCTTCAATACACTTAATCCCTCCTATTCCCCTTCAAAACACACACAAAAAAACTGATACCCACTTTGTGATATGTAAACATGGCACGCAGTTGTTTTTCATTTCCATCAGAAAATGTACCTTGTATAAATTTATTTTGTTTGCTCGTTTATTGAAACTTTATAAAAGTACACAACCACCAAGTTGTAATTAATTTTATCGACAAGATGTGCTTTCAAGCTTCTTACACACGAAACCGTGATGAATTTACTATGAAATACACGTAGAAGTTTATAAACTACTAAAATAAAGAAAATACCAAACAAAGACATTGTATTTTAGGCTGTAAGGCACGTACTAACATAAGAATGGAAGACATTTTATTAAAATAATAAAACTAATATTTATGAGGTAAAGAAATGTACGAGTATAAGACTATGTAAAATTACACTCGCAGAAGTAAAAGCAAATGCAAAAATAAAATCTAATAAAACTTCTTATATCTACTTATATCTAGTTTTTTCTTGTCGCTGACTGTCCCCCAGCTTAAGTTGTGTTGTTTTTCTTACAGAGTATTTTAATGGCGCATAACGCGCAATGTGATGAAGAAAAGTGAGGATTTTGGCGAAAGTTTTGCGTTCGTAAAAAATTGTACAACATTGTTCAAGCGTACCTACTCGACATGAAAACGCTAATGTTGAAGAAACACAGCCTAAAGCGGCGGGAAGTTTGGAGGACGATTTTTTCTAAGCGTAAGTATAAAAGATTACGAAAATGCGAAATTGCTTGGGGAAGACTGTGAAAAAGTAGCTTACTGCTGAATAACCATTATGTTATTTTCTGTGGTGCTCCGCAAGGGGCGTCTTTGATGTTTGATCTTATCATAATTACGCGTCTATATAATCAGCAAGATAAAAGCAAAAATTGCTAATATTTATATGTTACATTTACTTCATGGAACATTTTTTGCAAGTTTTGAGTCGTTGATGTTTGTGTTATTTTGTTTTTGATATTATCATCGATCAAATTTGATTGTGGAGCAGAGTCTCGGCACCCTTTAAGTGTTCGTCGCTTGGAAACCAAACCCATGACATTGTTTGCAGCGGCGTCATTTTCGATATTTTCTACTACACCGTTTTTACATTACACACGTTTCTCTCCCGTGATTTTCTTACTCTGCGTACACTTGCCAGGCCATCAGAAACAGGTTATTACATTTTGGCAGTATTTACATAATTTACATCCAGATTATACAAGATCGTATTAAAGCAGGATAACAGAGTAAAAAAGGCGAAGTAAAAAGACGTAAAAATGTTGAATTTCGAGCTGTGCACGGAGACGGAGCGTCGTGAAGCCGCAGCGATCGAACGCAGGCGAGCGCAGGATGAAGAACGCAAGAAACGTATTTTTGGACCAAAAGCAAAAATATTTGTATGTGTAAATATAACGTAAATAGCTTATTTATATCAAAAAACGCGCTGCGTGCGTTTTAGATTGATCACGCTGCGCTAGATGAGCAAATTCAACAGAAAATGAATCGTGATGCTGAAGAGAAAAATAGAGATGCTATTTTTGACGAGCATGCCAGACAATTCGCGTTAATGGCAAAGGATCTTGAAGAGAAAGCAGCACTGGTAAGTTTTTACCTTCGTCTCAATGCTTGATTTAAGTTTCTCGCACTTTGCGAATGTAAAAGTCGATTTTCCATACAAAAAAATGATTTTTTTGTTAAATAAAAAAAACCTTTATGATACTGTTGGCTGCAGGAACGTAAAAAACTCCAACAAGAAATCAACGAGTTCCGTTTGAACTTCCAAACGAAAGCCTCGCGCCGGGAGGCCGACATCAACGACGAACCGATGCCGGCGCGCATGTTTGACGACGATCCAAGATGCGGTCTGTCATCGATGCAAAAGTAGCGCATCCTTTACGCCCTTTCCTCCACACCCGACTCAGTGATTTTTTTGTTGTTTTTTATGTTTGTAGATTTGAAGGCGAAGACATTTACGCTCAAGAAAGACGTAAAATTCAAGCGGAGCAAACAAAAGTCTGGCTCGATCAACAGATGGACGAAAAGGAGCGAGGCGAGCGCGAGAGGCGTGAGGCTGAGGAAGCCTATAGGGAAGCTACAAGGGCACGAGATCAGCAAGCACAAGATTTAGATAAGCTCGAAAAGGAATGCAGGCAACGTCTTTCGCTCGCCTGCACCGACTACAACAAAGCGCTTGTATTTTTCATTATTGCTTTATATTGCCAACACTCTGCAATAAGAAGCAAGTGAATACATTTTACAAAAGATTTCTTTACTTTCAGGCTGATGAGAGAGATCGAATGCGTAGAATGCAACGTCGTGAAGATGAACAGGACACTCTTGCGCACAAGTACAACGTAATGATGAGCGACATGCTGCTGGAGGCGGCTGACAGTACCACCTCAGCCAAGTCGAAGGGCAAAGGGATGTCTCGTAGTGATAGGGTCGCACTATTTGAAGAGCAAAAACAGCTGGCAAAGGAAGCGCGGGTGAGCGAGACAAAAACTACACATTATGTTTGTTTTGCGCGTTTCCGCCCACGTATTATTTAACCAAATGGATTGCAGAAAGTGTGCACAAAAAGAAACTGTGCTAAACCGCAGGGATTAATCTTGATAACAGTTATTTACAACTTGTTAAGCAAGAAACACTGTAGTAAATTGTTTCCGGTTTCGTTATTTCAAGAAAAACATCTTTTGTGTTTGTTTTTCTGGAGTTTTTATTCAAAATGTTGATTTAACATAGGCAACCACATGTACACATTCCATATTTTGAATTCATAATTGCAGGAACGAAAAGAATTTGAAAAACGTCGTGATAAAGAGTTTGCTGAATATGCCAACGGTGTTAACATTACAGCAGCAGCAATTGACAACGATTTGAACCTTAAAAAACAGTAATAACCTTAATTATACTGTAAAATTTAATAATAATTGTTTTCGCTCTTTGCAGAGAATTAAGTCGGGTTATAGCCGAAGAAAACTTGCGTTTAAGCAGGGAACAGCGTGATAAAGAACTTTTCCTCAAGAAAGTGGTTTATACAAACCGTCCAACCGATGAATTTTATGATCAATTCAACAAAACTGCGCGATAAATGGTTTACAATATATTTTTATTGCTAACAAGCTGCAGACTCAAAATTTACAATAGTTATCACATTCAATGTATATCATTTTATACTTTATATCATTTTATATAAACTATTTTGGCCCAATCAGATTAACCATCTTTAGATTTATTATAGATTCTGATATAATAAAAGCTGTTTCTGGTAAGTATCCACCACTTGTCAACATGACAATCGGTATACTTAAGTTGCGCACTTTTTTGAATACAATTTCATCTCTTTGAATGATTCCTGAGGCTGTTATACTCAATCTCCCGAAAGGATCACCTGCTAGGACATCTGTACCTGCATTATAGACTACAAGCTTAGGTTGGAATTCATCTAAAGCTGCATCTAAATGCGTTTGTAATAATTGGAGATATTCTTTATCATTGGTGTAACAGTCTAGCTCTATTTTCTTTCTGATAGCCTTTTTTGCTGGAATATCACCAGGGTAAATTGCGTAGTTATACATATCCATTATGTAGATGTCTTGATCGTTTAAAAAATCACGTGCGTAACCATTTCCCTTGAAAGAAATTTTATGTATAGTAACGCATAGTTGAGCATTTTTTGATAATCTTACTTGATGCGCATCTAAATCAACAATCAGAACTTTATCAATGTTGTAATACTGTTTAATATTTTTGATTAATAGCGTTATATCTGCGTACGGGCAAAATCCGCCTCCTTTAATGGCACTGCAGTGATGAAAACCACCTCCAATATTTATGGCATAACCTCGTTCAAGCGCTAGTTTGCCAGCTAGTATTGAACCACCAACTTGGTATCTCATTGGTTTTAAATATCGTTTTTGTACTATCACATTAGGTACCATAACCAGACCAGCAATTTCAGAAATCATTGCAACTTGAAAACTCCACTAAAAATATATATTATCATTAAACATGAATACTTTGCATATTTTAATGATTACGTTTAAAGTTTTTAAATATTTCTTCGAGTGAACTTTTAAAAGTTCTTCTTTGCTGGCTTCGAAAGGTTTTACCATCATTTTTTCATCGAGCATGCCATTTTTAATCAGGAACTACAATTTTAATCACGTTAAGAAAGGTCAGGTCACTCGCCGGCAATATTCCCACATTTGCAACACGCCCCCATTTATGCGCATCAAAGGGATGTAATAACTCCAACCCCCAGAATCGTACATCGTATTCTGACCGATAAACAATCGGCCATTGGTCATCACTGATATCAAAGTATAAAGTTGAAGAACTATAACACAAAATAGTATGTAAAATTTCATTCAAGTTATGAGAAGAGCTGTTAACGTACTTGACATCGCTTGATTTTGAATCTCCCACCCGCATATTGTAAGTGTAATGTGTTTGTATCGATTTGAGAACACTTGAGATGCGAGAAACACTTTGCGTGACTAGATATTTGTTTGTATTCACTTTGAATTTTGTTGGTCTAGCAACTGCTCACGACGTAACTGCTCACATTTTAGATCAGAACTAGTTCATGAAGCAAAGCATTCGGATGCGCTCTATCGATTTCGAAGTCTGCGAGCATCCCACACGCTTTTCGCGATGTAGTTTGCGATTTTCACGTCTGTTGGCACCACTAGCAACAATAAATATACGAAAATCAGCACGTGTCAGACATCAAACGTCAAGAATTTTCCGAATTTAACTTTTCGCATGACACATGCAATACAAAAGTGCTATTATTGGATATGCACATTTGACTAATAATAAAAATGGAACAAAACAATGATTTAGAGTAAGCCAAAACATTAATTCTGTTGGATATGAGATTTTGTATGTAAAATTGTGTTTTATAGATATTTGAAGCAATTAGTAGCTGAATACGATGTTGTTGTACCAGCAATTACAGAACAACTTAATTTTTATAAGGTAAAATGTTCAAGAGTTAATGAAAATTGGTAATTATAAAATTACAGGGAGAATATGCAAGTTTAAAGAGAGAAATTACGGCTCTAAGTCAAGAAAACAAAGTTTTGTATGAAAAGTTAGAGGACTGTGCGAGAAATCACATGGCAGTCACACCATACAGTTTTAAAGAAGATGATTTGATTGATAATTTAAAAAATCAATTAAATTTGTCACTAAAAGTAGGTTATTTAATAACGGGTAGTAATAATAATTCAATAAAAATTAATTATTCATTTAGGAAAAGGAATCTGTTGTGGAATTATGGAGAACATCAATGACACGAATCGACTATTTAGAAAATGAACTCAAAATCTATTCCGCTGGTTCAGATAGCGCGAACAAAAGTTTCATTCGTAAGGTAATTTTTTAATTAGGTAAACTATGAGCCGTAATAATTAACATTGCGTACATAATTGATTTAGATGAAGAAAACTTATGAAAATGAAGTAAAGAACCTTCGCTCGAAATTAAAAGAGTCACAACATCAACTTCTGGAAACAGCAAATGTTTCTAAAACCCCTTTGGCTAGCAAAAAGGACGAACTAGAAACTTTGAACAAATCTCAGCAAGAATTACAGTGTCAAATTCAAAAACTAACAGATCAATTAGAACAATCGCATCTTAAACATGGCGATCTCACCAAAACAAATGAAAACTTAAAATTGAATCTTTCTAAAGAAATAAAAAGAGTTGAAGAAATAAAATTGGAAAATTATAATGCCAAATTAAAAGTTGCAGAAGCGTGTCACATCATAGAAGCAGCTCTTATCGAAAAAGATGCAGCTCTGCAACGAGAAGTCGAAGCGAGAGAAGAAATCAATAAATTAACGACGACTATCAATGATATTGTACAAGAAACTGAGAGTAAAGTAAAATCAGACATTTCTGTGGTGAAAGAAGAGTTTGCCAATAAACTGCATTCATACAAATTAGACTTGAAGAAATGCCAAGAGGATTTGGCACTGAAGACGTTAGAGCGTGATAAGAGAAATGAATTATGCAAAGAGTTGCAAAGTGAGATTGATGAATTGAAAGAAGGTAAAAACAAAGTTTTGAAAAATGTGCATAAAGAAAAGCAAGTGTGGAGTGGAAAAGTTGTACACAACAAAGAAAAATTGGTTAGTATTAAAGCAATTTATTAGTAATAATAATAAACATAATTAAACTTTTTAGGAAAACGCAGAACGTAAAAATGCGCAACTGAAACAACAACTTAAACATTTCCAAGAGACTATTGATAAAAGCAAACAACTACACAGTGATGAGCTGTGTAAATTAGAAATGGAAAAGAAAAGTCTGTTTGCACAGATTCATACATTAGAAAATGATCTTCAAATGAGCAATGCACGCTTCCAACAAGTAAGTGCCAAAGTGGAAGATTTAAGTCGACGTATCAGCTCCATGGATTTACAATTTAAAGAAGAACTGGCCCTGAAAAATGCAGAAAGCGAACGAACATTAACTGAAAGATTAAACGAAGTGGAATGCGTTAATGCACGAATTAATGAAGAATTTAAAGCACAGCTTTCGGCTCAAATCAATTTAAATCAAAAGTGGAAGTTTGAAGTTAGGAATGTAACAGAAAAGTTAGAAACTAGAATTCATGCTTTAAAAAATGAACTTATCAAGTTGAAAGGTAAAAATTCAGAGTTATTAAGGAAACTTGAACATTCCGAAACCAAAAGATTAGAATACAAAGAAAATTTGAAAACCCTTTGCACAGAATTTAATGCAATTGCAAATGTTAGAATTTAAATGATTGTTATTTTAATGTATATTTAGTTGCCTATTCAATTATATTAACAACATGAATCAGAGGTCGTCGGTTATGTTTTAAATGTTTTCATTGTGAACACGAAGAAAACAAATTAGTGATTAATAAGAAGTGGTAAGATTTATTATTAAATATACAGTAAGCTAACAATATAGTTATTAAGCATCTAATTGTAAACATAAAATATTAACCTTTTACTATGATTTACTGGCATCAGCTTCAATGCAGGCAGCAAACATGCTAGGAAAATAATACAACTTTTCTTTGGGATCCTGAAGATCAATCCATGCCAATCCCTCATTAACCAAATGATCACAAGCTCTTTCTGCCCTCTCATGATCCCAGTGTAAGTTTTTCTTCAGTAATACAACTGAAACACATCCATCATTTGTATTGGTGGCTTGCTGTAATACTGCTGTGTGATCCATATTGAGTTCTCCAGGAACTGATTGCACCATGTATTGTCCTTTTCCCATTGGTACAACAGTGAATCCACTCCCTAGAACTTTCAACTTCTTTGATGCCCTGAGTAAATCATCCTGGCTGATTTCCTGATGCTGTTTGCCTTGTCCTCTGGCTCTTATTAGCCTGGTTCTGAGTTCACTAAGGCTGATGAGCCCACCATTCTTGTCATTTGTTGCCATACACACTTCTACTACTTGAACAGCAAGCTCGTAGTAGAAGTCACCAATTCCAAGCACTGACCAAAAGCCCTTACCCGATGCAAGGGGATCAACGCCTATAGAGGCGCACATCTCTTGAAATTGCTTACGAAACTCTGCATTCTTACGTATTTCATGTTTGTGATTAGTTGCAAACTCTTCTAAATTTGTACGAAAAACATCCAATTGCTTGGACATTTGCTCAAATTGATTCTCTTGAATTTCATTGCCTTTGTCTTTGTATTTTTCTTGTTCTAGTTTTTGTTTTTGGATAGCGCCTACCCCTGCACGTCGTCTCATCGTGAAATTTTCTTGGAGTGTCTTGATCTGTTGTCAAAACAAAATGTTAGGTTATAAGGAAATACATAATGAGTTGCATTCGTAGGCGTTTATTTTAAACTCATACCTATTTGAATATAAAATTATAAGGAAATAGTAAGAGTTAATGTTTATTTCTTCAACAAATCAGCATATGCTGTTGCAAGTAAGTTTTCTTCTTCAATGCCCAATTTTTTCATAATATCATTGGCAATTTCTTGCCCATCTTCAATACTCTGCTCATTATTTAACACTACCTCCAATTCAACAAAATCTCCAAGATTTTCCACTTTATCCACATGAACTCTAGTCTGACCAACCATAAACAACTGCCTGTTCTTCACTACTTCTGTTCTAACACCAAATGCCTTTGTCAGCACCTTGTTCATCCCATCAACCTGCTCAAATGGTAAGTAACACTTCTCAAAATCACTTAGTTTGGGCCCTTTGCAGTCTGGTCGATCATAAAAAATCAATTCGGCGTCTCCTTCCTGTAAAAATAGGCAAAGTTTTTGTTTTAAACGATTTAAAATGCTTATTTGGTCGTTAAATAACCTTAAAACGCCGTAGTTTCAACCTGCCTGCTGGTACCTCGTAGAAAACATCGTGCTGCGATATATTTTCTGGTTCCTTATCGCAGATTTTACTGATATTCGCCAGAAGATTCTTTAAGTTAGCGATTTTTGCTTTGATTTCGACGTTTCTCATTTTGATTAAGTATTAAATTCTGTGTAATGAGACAATAACAATAACTTCTCACCAGTCGACAAGATTACACGTGACCGCACGCATGGAATGGGTTTTACATTTTCCAGCATGTGATTCACAAACCACACACTTTTTTAATTAATGTGAAATTATTACTTTAAATAATCTGTAATAAATTATATTTTCTGACATCTTGCACTAAGGACATCGTAATTTTCCGTTTTAATTTTGAATTGATGTTTTTATTAACTTTTGCTACTTAGGCATGCTCGTTGATTTACCCAAAGAAAAGAAAAATTTGTCATTGTTTTAGGTTCCAGCTGGTAAACATGAAGTTGCAGGATTCATAAATTATGTGTTTGACACAAGGGAAAGCCCCATGAGTTGCATTTTCGTGTTTTGAATAATTGATTTACGTTGGTTTTAGGCGTCTAGCATGCGAACTCGACTTTATAGGACAGTCGTACTTACATCGGATTGTAAGTATTGAAATTCTTTATCCTTTTCATACTTTTGGATTCAACATAAGAGAAAGCCACAAAGGTCCCATTTTCTTGTATTGAAGCAGTAATTTTTCTTTCTTATGGAGTTTCTTATTGGAGTATGGAGAGAGTGAATGTGAGATCACAGGGCAGCTGCAGTTACATCAGATGATAGGTATTGAAATTCTTAATCACTATCATTCATAATTTCTGTGATTAATATACGGGTAAATGAAAAAAATGCATTTTAGTGTGTTGTAGCACTAATTTTTGGTTATTTTAGGATTCTTCATTACATGAGTCAGATTGTAAGTAATGAAACTTTTTATTAACCACTTAAATAATATTTGAAATTAATACATGGAAAAGTCAATGAATTAGCATAATTAAGTTTAGCTAACACATAATTTTCTTATTATATTCTACTACAATTCTACTTTGTGAGCTTTAGAATTTCATAAATGAAACAACAAAGCAGTATGTAACATCAAGGAAAAAAATTTTCTCATCTGTGCAGCTTTTTATTTAAATTTTACAGACACATTCGCATTGATTTTTTAATTTATGTGTATGATTACATAAATAAAGGATAATTTAATCTTATATTCTCGTCAAGATTTAACTCTTTGTTTTCACTTAGTTGTTTTCAGCTTTAATTTAAGGCATGTTTATTACAATGAGTATAGCAGTTTACATATATAATTCTGCAGTTATATTGTCACTACGCTTCATCCCCAGAATACTTAGACATATCAACTATTTTTATGGTGGGGGATTTTCCCCTGATAGAGAAAACTCCTCATAAAAATGTTTCTAAGTTTGAAGACGACTTCCAGAGTATTGGGTAATCACATAAAGTACTGAAACAAACAAAAACACGAGTATTAGACCTTGCACTATGCTGGGCAATTATTCAGTGCGCTCCGTCGAATAATGAAATTACATTACAAGGGTTATTTTAGCCGACGACAAAACGAAATCTTGCCAAGGATAGTCGATAATTAGACTTACTCAATATTATTAATATAATACATATTTCTACTTCCAATTCTACGTATTGAAATAACGCCAAGATGAAGACACGAGTTTTATAATTCCATACATAAATCATCATAAAAAGACACTAAATACGTCTATTGTCATTATGACCCGATATTTATGGAGATTATTATCTATAAAATGTAATATAATTAATTTAATAGAAATGAATAAAAGAAAGGTGCCGTGCCGCGTGCAGGGCGATATAAACGTTGTTTTACGTACTTAAATTTCAATTTTTACCCCACCATTATCTGAAATCAATTTTAATATCTAATATTGAATTGTACAAAAATGGCGATTAAAATTCGCGTAAAAAGCATCTTATCATTGCTATTCCCTAAAATAATTCGAATACGCAAGGGTTTGCAAAGTAATAACATTGTAAACACAATATTTATGAATCAATATTTTGACTTAATAGTAACAATTACATTTCAGTCTCATTTGGAGGTTGCTTTATTTTCATCTTCCACTAAGTCAAGAATTCTCAAAGTTGATATTTTTTTCACTTCCCCAATTCCATTATTAATTTCTTCATCTTGTGTAAAATCTAGTCTCTTCTGAAGTATATGAATGATAGTGTTATAGTTATTTTCTCTGGCGCAGACAACAAAAGGAAAACCAAATTGATTTCTATATCTGAAACCAATACATCAATGTCACTTCACTAAAAATTTCAATTCATACCTAGAATTTAATTCAAGTAAAACTTTTCTTTCGTGCTCAGATATTGTATTTAACTGAGCCGCTTTTTGTTCCTCGTTTGATTGCTTCGTCAAAGTTGTCTCAAACTTGCCAGACAAATCTGGATGGCGTGTTAACATTGCTCGCTTTTCTAAAAACATTATATAGTACCTTGAATGTTCAAAATAATGTGAATATTACCTTCATTCTCCAAACTCTCTAAATATTCGTACAGAATTAATATAATCGCGTTGGTAGATCGAAAAGGTTTTCTTTCGTATAAAATATTAGCAAATTTCGGGCAGTGTTCAATAATATTAGAAAATATATCCATGTATTCTTCTAATGTGAAGTCGTTAACTTGTTGAACAGAAAACTTCATGTTTATTATTACGTATGCTCTTCAAATATATTTTTATATAATTTGGCACAATTTTTAGCTGAAACTTGTAATTTACACTTATTACTTCGACTTGCTGACGCGTTCGGTTTAATCTAAGGACACCGAGTATTTACTGATAATATTTCCATTATTACGACGAACAACAAATGAGTAAATTGTCAAAAAAAAAAGAAACCAAATTCAATTTTAATTTGAAGTTCTGTTTCATACTTATTTCGCATAGAACCTCTATGAATGAATAAATAGTTATATTTCTTCGCTTATGTAATAAAATGTACGAAATAAACATAACTAGTGATTTTTAAATTTCAATTCAAAACATTTAAACTTATCGCACAAGGCTAGCAAGGTGAGAGCGCGTACACATAAAAACAATGTTAAATTTTAAAATACTACTCTTTCAAATTTGAACTTAGCGCTGTCAAGACGACGAAATAAAGGTTAGAATTTTGTTTTTTTATGTTCTCTTTGTCGGTTTATGAGATAATCAGTAAAAGTATCCAACGTTTTAACTCGTCAAAAACAGCACACCTTCTAGTAACAACAATGTCTTCCCAAGTTATTACAGGTATAGTAATTAATACCATATATCAGCACGTCGTTAATTTGTATTAACTGACTTGTTTTCCGCATGTATGCCTGAGTTGATCAATTATGCAAATTGTGTTTGTATCCAACTAACGCAACCCCTTTCTGCATGCCGGTGACACGCTATAAAAACTACCCGGTGCTTGGTGAATGTTTTATCGATACGATAACATCAGTCGCATCGCATGTATCTCTTTGATTTCATAACTTTTATAACATTCGTCAAACATAACAAGCAGGTAATCTACTAATCTTTTCTGTTTTGTGTACATTTGTAAATACTAAATGTTAATCACATGTAAATATTTTAGTGTAATGACCACCATAGGTAGTATTGGTATTGGTTTGTTCATTTTGATCATACTCTGGATATTAGCACTGATACTGTTTGTGGTGTCAGTCCGTTTGCAAAGTAATCTTGGTTGGATTGGACTTGGTGTTGTTTTGAGTTTCACTCTGATTGTTTCATTGATACCCCTTGAGACACCAAATAAAATCATTGATGCTTCTATACCAGAGGTAACTAATTTTCATACTTCATATCATTGAACTAAACACAACTTTAAAACACTTGTGTGACATTTTGTTTATAATTCTTTTACAGGAAAAAGACTACCAATTAATCTATAAATATATCCTACTTACATTTCTGATCTTCAGCTTCATAGCTCTCCTTCTCATATTTTTCTTCAGCTATATCCTTGAACCTATCAGGCCTAAACCATTAAAATGTTGAAAGTCATCCGAAGAACTCTCTCGACAAGCGCACAGTGTCGTAAATTGATCACAATCAAAAACGATGCCGAATTTATTGCCAAAGTTATGAACTCCGACAATCCCGTGATTGTCAACTTTCACGCGGAATGGTGCGAGCCATGCCATATTCTCACGCCAAAGATGAAGGAGCTCATCCAAGACAGCAACACCATCGACTTAGCAGTCGTCGACGTGGAAAACCACGCCGAACTAGTGGAAACCTTCGAAGTAAAGGCGGTGCCAGCTGTACTCGCCATTAAAAATGGCCTAGTCGTCGACAAATTCATCGGTCTAGTCGACTCGAACATGATCGAAAAACTCATCGCCAAATTAGATCCGCAATAGTTAGCATTAACAAATTTATGTCGCTTTTTTGTATTTACCAGTTGCCAAATTATGAACATTTGTATTTTCTATTTCTATTACCTAATATAATTGTTACAACGTTGTTTCAATTTATATTTTTGCGATTCCTTAGAAATTTTCATTAATTTTAATTAAAGAGGGCGTGATATATGCCAATTATATCAAATATCAATTGAAAACATGTCGCATCACAAGAAAAAGAAACCTCCTGCATTTGTAAAATACGGTCGACCAATAGTGCAAATCCCCTATCGATATATTCACCTGATAGCAACTCTCACGGTCATCTATCACCTCTGCACGCTTGGTTTTCTCATTGAGCTGATAAACGTCGCGCACCATTTTAAGGCGCACATTGGTGACTATTTAAATATTATCGTAGAGAATGGCTACGTCATGGTTTACGTTCTCTACATCTCATCAATTCTTGGTATTATCATGAATATCTTCATCGCAGTTGTTGCATTTAAACTAGTCTCACATGTTGGCAAATTATTCTACTGGCTTTTATTCGTAAGCGTTTTACTCGCAGTAGTAATGATGATATTCATTCTGGGCCTAATATTTTATATGTTTTCATATGCATTTAGCAGGAGTAAGTTTATTAACTCATCAAAAATTCGATTTTATAGAATAAATTGTATATTTTAGATCCTGAAGGGATGGATTTTTTCTATACTTCAATGAGTAATTATTCAACGGATGGACTAACAAAAACACGTCTTGATATCATGCAAATCGAGTTGCAGTGTTGTGGCGCTCGTAACTATACAGATTGGTACGCTGTGAACTGGTATGATACTAATTTCGTTAAATTAAAGTAAGTTTTAGAGGTAAATAAAAATATATATATATATATGTTAATAAAACAGCATAACTTCTATTTAGTTCGATGAATATAAAATTAGTCGGAGAAGTACCCTTCAGTTGTTGCAATATTCGCACAATATTCCCTTGTATTCACCACGGTATTGAATCCGGCATTAACGATTACAAATATGATGTTCTCCAAAACTTTAGTATAAACATGGACGGATGTTGGAGTGTAATGGAGCGCCGTAAAACAAAATCGGGTCTAAGCGTTGCTGGATATTTATTTGGTCAATTAGTGTTACTTGTAAGCATTTTCATCAATCAAGTTAATCACTTTTTTATCACGAATTTTTTAGATTATTGGTTTTATACCGTTGCGATTACTGCAAACCGCGAGCAATGAAAAACGCGGCTTTTCGTTGGAGGGTCACACGTATACTGGTTGGTTGTGGGGATTTTATGTGGGAGGCAAAAGACATACTGGTGACGAGAATCAGTAAAAATCTTTTATCAAAACTAAGTCTTATCTTAAAAACAAGTTTGTTTATCACTACCCAAGAATACTTTCAGTGTATTTTGCGTTAGTGAACGCATCATAGGAATGAGAACGTTGGAATTGTAAAGTACGCAGAGAATAATGTCGTTTGATTTGAGCGCGTGACATTTGTGATATTCCGAACACCAATAAGTTTCAGTGGCTTCAGTCTGCGTTAACTGATTATCTTTTACCGATTCCGTATTGGCGTTCGCAAGGAAATGATCAGAAATTGTTTGGTAGTAAAATGTGCGGAGAATATCAAGACGATGCGATGACGCCGACTTTTTTGACGCTTGTGGAACCAGTTTTGACATCATGAACTTACCAAACTTTACATTGATCATCAGCAAACTGAATAGAACATTGAAATAAACTGCCTAAATAATTAAAATACCTCTAGCTTACCCTAATATATTAGAGTCGAGGACCCAATCCGGCGAATCTGGAAAATTACGGGGATGACACTCAGCTGCAGCTTCAAGCACGTCCAGATTCGACTTGAAACATTGCGCGGCAGAATGCTCAATGTCTTCTAACGCTGGAGTAGGGCCACACAGGTTGCATACTTGAATGTCGGGACTTATCGTAACCGCAACGAATCGAAATGCAACCTATAGGCAACCCCAGGAACGAAAACATTCAATAATGAATATAAAAACTATAAAACAAAACATTTGAACTAGTGTTATACTTACATTTGGACTTTTGTAAGGTAAAAACACAGGAATGTCTTTTGATGTCATAGTATTTTCAATAGTAGCCAAATTTGCAAGCAATTTAAGTTCAATTGGATGCAAACTCCACCAGTCTTCAGTGGCAGCAGCAATCTTACCATTAATCAACACACAACAATACACAGAATCAACACATTCAGTATATGAATCTAATACAATCTAAAAATCAAGTTTATATAACACAAATTTTCAATTATTATGAAAAAAATATATACCTGTATCAAATGATTTTCTGGTGTCATTATTACTTCCACCAAGTCAATTAAATCTGAAGGATGTTGATTTTGATTATCACCAGAGTCAATAGAATCAAGAATTCTATCAATCAAGGGGTAGCAAACCTTTAGAAACACAATAAATTAAAAATCTAAAATTTGTGTGTTTTGTTCATAGCTTACCCTTAATTCCCTTTTCAGTCTATCAATGTTTCTTTGACTTTTCACTTCATCAATACCAACAATCAAAATGATTGCTTGCATTGCACACTCAATTGCTTTTCTTAATACTGATATTGTACAACCAGTACTTATCCCAATAAATACCAAACTGTAATTTTTAACTGTTAATTCAAATACTAACCTATTTAGTTTATTATTATTAGTTACCTATCATAATATTCTTTCCATGTGATTACATGATCCTCACTTGTAGTATTCAATAATTCAAGTTTTTGTGTTTTCCCAAACATATGCACTCCATTTAATGAACCAACTGTACTAAATGGTAACTGTAAGTTGTTAACAGTAAATATTTAATTATTTAATGAATTAATCTTACATTTTCGCCTGATCCTTTGTGTCTTGCGAATATCGGTAGACCTCCTCCTGATGTTACACACATAATATGTGAAGACATTGCGATTATTATTTAAAACAATCGCAAAAACAAGTACACAATTGCTTAGACAAACAAAAGAAAAATCATAGGTTAAGTTAAACTTCAAACGCCACAAAGCTCACAGTAAGCGGCGTTTGAAAAATGTCAGGCAACTTTCTATGCACAAAATTCTTATCAACATCTCTGTATATTATTTTTTACATACAACTAGTACAAGACTATTTTTTTCTTATGACATTATGCAATATTTACTTCTTCTTTGGCCTAGCCATCTGGAAAAGGGTATACAATCCATCCGTAAGTCCAACCGCAATACCCGCAAGCGTAAGACCAAACAAAATCTTATCCCCTACGCCACCCTTGATATAAACTGGTATTCCATTATCTTTTTGGAAGTGTTCGTATTTACGTAATAGTTTCGGTGGTGGACCATCACCGTAACTCCGAACCAACAACTCCTATGAAATATTATATCATTAAAATACTACACTTTATCACACACTCTCACATACGCTAGTTTTTCGGCGCAAAACCGGATGTCGCAGGATTAATGTCGACCACATCTTGCTGGAATTAATTTGAATGTAACAGTCGATCGGTGCAATGAGTGCCAAAGAATTCGCAAGTCAATTTATAATTAGTTTAGCTACAGCTACAAAACTACTACTACTAGGTACAGAGTGTGTGCACTATAATTAATTTGATCTTTATTTCTTTTTCCTGAAGGCCATTGAATAAAGTGTGGATAATCCGTCAGCCAGACCAATTGCGCACAATAGTAGTGTTATTTGGAAAAGGATACGGTCCCCAAAACCACCTTTTAGGTAAACTGGAATTCCGTCTTCGAGTTGATAATGTTTGTATTTTGCTGCCAGTGGATGCGTTTGTGGTGTGGTTTTACCAGTTAAACAACGGCGTAAGATTACATTCTAAATATTGTAAATCACACAAATGTAATTTAATATTATTCATTTATATTGTAAGTACCTTATTTGTTTGTAAGAGTTTAGTTACTTGGCGCACCGACATGTTACCTTGATTGTTTCAACACAAATGACTGGGAGAGCAGCGTGTTTATGTAACACAAATCAAATTAGAACTGCAAGAGAATTGAGGGAATTTTTACGAATAGATTTATTAACATCTAATTTAATCTTTATGTCGTTCGACGCATTGCTTGTTTTGCTTCTTTGGCAATTCGTGCTCTATCTTCCCTTGCCTGAGCGTCTTTAACCAATCGCGCCTGATGATCCTCATCAGATAATTGTTTACGCCAACTGTACGGCGGCGGAACCCTTGCTTCACCTTCGCTATAATCCCAAGCACTACGATTTGCATTCGATAATCCAATATATGCAATGATAGTTATCGCTTGAACTCCTCCAATAATGTACACCACAGTCCGCCATTCGGAAAAATAATTATGTTCGGCAATCACCCCTATCACAAACGAAGCTGTGAATCCACTTATAGCTCCAAATCCATTAATCAATGACATCATCAATCCGGAATGATTCAAACTAATGTCGACAACATTCACCTTCCCGCCCGAGAAAAACATCCCCTTGATAAAGATGGCGGCGGAGAATAACGCAATCGATGCCACTCGATCACACTCCACTAGTATGGCAGCCATTAAAAACGCGAAAGCTCCAAGATTCGAAATAGCAGTGTATGTTTTGCGCAGGGTGGTAACATTTACATTCTTTTTATGGATCAGAACATCAGCTAAAAATCCGCTTAAAACACTTGAAAACCAAAGCAGTAAAAATATTAATGAAACCAGACCGTTTTCCAATACTGGGAATCCTAACACCTGATTCAAATACTTGGAGAAATTATTCGACAATGTGAAGATAATCAAATCATGCGACATTTGCACGAGCATTATACCATAAACACATTTATCGGCAAAAATCTCCTTCCAAGGAATATTCGAGTCCTGCTTCAGTTGCATCATTTGTTTTAGGTATGTTAACTCAGATTCGTGAATGTATGGATGTGCTCTGGGATCGGAGAAGACATAGAATGATATTAGGAGGCAATAGACAACTCCAATGCCCGCCCAAAAGTAAAACACAACCGGCCATGATTCCAGTCGGGAAATCATTAATCCAGAACATAATGTACCGAATGCTTGACCGATTGATGTGGCTGAGAAAATGGCACCCGCAACACTGGTGCGTTCATTGGACGGAATCCATCTTGATACTAAGGATGACAGTGCAGGAATAAGACCACCCTGACCGGAACCTTGAAGCACTCGTAGAATAAACACAGGCCACCAATGATCAACCATGGTAGCGCCCAGTGGGATTAATCCTGTTGTTATAGTCGAGATGATATAACCAATTAGGAGAGGATAACGTGGACCATATTTATCACACAAGATACCAGCAGGTAGATGTGCTATTATGTATCCGATGAAAAATGCTGCTAAAACGTAGCCTTGTTCTCCTTCGGACCACGCCACTTTTCCGCCTTGGATGTTTTTGATTACTCGGGATTTTGTTATATCGCTGGGACATGTTGCGTTTTTGATTTTTTGGTCTACCATTTCGACTATGCCGATTGTAAGCGTAGAACGCTGACAGTATCCCAATAACATTCCAAAGAAAGCAAAGAATACCATTACAAACCTGGTTTCGACAATACAGCAAGGACAATGGCAATATAAATAACTTAGAAAGCCCATTTTGGATAATTTTGTAGTAATTTTAAGAGCAATTTTAAATCTTTTGTCAGTAAACTGTTAAAAATAATACTTATTTTATATTGCCATGGCAAAATTTTGATAATATTTGATTAATTGTCAGTAAAATTCAATTTTTAATGAGTCTGAATAAAATGGTACAAACATGCGCTGCTATTAATTGTTCCAACGGATACGCAAAATGTAAAAATATATCAATGCATAGGTAAATATTATAACTATAGTCTTATTATAGTTGATAGTTAATATTTGAATTATTTACAGATTCCCAAATGATGTAGAAAGACGTAATATTTGGTTGAAATCTCTACGACTCGAAAATTTCGTCCCGTCGGAAGGTTCGCGCGTGTGCAGTTTTCATTTTCGTGCAAGTGATTACAAAACATCGCCGAATGGAATGATGTATTTAAAACCACATGCTGTTCCACATGTGCTTCGTTTTAATGATAATATAAGACAAGAAGTAATCGATATTACGGATGATTCAAACGTTGCGAATCATTCCGATAACAATTCAAATTTGGACGCAGATGATAAAAACAATAATAGTTTAGATGCTCCGTTAAATCTCGCATTTAAACGAAAGTTAAACCCTTCATATAAAATTGTTGACGGGTAATAGTTATTAATGTTATATTTATGATAATTTCAAATTATGTTTTTATATAGAAAAAGAAAATATCCTCTATTCATCCATGAATTTACGTATGCAGACTTGGAACATCCGGTAAAAAGGCAACTTTTTTGGAAGAGAGTGAACGAAATGCGAGCTCAATGTTCAGATCAATTAAAAGAAAAACAAAGGCGTATTCAGAAGTTAGAACGAAAGTTGAGAGTGCTCCAGACATGTTATGGTATTCATTTGATGGACGAGTAATATTCTAACTTATATTAAATATTTTTTTTAAATTTAAAACTAATTTACTTGCGCCTTTATTTTTAATCCGTGAATGTTCTCAGATTGATGTTGATAACGCATATAGACATGTGTGAGAGTGCATGCAAGAGTTATAATGTTAAATTTCGTGTAAACAAACAATTCACTGGTAAAAACAAAAACAGACTGACGAAATATTGTGTTCAAATTTAATGCAACAAGTGCACCCTAGCGCTAACGCTTGCCAAACCAAAAAAAAAAATTAATATCACCGCGGTAACACAATACGCATTAAACTACTGAGACAAATATAAAACTTACAGAACTATATATTTATCAAAATTGAACACATCATTTATAAAATTATTCACACCAATATCAATATAAAAATAATTTAAAGCGTTTCTAATATAAAACCATTACCTACCATTACTCTTTAATAAATAAAAGCGTTACCACGGAACATCAATGGCCCTTCTTATAATCTCCCTTCTGGGTTTGAGTGTACGACGTAACTTTAACTTTGGTGTACTTAACTTTGTCGATTGCGACGGGATTTGTTCTACCGTAATTATTAATCTGCTGTCGAAACTCCTCCACATTGATATCCGATGAACTAGAAGTCGATTGCTTCTTACATTTCTGACCAGACCCACAAACTGCCAGCGTCGCAGACTTGTTACTATTATGTGTTACATCCACAACCAAATCAGAGAGATCAGACATTCCTGAAGGAATTGTGTCGTCACTTAACATTCGGTGGTCCGGATTGTGTGCTGTATGATTAACACAGAAATTGCCATTGTAGAGATTCTGGAAGGTGGCTCGCATTTCAGGATGCAACAGTTGCAGGTTTTCAGAGTTGTCAAAGAAGGAGCACAAATCTCTTGCCAACATCTTCACTTTAAATCTAAATCGGACAAGAATGGAATTAAAAGAAATGGAACACAAAAAGGAGGAGATTATAAGGAAGGATAGCGTCGGCTAGAATCGTCTTGTGACTGCGTAAATCGTTCGTTAACAATTTCGCGCCGCAATTGTGTGTTTTGTTTGCTATAATCCAGCGCTTTCTCCTGGTACATGTCCAAACGTTCTGTGGCTAACGTCCTGAACAATTTAAAATGTTCATCATTTTCCAAACATTCATAAATATAAAAAGTTTAAGCAAAACCAAGTACACTTACAAATTCTGCTCCATTTCAGCAATCTGCCCCTTAAAATTGATAACTTGCTGTTGCAGCTCTTGATTTACAAGTCGCTGCTCAACTAATTGTTGTCTGGTATCGCTGAGAATCGTCTCCATTGTTCGAGTTGTGTTTTGTTCTTTTTCTGCAGTTATATTAGCAATTTCGGCACTACGTCGCAAAGTATCAAGTTCATCTCTTGTCTGTATAAGAAAAAACATAAATGTTTGATCATTTTAAGTACAAAGATTACCTTAGACGTCATAAATTCTTTTTCTTGTACTTCTTGACTCAATTTATCCTTCTGTTTATCAAGTTTCGCGCATAACTCACGCAAAGAACTAATTTCCATTGAAGTTCTGTCTTGTTGAAGTTGACTGTGCTTCAATTGCATCTCCAACGTAGCAATTTGTGCAGTTAAATCAGCAATCTACAAATAATTTGAAAAAATACAGTAAATATGATTTAAACAAAAATCGATTCAATATAGTGTTTACTTTGATTATTAAAAATATACCTGTTTTTCGTAGTTTTGTATAACAATCTTCTGCTGTGCAATAATTTGCTCCAATTCACCAGCGTGATCCAAAGCAACTGACAATTGAAATCTACTCTGAGTGGCTTCCGATTCCAAACTGTGATTGTTATTCTCCAACACATTCGCCTCCTGCGACAAATTCCGAAACTGATCCAACATTTCACTTCTTTCCACCTCTTTGGTGGCCATCATATCCTCAATTCGTTTCACCTCAGCGCAATAATGTTGCAACTGCATCTTCAAATCAGTAATTTGTCGCTTTGCAACTTCAAGTTCGCATTTCATCTGGCGATTATTCAACAACGCAGAAGACAATTCTTCTTGAATCCGTTTATTTTCCTGAACGCAATTCTCTTTACTCTTTAGAGCCGCCTCCAGATCGCGTTTTAATTGAGAAATGTCATTATTCTTACATTTTAATTGGCAATCCTTTGTATTTTTCTCATCGACGCTCGTGGAAATTTTCTGTTTGAGATCAGAAGATTGATGTCGTAGTTCTTCGACTTCATGATTTTTAGCACGCAATTCATCCTGAAGAGCTACGATATTTTCAGTTTTCTCATCAAGTTGCAAAAGTAAATTATCTTTTTCACGTTCAACTTCAACGAGATTCTTTGTCAATTGATCTATATCAGATTTAAGACGCTGAATGTCTTTATTTAGTGTTGCAGTTTTATTATCATTCGCGTTGTGCTTTTGCTCGTAACTAGATAATTGCTGTTCAGCTTGAAGAAGATGATTTTGCGAGTCGGCCAAGGCACGATCTGTTTGTTCATGCAATACTCTAAACAAAACTCATAAAATTAACACAAACTAAACACAAAAACACAATCATATAAAAACTTACTTGAGCTGTGTGTAAATTGTTTTATGATGAATCAATTCATCACTGCAGGATTTCAACTGTGCTTTGAGAGTTTCAACCTGATCCTCTAAATTGGTAATAGTCGCACGTCTGGATCCTTGATTCTGAAGTACATCATACCGTTCTTTATCAACCTTCCGCAATTGTTCTTCTAGATCAGAAATCAACTTTTTATAACGTTCTATTTCCGAAGCATGCATTTCACTGGTAATTTTAACTCTGTGTTTCATATTATCACGTTCCTCTTCCAAACGATCAACATCAGCTTTTAAAATATCCCTTTCCCTCTCAACTCTCTTAGAAGTGGCTTTTAAAGTCAAATATTCTGTAGCATCGGAATAATCACGCACATTTTCTAGCCGTTGTAATAAATTGTGTTTTTCTTTCGATAAATTTAAGCTCTCTACGCGCAATTGTGAAACTTGTTCCTTCAACTCTCGAACTTCATCATTTGCCGCATTAGAATATGTAAAATGATTTGTTTCTCTTTCAACATTGACTTCTCTTTCCCTTTGTGGCGCTTCTCTTAAGTTGTAATTTTCTAGTGAGTTTTGAATGTTTAAATTGTAATTTCTACCAAGAGTATTCGAACCGTTTCGCATCTTTTCAAGAAGCGCCTTGTATTCACGAACATAAAAATCTCGTTCTGATTTAATACGGTCAACATATTCAGCGTAATCACTGTTAGCACACGGTGACGTCGGTGTGTTTGTAGGAGGTTTTGTTCCTCTTGAAGATTGACGTCTTGTAGGCGAGGGAGATTTACTTGTACTCGGTTTTTTGTTTTCTTTTTGTTTGGAAGATTTTACTGGTGGTGATTTTTTACGACACGTTCTCATTCTTGGTTGCTGATAAGACAATAAATTATTATACATTCACAAATAAAATTTATATAAAACTTACATCATTTTCGGAATCAACTGGCAATGGAATCAGTTTAGATTCTCTAGATCTCATTACCATGAGTTGTCCTTTCAGATCAGCAATCGTTCTTGTTTGTTCAGCCGTTTGTTGCACCAATCTATCAATTTCTTTGTTCAAATCTTGTTCTAAAACAACAAATATCACAATTTATTACTGTTCCAAAGTGAATTTACAATATTTAATCACCTATAATGGTAAAACAATTAATTTTATCCGATAAACTCTTTTTATCTTCAAGAGAATCCTCCAAAATGCCTTGTAAATGTCTTTTTTCAATTCTTGCCGCGTCTAAATCTGCACGCATCTGCTCTTTTTCAATTCGCATCGTCTGCAATTCCTTCTCAAGGGATTGCAATTCAATTAAAGCAGACTGTAATCTTTCCTGCATTTTCTTCATCTTTACATCACAAGTTTTCTTAGAATCATTACACTCTTGTTCAACAGTAAGTGCCATTTGATCAATATCCCTCAATTCTTTTTCCAGTTGTGTGTTTCTTTCAGCTAAACTTAAAGCATGCTTCATAGCCTCATGCTGTTTGTTCCTGGCATCTTTAAGTTTAATTTCCATTTCACTTTTTGACGTCTGTAAGAATTTAATCTCCTCTTGCTTGCCTTTCATTTCCCTTTGAATTTCTTGATAGCAACATTCATTTGTTAATGCATCAAGTGGCCTGCCACCTTCCAACATTCTATTCAATCTTGTAATCTCTTTCTCTCTATGTGTTAATTTAGATTTGAGCTCATCATTGATAGCACACAACTCTAACTGTTGTTGTTTTAACTTACAAACCTCTCTTGTCAAACTGGAAACTTTTTGCTCTGTCATTGCCATTGCAGCTTCAAACTCTTTGGATTTCTTTGTTGAACAAGGCAAGATATTTGAAGAAGATGTATGTCTGGAGGACTTTCTCACTGCATCTAATTCTAGTTCTCTAATTCTTTCCCTTTGTTTCTTATTGCTTGCAATGAATTCTTCCCTTTCTTTTTCCAATTTACACAGTGTTCTCTTTAAATCTCTGACATCTTTTGCATGTGATTCTTTTGCATCTATAAGTTTAAGGTGCAAATCATTACATTGCTGAGTCAATTTAGCATTATCACACTTGTATGGCTCAGCACCAAACTTCAAAGCATCTCTCTCCTAAAACAATCAACAAAAATTATGACAAATTCTGCTATGGCAACTTAAAAACAAAATACCTCAATAGCCTCCTGGGCAATTTGCATGTATTTTCGCAAATTATCGGTGGTTTCAATCAAGTCAGCCACGAGTTTTTCGACCAGTAGCACCGAATCGCCTTTGATTGCATAGTGGTAACCAAGATCAACAAGTTGTTGTTGGAGGCTTTGAATTCGAAGTTCCATTTTCAAATTTAGACACTCCAGATAAAACTAGATAAAACAGTGTTAAAACGTATCACAACTGGTTAAAACTGTACAATTATTTGAATTATATTCATTTTGTGAGTGATTTAAATCATCTTCGCACGATACAAACAAAACACAAACGCACGTAAACAAACTGCGTAAGAAATGAAATGTGTGGGTCACTTTTTAAAACATCCGAGAGGGGCGCCACCCTACAGTCAATCTTGAACGTTAACAATAAAGAAAACGGGGTTATACAAGTTACAAGAATCAAAACACTTTATCGGAGGTGGCGTTGAAACAAATCAGCGCACATGCAAAAACAAACGCTATCACTATACACGAAACAAGAAATAAACAAAAAACGACGTGCAGAAACAGCCCATCTAGCAACCCGGTCCGAATGGTTGTCCTCCCTTGTAGCATTCTACACTTCTACACTTCAAGCCACAACTAAATTACTTCACGAAGTGTACCACGCGGCTCATCTTCAACAGTTTTTTTTAACCTTTTCACAGCAACAATTTTAACATGGCCCCCAAGAAAAAGGCACCCACCAACGGGTACTTCTATTTACTTATGGAACTGCGTAATAAAATGGACATGAAGAGCGCAAATGAAGAAGCAGCGCGTTTGTGGCCGGTGAGTTGATTTGAATATACATAACATGACGTATTTTGACAAGATGAAATCTGACATTTTTTGAATTAATCATTTAGCAAATGACCGCTGCTGAAAAAGAACCGTACAACCTGCGTGCGAAGAAGGGCCGCAACGGTGCCATCAAGATGACTGCTGCCAATGAGAATCTTGCTTTGGTTCTTAAACAAGAACAAGATGCCAAAGAGCAGTTACTTTTTATGCAAGATGACATCAAGAGACAGATAAGATTTCTTTCTGAAAGCAATAGTATGTGCTTATCTTTAGATTTTATATGTTTACCTACAATTACGATTAATTTTCAACAGCCATTACTGAAGAGTACTTCCACATCATGCATGTGAACAACTTCTTTGTCACAACTGACATGGTCTATTATCCAGCTGAAATCGCCATTGTTAGGTTCAATTTCAAAGATGGCGTCCTCGATGAAAACGTCTACAATTCCATCATCAAGCCTGGAAAGTTTCCGATTGGTTACATGGGCTCAGCAAAAATCGCCTCAGATGACACGCATAAAATAAATTATATGAATACAGAAAATTGCAACATGGGAGAAGTTACCAGGGACATTTTTGAATTCTTACGTGTATGCATCTGTTATGATATAAATTACGTTTATAAAAGTAATAAATTTATGTATATTACTTAGGTATCAGCTAATCTCAGCTGTAATCCAGCTAAATTGCCACCAATTTACGTCAAGGACGATTTCAAGAGATTGGTTAAAGATGTCTTGTTCCAAATGGCTGATACTTATGGTAAAATGTCTGATAATATTGATTTATATCGATATATAAACAAAAATTACTATTTTAGGGTATGATCCAGAAGAGTTGCAAATTTACAGCTTGTCGTTTCTTTTGTACACTTTACGCAACGACATTCGCAACACTGTTGTTTGGCCATCAATTAGTCAAAGTATTAACGAACTTGATCGAGACATCTTCGATTATACTCCTGAAATTCCTTGTGAGGTAAACGATTTGCTCAAAATGTAATTGCTACAATTTAAAAATACATGAATTTTTGTGTTTTTTAAAGTATCACAAGTATGAAGCTGAGTGCCCTGTGCACTGCAGTCGTTCGCACGTGGTGCGCATGGCGTACATTTTGTGTGACAATTGCTGCGAAGACATGGGAATCCCGCTGGTCCCCGGCCGTCATGTGCCCAAAGACGCCATCACTGAAAAACTTATCTCGAGCGCATCTAGTGTCTCATCTATGCGCACTGCAGTACGTACAATTTGTTTTCTTATACTTATATTTATTCCATTCATACATATTCTATAAATATTTTGATTAAATGGTTTTCAGAGTGAATCGCATGTGAGCAGCGATAATCAGTCATACAGATCCAACATAAGTACAGTTGATTTCGATGACCGTTCCACAATGTCTAATGATCCAGTATGTTATATTAAAAAGTACAAAAAATTACGTTACTTATTACTATTACATATTTTGCCTTGTAGGATTTAGGGTGGATTGACGTGCAATCTGTAAGCTCCTCGTTGCAGTCGAGCGAAGCTGATTCCTGGTCGACAGTTACCAACAAGCGCGTGCACAAAGGGGGGCCACCAAGATCCGATTGGCGAAATACAGAAACCAGTACGTATATATTATAATAAATAATTTAATGAGTTGATATATTTTTTGCGTTTAGATTTTTGCGGAGGTCGCGGCCGTCGTATTGCCAACAGGAAGTAATCAGTTTGGCTTTTGGCACACTCACTCGACGAGATCCGAGTTTCAACCGGGTGAGAATTCAAATCTTAAATTTTTTGTATTAAATTACAGTTCATTTCTCATGTAAATCTTTAAAAAATGCAAATTCTACATTATCTTACTTGAGTGTTGACTATTATTATATATTTTATATTAAAAGAGAAGCGTAAAAATGGTTTAAGCAATTGTTTCGTGGTTTTTTTTACAAAATACTTAGCTTACACCCTTTACGCCTGTTTGCCATGTGTGCAGTGATGATTGTTGCAAAAGGTTCGCGGTTTAGTAGTTCGTATGAAGTACGTAGAAAACGGGCAGTTGTGTTGTTGAGGGCATCGATGCCGTAGAAGAGTAGGTCCCAGCCTAGTTCAACGCCCGTGCCAAAGTCGCACTCGTCGATTGCGATGCTGGTGTAGGTGAAAAGCGGCTGGAGTTTATCGAACATGCTTTCCTGGGATTCTGGGTCGCCGATTTCTTTAATTCTTTGCAAGGTTTTACTCAGTTCTTTTTCTTCCATGTACAAGTCACGATATCCTACTTCTGTCCTGTTTAAAACATGATTTTACACTACCCAGCTGCTAATAATTATAACTACTTACTTTCGATTGAAGGGCACAACGAGACCAACTTTGTTAAAAGTCCTAGCTACGGCTTTCCGCTCTCGGGCTTTCATGTTTTCTGTTTTCTTCATTAGTGAGTATTGTAAATTTTCTGCTTCCTTCCTAAACGCTTTTAATAAGTTACTTACTTTTAATTTTTGAAATGGATTGCAAGTTTTTTCTTGTTCCTCTAAATATAAACTAAACAAATCATTATTAACTTTAGTTTTTTTTTTTTCTCAAAATGAAATGAAATGTCATACCACACAGCCGCAAATATATTATCACCCATAGGAGTAATCAGACCATCTTTCTGCGCTGAATTGCACGCCATAAAAACAGGTTTCTCTTCGGGATCATCTCGGAAATAACCAAGATGATAACCGGTTTTATCATTACCCTTCAAAACAGTTTGAAATTCTGGTGGATCATAATAATATCTACAAAATAATAATTATTAGACTTCCACACTGTAAAATATTGTAATGTTTTACCTCCAATGAACTAGAAACTCATCTTCTGTAAATTCCTTCTCTGAATTAGCAAATTTACCATTCAAAGCATCAAAAGGTCCAACTAGCATTAAATCAGCATCCTGCAGAGCAGCACTGGGTTCATCTTCATTAATACTCTTACAAAAGTCCCAAAACTTATAAAAATCTTCAGGCATATCAACCAGAAACTTTTCCTTAATAAATTCTTGTGGTTTTAAGTCTTTGTAAATCTTCTCATTTGATTCAGATTTCTTTCCAATTTGTTTGCTCACGTTCTCATTTAACACTGAATCGTTTGAATTTGAATTATCATCTTCACTCTCAGACGCGGAGATGTTATTCGAAAACTTTGCTATATTTCTAGACACAGTTGCAGAAGGTGCAGCTGGAGGAATTTTATCTCTTGATTCAGTATGTTTGACATTTATTTTCTGATCAATTTTTGCTCTTGCATCAAAAACTTTAGGTCTTTTAGCTTGTGATTCATCCACTGCTTTTATATCCTATTTATTATAAATGGTTTAAGTTTAGAATAGGGTGTAATTAAAAATTTTAAAGTGTTCTTACTTGATTTCCTCTCTTAGGTGGATGCTTGAATTTCTTGTGATGTTCTGGATTTTTCTGATAGCATCGTACGCCGAATCTGCATGTCATCCGTTGATCTGCTGTCGAATCAGCCATCATTACACTGATAACACTTGAGTTCTTGAATTAGAATATGATTTTATAGATCGAAGTAAAACAATTAATTTAAGTAGACGCAGTGCACCAGATCAACACTGCACACAGAGAAACATATAAGAATTTTAACGGGGTTATGTTTTTTAACGGCGGTAATTTGATTGTTTTGTTGGTGTACAGATGGCGCTACTAAATTGAAAAATAACAAAGCAAATGAAACGAAACAAAATCAGAAAATATAATATATTTTATATATTTGTCGATGATTTTTATTGTTGAAATTCAATAGTTTCGTATGTTTTCATTCTTATTTTAACATTTCCTGTGCATAATACAACCTTTGAGCATTCTTATTAAAATCTTGAGTAAGTTTCTGCTGTCAAATAAAAATAAAAGTCAAAAACGAAAGAAATCAAGCTCTAATTGGTTTCAAACGCATTGGTGCACAAACATCCTGTTTGTCCTTCTGCAGACGCTTGCACACATAATCCCTGAATCCAGCAATAGAACTGTCCTGTGCATTTTGATCGAATTTCTAAAACAATATTTACGTTTAATAATCTTGCTAAGTGCTTCTTTGCATATACAAATATACAACCAACACAACACAATTTATTTTTGAACATTTAACTGTATTGATGAATCACATCTCACCTTGTCATAAACAATGGTCGGAATAAACTGTGGTTTGTAATGACTCGTTGTTTGTTCAGCTTGCAATTGCAGCAGCATGCCTGCCTTGGATTCAACGCATTGTTTTACAACTTCCCAAATAGCACCGGCCTGAGTCGCACACTGCATGTAACAATCACAACTTTCATTCATTTAATTAAATTCAATATTGTCAAACATGTGGCCACTTAAATGCTGGCGTGTTTATTGTTACCTTTTCGCCTTGTTCCATTGGATTAGTGACATAAGTTTGCATGAAACAGTGCACGTACTGAACCTGTTTGACTTGATCTGGAATCTGGTTCAGGACACAGGATTGAATGCGATTGCCTTTGCACTCGATTGGGCCGTGTTGACAGTCAAAGTCTCCATTTTGATTACTCTAAAAATATTCACACGATGTAATAATTTTTTAAAGCGTAATTAACACATCTTACGAAAGCCTTTCCGAATGGTACAAAGGTGATGTTGACATAGTCTGCAATCTCGTCAAAAGTTGGCGCAAGTTGGTTTTTAACAAATCTTACACTGTCAGGGCACAAGGATTCGTACAACAATTCAATATTGAGCTGAAAAAAGATAAATATTTAATTTTAATGTACATATTTTAGTTATCTTGAGATTAAGAGATAAGATATGCCATTATTTAAGTTAAGATTTTGTCAAGTGGACAATAGCACTTGTCAAAACTAATTAAAAATAAAATTTTAAGTGTAAATTCCGTGAAATATAAATTGATTCATGATACGCAAAATTATGGCAATAAACGCGTAATTGCTTTGTAATTAAATATGCATAATCGTTATAAGTCATAAAAACAACTTGTTTCAATTCTGAAAATTAGTATATCTACATTTTCATTTTATAATCTACCTAAAACAAGTTTTAAATTCAACAAAAAAATAAAGTTTTGTGAATATTTTAACGTTATCACATGTAAAACCAAGCAAAAACTAAATAAAACATTGTTTCAACTGTTTACTTTTAAAATCCAACGCAAAATATACAAATAATACTTTAAAAATGTATTTTTACCTTATGTGCATCATTGATCTGAATCACGAACAAAACACTTAGAACAAAACTTAAAAACTTCATTATTAAGTGGTTTTTGAAAGTTTATTATTATCTAAACTATATGTTCACTGCACTAGCAAGTTGCTTTTGTTAGGAACTAAACTAGACTGAACACAATGGCTGCACGAGATGCGCAACGGTCGACGGGATGCACGAAACTGTCGCGTTTCGAATCCGCCAACTTCCACTCCCTAACAATACCCCAACGATGTCGACAATTCAACAATCGATTTAGTTATATCGCTCGCTTATCGACCGCAGTAATTCGAACAACTTTTCGCAATTGGTATCATCACTCACGCACATATACAAAAGATTATATTATCGGATGAATAATGACGTATGATTGGTTTTAACTAATCCCGCCTATATTTAGTTGTAAAAATCCGCGCGTGATTTAACCACAGCCGAACGATCTTGATAACTAAACAAAAAGTAGTCATCAGTCGCAGCAGGAGGTCGGTTCACCTCGCTAAAATTAACGGTTGTTATCGTGTTGTGTTTGCGGCACTTTCCAAATGAATTTGTGTTTTTAAAGTTATCTTCTGTTTTTTTGTTGTGATGATGTTGTTGTCGGTGTGTTTCTTATTTTGGGCCGGACGCATTTGCAGTTAGAACCGCGAAGTGATTGACCTTTTTTTTATCTAGTTTGGTAACTTTTTTGTGGAACAAAAAAAATGAGACGAAGGCAATATAATATTATACTTAACAATATTGATGGAAATTTATAGTTAAATATTAGATAGGTTCGAGTAATATTGTTGTATAGCCTTGAAAATTTAGGAAATGTTCATTGCAAAAGTAATTATTATATTCTACAAGTACTTGGAAGACAGTATAAATGTTTTGGCAAACTTAGCTGCAATTATTTGTTTTAAAGAAGGTCAAGTTACACATTTTATATTAATACTCGTACAAACGAGATAAATCATTAATAAAACGAATGTATCGCTTCCTGGAGCACTCACATTTTCAATATTTTGAATTGATCTTAGATTAAAAATCATCTATGCCTATTTCTCTATCTGTTTCTGTTTACGAGATATTCTTTTTATGAATTATTTTCGACCTTTCTTATTTACCGAATTTTTCTTATTTTATAACGAATATTCTCTCAAGATGAAAAATCTTCAATCTGTTTATCGCTATCGCTTTTAGTTTTTGAGATATTGGCCATCAAAAAATCGAAAATTTAAAAAATCATTAAAATCTTGGAAAATAATATTTTATATGGTCTACATAATTGCTTTACTTTATAAAATTATAATTTTTATTAATTAAGTTGCTATTTTCAGTTGATTTGGGCAAACAGTGAAGAAACAAATAGGTAGAGTCCTACACTGAGTTCTTTCACAGTTTTTTTCAAACTGAGTTAAACTCTATTCCTATGTATACTCGTACCATGATATTTGGGTTGCCTACATCAGAACCCATTCCCCACGATTATAACTTACTTACCAGTATTTCAAATAATCGAGGTAAATAATTGACTTAAGAAAACAAAACCTCAATATTATTATTAATTTACAAACCACGACTGCGGTAAAAATACAATGCATAACGATACACATTTGCTTATTCTGAATACCCACTTTCAGTACTTATTTACAAAATTTAGCAACGATGTAAAAGCGATGACTCTTCCAATACTCTGAAAGAAATATTTTCAACAGTTGTTTCACTCAAGTTTCATTTAACTTTTGCATTTGCACGTTCGTCAAATAGCGTATCTTGTCCGGGGAAGCACATCGTTGTTAGCGTATTATTATTCACAGCGTGTTTCTAAAACAAACAAAAAATAAAATAAAAATCAAACAGTAAAACAAAAAAAAATTAAATATTTGGTAAAATGTGTAGTGAAGAACAAGTTTTTATTACAAATATTTCCACATTCTCTAAAATATCATTAGTCTTTCATAACTAAGTGCGAACATGTGATGCACTCGAAACTATTTACATTTATCATGACAATCTAATAAATATTAAAGTGTAAATGTGTAAATTTGAAAACCGGTTGCACGAATGCAACGAAAACCTAATATTAAACCAAATATTTCAACAAGTTACAAGGTAAAGAAATGACAAGTAGGCGCACTTGGGGAAAAGTGATGTATCACCTCATTAAACAATTAGCACCGCTTTGGCAGCCCACTACGCATACTTTACTTAGCGTCATTAGGATAGGCGCGCGCAGAAAGTGACGATGAGTAGCGATTACAATTAATTTACTTACACTTTTCTTTTCCGATACGTCAACACCGTTCACTGCCGGTTTCTTATCGTCACGTTTGTAGCTACGATCGTAGAACTTAGAGAACAGGTACAAGAACATCAGCGCGTGAGAGAAGATCAAATAAACGAACACTTTCGGATAATCGCACTCGATGAACAGCAATTGAGCGGCGTGAATTCCAACGAGCGTGAATTGAACCTAGATTATAAACACAATGTACACAAATGTTATACAAGTTGCCTATAGTAAATAAATCATAACCTCACTTACCATTTGTAAAAGAGTCAGGTACTTTTTCCACCAAAGATACTTCTTGTATTGTGGTCCTAGCGCTGCTACTAAATAATATGAATACATTATGATGTGTACAAAAGTATTGAGAAAGCCGAAGAATGTTGAATTGCCTCCTGGGAAAAATTTAACTCCCCACCAGACTGACATTGGCATTATGCCATGATGAATTACGTGCAACGCACTTATTTGATGATTGTTCTTTTTTAACACAAAGAAAGCCTAAAATCACAAAATTTCATGAATTTTGTTTAAAATTAGATGAAAATGCAATTACCGTGTCTAAAAATTCAAAAAACTTGGAGAGGAAATACAAGTAACACCCTCGGACAGTCTAAAAACACATAACCTTATTATTGAACTAGAATTCATTGTATAACCTTCAAACTTACACGAAGTGCTACGGGATTATTTGAAAAGTCCACAGGTTGACATGTGTAACTGTAGAATGTGAGCCATCCATTAACACAGGCCTAAATACAATCCCAGACAATTAATTACTAATAAATTTATACAAATAAGCAAATAAACTCAAATATTAATGAGTGTTTGGCTTAGTATCACTGTTTACATACATATTATACAATATACCACTGATTTGTCGGTTTTTATTCTGGTTCTCTTCACGTAATTTTAATTTGTTTGCACACGAATGAATGACGAAATCAATATAGCTGTTAACTTACTTCGTGAAACAGAAAGATACTCAACAGCACTTGAATGAAGTTGTAAGCGATGATGGTTTTCCGTAGTTGAAACGGTTTGCGATTTTCCATCAACTTCGGGCCGATTTTCGTCACGGTGATGGCGTATATCAGCGAGATCGCAATGGTAGGGAATGGCGAAGACATGAGAAACCATCCTTTGACTCTAGGATCTTAGAATAAATAGTAAATTAAATTTTTTCAATAAATTTTGCGATAAAAAATTTAAAAAAATATTTTTTCTTGTTTATTTTTGATTTATTTTATATTTTGAACCATATGTAATTAAAAAAATATTTTTTATAATTATTATTGCTGTAAATAGAAAATAAAACATTATTATTATTTATTTTTCGTATATTTTAATTTTTTTCAATATCATTTGCAATAAGAAATAAAATTTCAATTAGGTATTTTGTAGATTTTGTTAATATTTTTTTGATTTCATAATTTCTAATAGCTAAAAACATTTTTTTAATAACAACTAAATGTTAAATTATTACCAAATATTTAAACTTTAAACTTTACAATTTTTTTAAAATTAAAAAGTCTTACCTCCATATGTATCAAATATGTAATGATAACCATTCCACAAATTCATCATGTTGATGCTGTTGAAATATAATCCACACAATTATCGAAATTATTAGTCGCGTTTTGTAATCACAGCGTCACGAACCGAAGTTCCCGCCGCGATTTTCGCGATGTGTCTTCGCCGGACCAGCACGCAACAATGAGCGACGCTAAGGTGCGTCAACGTGCGATATGTACTCGCGGTGCATGTCGATGGCGACGTAGGTACACATTTGGAAATTGAACTGTTCACTAGACTCCACCGGCCACCGACCACCAGCCGACGCTAATCATCACACCGTCGGAGACAACAATAAACAATCATCCAAGACGTATGCGTGATTTGCAAAAATTTCATTTCACACTTTCCCAAACCTAAATTTTGATTATTTGTGCAAATAATGCTTGTTATTACTTGCAAAATGATGTTTAAATCAATCATACGTGATGTATTAGTATGAAAACATAAAATAAATAAGATTTTATTAAATAACAATGAAAAACTCTCTGTTTATGTAACATAATCAATGAGTCTCTGTAAAAAAGTAGTCCAGAAGACATAACCTCTCAATTTGTCTCGCATATTAGGTTAGCTATCATGTTTTTCGCGCTGCTTGCAAGCAAAACTAATTGCTCTGCTGACTTGTCACGAACAATACGAATAAATATTTATTTTTACACGCGCACACGGTGAAAATCTAGTGTTGACATTTCCGACATTCTTACGCATTTGAAAAAACGTGTAATTACTTAAGTTATTAAGATGGTTAAGAGTTAGGACACTGAGCGTCGTCGCCGATTATTTATTTTTGTTATTTATGGCGACAATCGGACAGCTGTCATCGTGCGGTCGTGCCAAATGACGCAATATAAAAATATCTTCTTGAAATAATAAATATTTGAACGTACTTACATGCATGCTTAAGGCATTAATTTGCAAATCTTTAAAATGACAGCTATGTGCGTCGCATAGCATGGAATTGTTATTGGCGGGCGTTCTAGAGGAAGGTCAACTATGGATTCAATGAGTAGAAACAATTCAATAAAATTTAAATATCAATATTTGCTTTCTTTGATGGTACAGGAAGTTTTTTTTTAAATAATTTGGATTTGGGTACAAATAATCAATGAAATAGTTGTTGTTTAAATTATTTTTTTCTTTTTATTTTTATGAAATTGATTTATTGGTTCGTAAAGGACGTTTTGTATTAATTCATGGATAGTTGGTTGCCTATATTTCAAAAATTTGGTTAGCAATTAATTGATTTTAAATTAATTTACAGGAAATGAAATAATTTGAATTAAAGTAAAGGAAATCAATAAATTTGTTTTCTTTTTTACGATTTTTTACTTTTTGTTCTTACCAAATCGATTTATAGATTCGTAGAAGAAGTTTTGTATTGCAACATTGTTGGTTGCCTATATTCTAAAAGTTAGGTTAAAAAATTACAGATTTCAAATTCTTTTCTCGTGTATATTTAACAAATTGTAATTTACAAAGAATTTCAATTATGTTAAAATATGTTTTCACTTAAACTTAATTTAAACTTAATCATTCTTATCAATATCAATAATATCTACATGCTTCCATTTAGTTGCCCACATATTCCACATTTTGTCCATTGTAACAAGCGCAAGATGTTTACAAAAATATTTATCGCCTAAACCTCGACTAGAATGAAATATTGAAAATACAATTACATTCATCAAACATTTAAAAGTGTCTACCTATATTTAGAATAATTATTCCATGCTATCAGCTAGATAGAATTACATTTACGTACTTAGTTTATTTAGATCCTTTGTTTTGACTTGACTTCCGCGTCCTCTTTGCTCAATATGCATTGACAATTGACAATGAACTAAACCAAGCAAGTCGTTGAGTTGTTTTCATGTTTCTGGAAACGCATCTCGTATTCTTGCATGCTTTACAACCTGTAAGGTGCTTTGCTTGTGTTTTATTGCCGCAGCCGTCAAATAATTTGTTGGTTATTGTTAATCTTTGGTCCGTTCGATGCAAGGTGCATGTGTAATTATAGATAGGATTTAACTAACACACAAAACGCATGAAATTCAATGAAATTGTAAACAATACGTGTTAACAATACAGTTAGTTTTTCATTGATTACAAGAAAACCAATAAAGGTATCGTAATAATTTCTTCAGGAACCTATTTAGTATTAAATTTTAAACTGACTTGTAAAAAAATTACATTTATGATATTTTGGTGTCAAAAGTTATTAATTACTTACGCAGGAATTTCAATTTTTTCAAAATTTTATTTTAATTGTTAACTTTTTCTGTAATTACTTTATCATTATAATTTTATGCAATTAGATAAATAATTTAACTGAAAATAAATTCCAGAAGGAATTATTATTTTAGCTGGAATAGTTTTTGAGTGTTTAATAAAAAACTATGAATATTACCACAATTAAAAAATAGTGTCATAACTTTTTCTGAAAATAATTTTAGTTTAAATATTAGTAATAGAAATATCTAAATAAATAAGTGTGGCTTAATCCTAAACTCTTGTACTCGTTCGTAGATAGTATTGTACTATTTCCATTGTGAATTTGTTGCATCAAAATCATTAAAACTAAAAGCTTAAAATTAAAAACGTATTGTTTGCATTTGCCGGCTACCATAATGCGATATATTGTTGCTACCTGTTGCTCATTACATTCTTCCTTTGTTTCGTGTGTGCAGTGTGCGGTTATGTGGTATCTGTTGCATTAGCCTAGGCTCGAAATGCAACAAGCCGCACTTGGCTTCGTTTCGAACCGGGCCGGGTAAGTGGCGAGTAAAGTAAGTGAGTAAGTAACTACAATTGTTCGAAACTTGGATGTCGCTGTGTCGTCGGCGGCGAGAACGCGATATTGGAATGCGTCGCCGTGCTATCGACTTATCTATCGCGCAAATAGAACGTGCGCCGCTAATTGTGGAGAATTTACTTTTTCGATATTACTAATTCAACTTTTCCACCGGCCGCTTCAAACTTCAAGGTGATCAATGGATGAACAAGTGGGGAAATTTATAACGCACTTGCGATGTATTTACGCGCATTTCTCGTTTTTATGCATTTTCTACAAGTATTTAATTTATCTACAGGGTGAAACATTATTGAAGATAGGCAACCAAAATTGCATAATTATTTACCAACGGTTATGTAAACGCCAAAATTTAAACAAAATTTATATTTTGTGTTAATTGTCATGATTTAATTGACTCTACATTTGCAAAAATTCAATTTTTCTAATTTAACTATTGTTTTACAGCAAAAATAGTTAAAATTGAGTCAAATTTATATATTTTTTTAAATTTTTAAACATGATAATAGTAATTCTATTATTAAATATTTGTTACTAAAGTAGAAATATACTTTTTGTTATATAAAACTTTATTTTGGTCCACTTGAATACGAAAAACTTTGATACTTAGCGAAATTTGTAACTTTTATATTACTTTTTGCTTTCTCCAAACTTTTTCTCTTTAAAAACTTGCAAAAATACAACAAAAAAGTTTTGCACCATATGTACCTATTTGCTTATGAGTTTTATTAAGACATCCTGTTCACAAGTCGCAACCGAAGTTGTAAAACGACTTTTTAAAAAGAAATCTACCGAAGAATAGTAATTAACATTGTGACAACTACAAAGAACTTCCGATAGTATGCAATAAATGCTTTGGGACTTTACGATTTTAATTATTAAATAATTTAGAAGCATAAACTTTTCTTTTTTATCGCGCGTTATTAAACGTTGTAAATATCTACAACTTAACATTTATAAAACCAATTTTAAAGTACTTAGAAACATTTTTGTTTAATTAGTAAAATAAATTCCAATTTTCTGCATTCTGCATTCTGCAAACTTGTTTAAAAGCCTCATTGCCATCGATCATAAAAATACTCATCGAATGTTGCAATATGCGTCGCTTTCCTTGACTTTTTCGCCGTTTTCGCACAAATTGCCGGTTCACGTTCAATCGAAAGCAATAAGATTCACAACGTTCGTAAACGGCGTTGTGTTTTTTTTCGTATTTAATCACCCGGTTATATACGGGCATGCGAAATACTTTTTGATAATACGCTTGGCATTATCGGTACACCGCGAGAGGATGTGTCGCAACACACCTGTTGCAGTACACAACGCACGCAAATACACTTGTAGGTGTGTTCCGTCAAGGTGCTCGCAGAAATAAAATATCCAAGCGGAAAAAAATTCACCACCGTTTATGCGCTAGGCGCGATAATTATTGTGCAAGTGCGAGTGTTTTCTCAGCGAGATTCGAAGTGAATGAAACCTGCGGTCGACCGCAGGCAAATGCATCATATTCGCATATCTAGGTGAAGAATAATTGCGCGATTTATATACTTTATATTACCGCATTATGGTAATACGCGCAATGTGTGTGCGAGCCAAACAGTGTAAACACGATTGGAAATGTTAATTGCGGCCATCGCAGCGAGTATGCGAAAAATTCGTTGTTGCGAACGCGAAATGTTTATTCGGGTCAACTGTGAATGTGACTTGCTGTGCATATGTGCGTATCGAAAACGTGTGGAAAAACAAATTACATAAGGGAGCACCTAAAATATACCTATCTCATCTAAAAAATCTTTTTTTTTTTCCTCGAATAAATTCTTTTGATCCTCAGTTTTAATTAAAGTCAATTAAAGCGACATCCAAATTTTTAATTAATGTGAGAAAGTGTAAATTCTGTGTTTTTTTACATTTTACATCATCATACATGCGTTACTATTGAATCTACCTTTATGACCGCCGAAATGCGAACAGCACTGATGGTGCTGAAAGTGTTCACTCCGGCTATTCGAGATCGCATTGCCGCCCCCACCGCCACCCGATCCACGCAGGTTGCCATCCGAGTGAGAGTTACGTGGTTGTTTAGCCGCCTCCGCTGAACGCTTACCCAGTTCGATAATGCTATCACGAGCTTTCGTCAAATTACTGCGTGAAACGATGATACTAGGCGCAGGAGATGCTTCCTCAGCACCGCTTGTCAAATCCATGGATTCTGCAAACCCATCATCAGTTACCTGCCCACCGAATGCATCAGCGGGATCAGAACTAGCTGATGATGTTTTACCTTTGAATAAGATTTAAAAGCTTTCAAAGTCAATACACATAATTACATATTTACTAATTTTAATGTAATGTGGGTTGCCTATATAATTTTATCTATGGTGTTTTCAGTAGCTTGTTGACAACAACTTAGCAATTAAGTTTGTATTTATTCACATACCTAAAGATTGTTTTGCTGACGTGGGCGTTTTCGCCGGGGAAGTTCCCGGCGAGTTGCCGACGCTGCGCCGGGCGACATCCTGATAAGTAATCGGTGAATAAATACCGGAGCGCACTGCTGAGCTTGGAGCCGTCGTGGGTTCCGGATGGGTCTCCGGCAAGGCGATGAGGTCACGATGCAATGGTTGGCGACCATTTCGATCCTCCAACCAGTAGGTCTTCATCACACCTGCTTTGAACACACAAATATTAAACGCATCCATTCTACACAAATATAAATAAAATTATTTATATTTTTAAATTGATATATGCGTTTCGTCCAGTGCGAGTAGTAGTATTGAATGTAACCTTTGCCTTTTACTTCGACCTCCCCGCGCTCGCCAACCTTGTACTCGGATGGGAGCAACTCCTTGGTGGACTGCGAGATGTGGATCTGCATTGCAATACTGGTAGACTCCATGCGTGAGGCTGTGTTAACCGTATCACCAAACAAGCAATACCGAGGCATTTTTAGGCCCACGATGCCGGCGACTACCGCTCCCGAATGTACACCAACACGTATCTTCAAATGTTGTCCTGGGGGAAATTAACATCATTTTTTTACTTGGTTTAGTGCTTGAGGGATTAGTTTTAGATTAAATTAAGTGCGGTAAGGTAATACCAGTTGATGGATCTTTTAAAGTGGTTATAGCATCGACCATGTCCAGCGCCATGTCGCAGATCCTCTCGGCGTGATTAGCTTGTTTTTCGGGAGCGCCTGAGACCACCATGTAAGCATCCCCAATTGTCTCCACCTGTTGAACGGAACAAATAACATTTTCTCAAAGTCAACAACTCAATATTTGGAGCAATTTCTTTTTCCTTTTTTTGTTTTTCTAACCTTGTAAACATGATTAAATTCAGTAAGATTGTCGAACATGGAGTACATCCCATTGAGCATTGAGACAACCTCCATGGGACTGATCCTGCTGCAGATCGCCGTAAAAGACACCACATCAGAGAAAAGAATTGACACATTGTCAAACATCTAAGGAAAAATGACTTTAAACATGTTTAAAACTTTTTAAAATAAAATTTTGACCTCGCAGGTGTCAATGGGGTTTTCTCCAGTCCTAAGTCTATCAGCCACTTGTCTCGGAATCATCTGATAAAGCAATTCATCAGTTCTCTTCATCTCCTGGTCTAGTTTCCGCATAGATTCCTCTAATTTTTTACTCTTTTGCTGCTCCTGATCCAACGCAAGCTTCAATTCAACGGATTGTTGTGTTCCAGCTAACATTAAATCCCTACACACAAAATATTGAACCAAAATACATACAGAGTAATACAGAATAACAACCTGCTGAAATCGTGCATGGATAAATCATTAATATACAATCCAGAGTTGAGTAATGAGTTTAAGTCGGGCATTACAGGCGTACCAAGATACATCATCATTTTCCAGTTATCCATGTAAACCATTTGACCTGAGTAAAAGTATAAGTACAATCAAGGATGTTGTTTATTAATTATTGTATATTGGTACCCTTGAGACGTAGATTTTTTTCCTCGCCCGTTTCCGAAGAGTCGTCGTTTATCAGCTCGTCCGCTCTACCGGCGTCGTCCTTGTCCGTGAGCACCGGTTCGACGGAAAGCAGCTCGAAGATGTTGTTTGTCCTGTTCAAGATCTGCAAACATGACCGTCAATTCAATCGCATGGCACTTGTGGGGCACTTGGAGCTGCTCACGGTCTCGAACTTGAATTCGGTGAGTGGCCGCACGAGATCGAACCAATTCGTCAACTTTTTACCGACGATATCCGGTAGGATCACGATCAACGAGTTGCCGATACTTCGGATGACCATATCATGGCTTATTAAAAAAATACAACCTTTTAATACTAGTTATTAATGTTTTATTAGAAAATTACCCGAAAACAATGCAGAATGGAAAGATTTCGAATAGCGCTGACGCGCTGATCGGCAGATGGCGCTCCTCACGTGTCATGGCCAACGTGGCCATTGTGAATGCGCGATTGTCAAACGTACATTGAAAGGTCACGTGGATCATATCAAAGAGAATTTCTTCCTTGACCAGCTCGATTTTCAATTCTTTCTGATAAAAATGTCTTGCTACCTAAGGAAATTATTCAATAAAAATTAAACAAACAAACGTTAATAATTTAATAAGAGGAAATTATGTTGTTTTGTCATAATTATTGTGTTTAATAATAATAATTGTTAATTATAATGTAAATGATATGCAAAATTACACAAATTACAAATTATAATCGCATGTTTTCCGCGATGGGAATTTGCTTGTTTCCATATTATTATAAATCCTGCACGCAACCAATATGCACACATACCTCAACAAAATGGCGTCAATAAACAATTATAAATCGTGAACTCATCGTGCTGAATAAAATATGATTATTGAGCTGGAATTTTGCGGCCAAGACATAATTAAATAACGTTTATGCAGTGTTGCCATATTAACAAAGAAGAAAAAATCGGCAACAACGCAATGTCAAACATATTTATAACCTAAATAACTAACTATTATGTAACACTTTTTAAATGATTTTGATTAATGTGGCTTTTACTTACTTCTCGGATTTGTCCCATGGTATAATAAACAAATCCACGCCGCTTGCTGCGATAGTGCAAGGTGAGACCTTGCCGCGTTTCATTCTCGCAGATGAAACTAGGCGCGCGCATGCGCGGATAGGAGAACTTGAGATATTCGTGTAAATTATCCAGTCCGTTGAGAAAATCGCGCATATGACGACCGAGCACTGATAGGACACGATCGTATCCATATTGGCCCACAAACGCCACGAAAAAAACGCCCATTTGGTCGAAGAAGTCTTTTTCGCTTACTTTTAATATCTAACAATGCAATGTTTATTTTAAAACTACTTTAAAACAAAAGATTAAATATTTACTTACCTGAATTGCTTTTTTTGCCAATTTGGGAATCAACGTTTCCGGATATACCTGATGCGTGCTGAAGCTGGGCTGATCCACAGCCGCAGCCTTCCGGATTTCCTCCCATTTATCATCGCCGTAGGTGGCTTTTATATATTCCGAAAGATTTTCTAAGATTAAACCGTACATTCTGAAAATAAACAAAGAAATAATAAATATTTTATGTTTCTTCATTATTTCTATTATTATATTAATAATTAAGTAAATAGTTGGTTTTTATGCCATCGTAGCATGTAAATTGTTAATATTGAAAGAGAAAACAAATATTCAGCGTCTTTGTGCGCCAGCAGTAACTTTTACAATCTCATTGACAATGAAATTCTTTCCTCAGCAAGAATTCCGCGCGTAATAAATAGTCGCAGTCGTTTTGCGGCGTCGTTATTTGTCCTACTCGCTTTTCCGCCTTTGATTATTTGCCCTACGGCCTATTTATCGCGGAACAAAGGCACATCAACGCAGAGCGCAAGTTCATGGCTCTATAAACCGCTTTATATTATATCCACAAATTTCAGATACATAGTAAAGGAGCAACAAGCAAAAAACCACCTCTAAAACTTAAGTAATACGATGATTTCTGATATAATTTATTTGCACATGGGTAAACAACTAAAATTAATTTAATTTGACAGTATGATTTCATGATTTGTATTAAAGTGACGAAACAGGATTTTTCTCAGAATTGAAAAGCGTCTGCTTCAATCTTGAAACTTGATGGGAGAAGGCAAGGCAGACAAGTGCAAGTGCAGAGCTTTTCTGTTTTCTATTATAAATGTGTGCTGTTTTACTCTTTTATCTTTCGCTCGTACGCACCCCGACTTATCTTATGTCGGTCGTGGTTCTGATTTCAGCATCCTATCCCAACATCGTCCTTCTTCGTGGAACACTCGAGGACACAACACGCCATTACGGCATAATATATTATATTGTGTCTTCGAGTACCGAAATACCTTTTCTGTGGGTTTTATATGATTTTTTTACGCTTGAGGAAAACAAAATCACGTTTAAGACAACAAAAAGAAAAAAATAGTGGTTAGGTTATGATTTATTACAAAAAATTCAAATTTAAATTTAAAAAAATCAAAACTTTAAAAGATAAAGCATAATTTACACCATTTCTATGAGTATAAAAGTTTTTTGGCTTCTTGAAGGCAAAATCACGTTTAAATCAATAAAATAAACATATGTAGAATATTATTAAGAAAAGTAAATATCAATTAAAAATAAATAAAATATTAAATTGTGATTTTTTTTGGTTGTTGAAAGCAAAATAACGTTTAACAAAACAAAAAGAAAAAAATATTGAGGTTATGTGCGATATAAATATAAAAACTTAAAATATTAAAAAAATGACTAAAAATAAGTATTCAATAAATATATTTAGGATAATTAAATATGAAGTGGTTGTTGTGGTCCTGGAATATATTTAAAGGATCATTATAACAAAGCCCGCAGGCTGTAGTGATGCGTGGGTGAATGAATAACTCGGGTAAGTTGCCCCGATTAAGGTTGATTGTATACAACCGGATTTGAGATTTGCTTCGACAAACATTCCCGTCGTAGCCTGCGAGATTTTGTGGGTGCTCCAAGCGCTCCGGTCGTGTTTTGCTGAGATTTCAAAGTGAAAATCGAAAGCGACTTGCGTAAGAAAACAAAACTTTGTTCCTTCGGGCTTTTCCCGCTTCCTGTCATGCAATACAAAGCCTGGTGTGTGCTAATACCTTAGGCGCTGGATTATTGGACATTAAACAAACAAATAGAAGCAATAAAATATGTTAGAGACTTATAATCATTAAATTATAACAAAAATACGTTGAATTTTTACAGAAATAAACAAATATAAACATAATTAATTTAAAATTAAAGAAAAAAAAGTTTAAAAAATTAATATTTGTTGATTTAAGTTATAAATATTAGTAATAACCATGTAATAACATTACCATTACTTATGTTAAACTTTACTTAGCTAAATCTTCAGTTAACATTTAAAAATCGTTACGCAAACACAGATTTGTGTAATATTTACTTAGATTTTTTGTTTGGTTTATACCTATTGCAATTGCACATTATCGCATTATTAATCTGTGCGTAATAATCACTTAATTGCAATTGAATGGCAATAAAACTGTTTGACTTTGCTGTAAAGTGCAAGCGATATTCAATAATCAATACGGTTCGATTGATTCGATTGAATGACTCAACGCAAAAAACACAAGAACTAACTGAATTGCGCTTGCATTTTATAACGCTTATAAATCCACCTTGTAGTATTGCAGCATTGCGTTCGTAGATTGCTCCATTTGGAAAATGTGCTGCCTGCTCATGCATAACTGAAATGCGGATTTTCCATCTCGGCTAATGCAATTTTTACAAAGGTGGCATTGCCATGAATATTACGCAAGAGTTCTACATCGATCATTTGACTAAATTTATTGTACCTTAAGCTATATATAATAAAATGTAACATAACCTAAATGCAACTAATTTATTGTGTTTATCTTTTAACCTAATTTAAATCTTAAATAAATATTGAATTTGTACGATAGATAAAGTTATAGCATTCCATGAAAATTTTATTACGGCCGCTTTGGTTATTTCATGATATTTGCCGCTGGTGCTCAGCTGATAGCTGATATTTGACGTGAACTTTTGCACAATGTCCTAAAACTTTTATACGTGTACTCACGCACTGAATATGTGAGCATTTGTAATAGCGTGAGAATTCTGACAAGATAATATCTTCTGTAATGAAATAAAATACTCACTGATGTAAAATTAAATTAATATAAATTATAATTATCAATTTAAACACAAATAAAATACAATATCATGTTTAATACTCATTATCATTACTTAAAAACTTATTTTTTCACCAAAGATTGTTTATATTTTAAAATTTTTGTATATTTTTAGTAAAATAATTTTATTGCTACCCAAAAACTGTTTCACTATTCAAATGAAGATAAAACATAAAAAATTGCAAGATTCCACAGGATCATAAACCGAAGCGTTATCCGTTATCCTCGCTCACTCGCAGGATTGTCTCCAGCTTCACCGCCATTCAGCGCGAAAGGACGAAAGCTCTTGTAAACTTCCGGCGACGGAAGGACGCGCCGCCGAGCGCTGAGAGGTGCACATTAATCATAATATTTTAACGAACATTTATGTCCGCTTGTCATTTATACTAGTTTGTATCCAGTATCGCCGCACATTTCTTCTTTATCTGCGGGTTATTCGTCTCGATAAATGTATTACCATCAAATTTGTAATTTAAAGAGAAGTCTTGAGCCAATTGCCAATGCAAAGAATAAAACACAAGAATGCACTTACAAATATTAACTGCTATGAATATTAAACAATGAGTGATTGAATGAAACTCGGTTAAAACAATTTAAAAGAGTTTAATTCTTATTTTAATAATAATTTAGTAGTTTTTATTATTTTAGATTAAATTCATAAGAAAAAAATGTTTATTTTTTTAAAAATGTAATTATTTCTTCGAAATTTATATTTTTCTTGTTGAAATGTAATTTTCTGGAAATATATCCTTCTTAAAAACTATGTAGGAACATTTTTCAGTCACTTTTTACTACTTTTCAACTATACATTTACTCAACGTGGCAGAATTTTCGCGGCGAACATAATATAATATTGCACTTAACGTTAATATTGCTACGAATATTAACTAATAAAAATGGAAAATTTATTATTTTTATTGTTATTTAATAAGTCGTAAAATATGTCATAATAAACAATAAAATGCTAATTCTTGTTTTTTTCATTTTCATTCAAGCAAATTTTAAGGTGGTTATTTCTATGAAAATTAACCTATAAATTAATAAAATACGAGAAAATAACTTTTGCAAAACTTTTATCGTGGACATGAATTAGAATTACATAAATTCATTAAAACAATGCAAAGTTTCAAAATAAAAATATATAGACGCGTGTAGAAACAAAGTTTCAACTAAATTTGATATTTCGCTAAAATATGCTTGTTTTTGACAAGGGTTGAATACGCTTTCAACATTCTAAACACATTTTATATTATCCCAAATTTCCAATCGATAATTTTAACTTTCCTCACTTCCAAAACGCTTCTCAAACGACAAATTTTACCTTCCTACATTCATTATTTTATGATTATGTCACGAAGCCAAAGAGCGTTTAACTTTTCGAAACATTCGTGAGTTGTGAGTTGGTTTCTTCTAGATGAATCGCAGGAGTAGCAATTTATGTACATAAAAAGGCATAATTTGAGCACTCGACGCAAGACCTGAAGCAGTTGAAGGCTCAACTTGCGTTTGTCACGCCGTGTCACTTGTGCTAATTGCAAGGCGTCGCACAAAGTTGCGTCCAGCATCGTTAATTAAACTTTGCTTTATTCATAAGCAATGTTACTAATTAGGAATCTGAACGCAATTAATACGCAGTAAGTTGACTAGATGACAATTGAAAAGGACGCGAAAGAGAGGAAATAATGAATTTTGTGGAACATTCTCTACTTTAATTAAAATTTAAAGTCAACACAGAATTAATTTTAAAGTTAAAGTTTGTATTTTTACACCAAACAAACGTATTTAAACAAAAAATTTTAAAAGAGAATAAAACGGTTATTCATTTTTGGTCATATTAGGGTACTTTCTATAAGAATTTGAGGTTAAAAATGCATTTTTATGGTCAAAGTACTCTTTGACTATAAAACAATCACAAAAAATTGTAAATAACTCCAATGGTTCAAAAGATACAGGGTGTTTTTTCACCAACATTATGTAAAATTCAAGAAGCTGCAATATGTGCATAGAAAGTAAACTTATTTCAATTTTTTTCTGTGCCAATGACACATATTTCATCTTTATGCAACATTGGGTCATCCTAAAGTTTAAGTTTAAGCTTTGGCCTCATATGTAAAACGCGTGCTAAACACCTCTTAGCGTTTATGAGTTTTATTTTTAAACGCCATTAATAATGAAAGAGAAAGTCTTCATTGTTTAAATTTGCATATAAAACGCAAACATTTGAATAAGTTTGGTAACACAACGTATATTTCATTCATCTGTTTGTTTTTTCCAAATTGTGATGGACCAATCGCCTTAAGTACAAGTCTCTACTCAAGACTTTAAGCGAAAGTGCAATCTAACAAATAAATAAACTTCAAATGAAGTAATTGTAAATTAGATAACTCTAGATTTCAAATTTAAGTTAAAAAAATATAAAATTAGTTTATTACCTGTTTGATTATCCTGTATAATTCGCAACAAGTTGTCGGTTTGTTATAGATTGTTTATGATTACGCAAAGCGAGTTAATATCATGTCTATTAAAGTTATCTCGAGTTGAATGTCGATTAACGCCCGCAAATTTCTGTAATTCTCAAACTTCGTTGTGGTTTAATCAATCTTTAGCATAAAATTAATTCGAGTAAAAATTTTCAATGAATGAAAAAGTTTTCTATAAGTTTATAAATATCACAAGCACATTATTCTCGTTGAATAGTCACGTTATACATCAGTCACGTTTCGCGTTTTTCCACGACCCGGCAACACGAAGGAATAGGGAACGTGTTGGAAAACCCGCGACGCGTCCAGCTCGTCGACTGATGCCCAAGACGACGCGTCGCGGAAAATCAACCCGCCGCCGACGCCACCGCCAGACGTTAGGGCGCAAGCGTCTTCCAAATGTTAGCACGATGGGGCATGCGAGAAAATGAGGACGGCGGCCGGGAGAGAAAAAAAGGAAACAATACCCGCGGCGTTCGCATGCGGATCACTTTCGGACAATCAATTATTTCCACTTAAATGGATTTAATTAGAAGTTCGATGTGTCGACACTTTCGGTTCGGATGAGGAGACTGCCTATTTGACGACAGATGTAACAAAAATAGAATTTTTCTTCTTTTGCATTGATTGACACATTCATTCTTCAATTTACCAACAAAAAACTATTGTAGCTTATGATAAATATATTTCCTATTATTTAATAAATGTTTATTCATGCGGTTATGGTTTGAAAAATTAAATAACTTGATTGCAAGTTTGCATTCGCAAATATTTATCAAAATAACTTTGAGACATCAAACAAAAATTAGCGAACGGTAGCATCCCAAGCATTAAAAATAGCAAATTCGCGCGAAGTCTTGAGATAACTTCGCGACGTGCGCAATATAAATATTTGCACGCGGCGAACAGGAAACATATTACGACTTCTCTTTGAAGCAAAAATCAATTATGTCACTTGAATATTTTTCCAAAATACACTTTATCGAATCTCACATCAACCGAATATAATACTTCTGGATGTAAAATATGTAAAATGCTTGAATTAATTGATCAATGCATGTAATTGATCAAAAAATTAATGCCGGCAATCAATTAAGCATCGTTTATGACCAGTGCCCTTGTTCGCTGTCTGCTCGCATTCATATTCCGCTGGTTGTCCGTCCTTAATGTCACTTTACATAAAGAAAGGTAATTGAAGTGTCGCGTGCAATTGGTCCGTGGCCCACACCATCGCTCGGAGGTAATTAAAACATTACGAAAATATATCGCTTTGTGGGGCACGTGGAGCGTCCGGGCGTATACATTTCACTTAGCGATTAAATTAATAAATTGTAATGCAAATACAATTGTGGTGTTGTGGTTGGTTCGGCACGAAACGCGGGGGTGGGCTGGGTTAATCGCTAAGGTGAACAATAACTGCTTAAGGGCAGGCAATGATCAAGAAACAGGCAAGATGGTCACTATATGACCGGAGGCGGTCGTGAATATTTGTTTCAAATATGAGTATCACGTGTTTTATGCGCGTTAGCAATGCTCTTTTACTTTCTGTCGTTTTTGCTGCAAAGAGTCGATTGCGAAGTCAAGTTAATTGATATCACTAACATGATACTTATGAAGCTGCCGATTGGTTATTAATTATTCAGTTTTTACTTTATAGCAGGTTTATAACGATAGAATTATTACTCTTTTTAGAATTTCATTTATGGCTGACAATTGGTAATTAAAGTCATGGCTACACTGTAATTTATAATCAATATGATTATAATTATTCAATCATGCAATTCTTATTTTAATCATATTTATATTAATTGTGAATATTAAATGTTATAATGATTTAAAGATCGTTTAATTGTCGGTTTAAGTATAGAGCGTGAAGAATTGTAACATTGATTGTAGTGTACAATAAAATTGTTGAATGTAAACATAAAATGTATGTTAAACTCAAAGACAACATCATAAAAACATGTTTAACTTCTTATCTGGTTTTATGAGAAGATATTGTGTCGATTGGAGCGCAATTTATTGAAAATAAGTGCATTCTAGCGACATCTCAGCTCATAGAATAAAATTATATTTATGTATGGATCTTGTAAATGATTGAAATCAAACGAACGTGCGTTTTATCTTTTATCTTGGTTTTATTATTTTCTAAGTTGAATACGTAATCCATGGTAGTAATTTGTAAAATATATTTATTAAAATAATTTGTGATTTTTCTCTCAGTTTCTGAGTTTCTGATGATGCCCACAGGGCGAAACATGTTAAACTCGCAAACAAATTGTAAAATCCAAGAAAAATCACAAATTATTTTAATAAATATATTTTATAAATTTTATCTTGGTGATAAAAACAAACAATAACAAACAACTCAGTGACAAGAACATACAAGTTCCTGTCTCAGTGACAAGAACATACAAGTTCCTGTCAGGTCCACACGAAATATTTAATGCAAATAAGTGGATTACAGCGCCATCTGGAGGCTGACTATTGAGTTATATTTAAGTATGCCACTTAACTAAGTTAAGTATGTAACTGTGTTTTAACGACTCATACAAACCAGTTTATCACAGGCAGCTTCTAATTGTCTCAAATTATTCTTAGATTACACAACAATGTATTTACTGACAAAAAATAATTAAAAAACTTATAAATTTGATCAAATCATGTTCAACTGATAATTTTGCATTCCAAACTATAAATTTTATCAAATTTAGGGCTAAGCACAATTCTCGGACTTGTGGAATGCGCAGGCGCACGTTCAAAGATCGGAGCATGATCGTGCTTATGTAAAAATTAACTAACACCAGGCTTATAATGATTCATAATTCAAAAATAATGTAAAAATTATTAACAAAGTAACAAAAAATTCTTAAATAATTTGCAAACCTCTCTTCTCACCGATTTACACAGAACATTTTATCACAAACACTTTATAATTATTTCAAATAATTATTAGATAACACAACAATGCACTTTTTAAATAAAAACTATCAAACAATGTATTAAAATTGTTCCAATCATGTTTAGCAAGTCTTTTTGCATTCCCAGTAGTGAATTTAATTAATTTAACATATAGATGCACTAATATGAGGCTTCTAATGATTCACAAAACAAAAAAGACAAAGAAGGTAAAAAACACAAAGAAAATGTACAAATAATTTGTAAACCCCACTTTACTAATTGACTTCAACATAAAACCCAAACGTTGTGTACTTCAACACAATTTTAAATTTTATTTCACTCTTTTAAATCCCGCTGTAAGCAGCAAAAGCTTGTCGTCGTTACTTTAAATCGCTTTGAACTAAATTGAATAAAAACGCACGCGCACAAGGCAAAAAAGGATAAAAATAAGAAGATAATACCACTACGCACACACTCAACACATCCCCAACAATTCGCCTCGTAATTCTAGCGCATGTAAAAGCGGAAAGTCCATCGTGCATCCGTCCATTTCACCGTTTCCGAATTCTGCACTCACATCGGCTCTTATTCAATCGGCAACGAGGGTGCGAGTGCTCGGCATGCTCGACTATCTCGAGGGAGGAATAAAACACTTGCCAGAATCCCATCGAGCCGCAATCGTTTTATCGTGGATACTCTTAACTTTAGGCGCTGCAATTTATTTTTGTTGCATTCACAATACTTGCATTTGCGGCTTTTACTTAACTAGAAATCAGACTTTTCCAATTTTGCATAGTATCTATATTGTTTCTTGATTTTGATTTATATACAAACATAATCTCTCGAAACATACAACAGTTTCACTTACAAGTTACATATACCTACTACTAATAGTTATTTATACAGCAATAATATTGTTGGTTTTTACACGTTTCATTTATATTACCTGTATCACAGTGAATCATCGGCAATGGATCGAAAAAAACTCATAAAAATCAACTGTTGCTTAATTGAGCGTAGAACAAAATAATTACAATTTGGTTTCGTGCTTAATCTACAACTAAAAGTAACTGCATACAGTTTAAAATAGCATTAGATGGTATAAAAACTGCAAAAGTTTCGAAAATCACTTTGCAAGTGATTTCATGCACCAAAATGCAACTCGTTCACGTCAATATTGAGAATTGTGGTCATCAAACAATTGAATGTTTTTCTATACCATAGCCACGAGGATAAAACGAGTTCGTTTCAAGGTTCCTCGCGATTGGTTACTTGTTATGCTTCGAAATCATAAATTAATTAGTAATACTAACGCGCCAGTGCAAAATAGCAGCAAAAAATAAAAACTTAAGTAACACCGAGTTGCCTCTAAGTTGCATTTAGATCCTTATAAAAATAAATCGTTTAAAAACACATTGCCTTCGACGCTTGCGCTTTCCTAGAGCTTGATTTCACGCTAATAATAAATTCGTTTAATTAAATCATAGTTGTGTTATTCAATGGTCGCATGCTGGTCGCACATCATTCGCCATTCGGGTCAAAGAACAACGCCGAGAAAGCAAATAGCAAGAAGACAACGCCGCCGATTATCGTCACTGAAAAAATAAACAATTAAGTTTGGTTCCACTTATCTAACGATACTAATATGACTAATCAGATTAGCACTAATTAGGATTGAAAACGCCTGAAAGAAAATTAGTTTATTACCAGTTCGGACGGAAATTTTCTGCGCAATCATGCGGCCACCTAATACTGCTATACCGGTGCAAATGGAATGTCCGAGGATACCGCCAAGGATGACGCCATAAACATCCTGAAAACAATTTTATTCAAACATAGACTTCGGGTAAATTATGATAATGAAATAAACTAATAAGCAAATACATTAAAAGTGAGAAATCAAAATATTTTATGTCGAGAAAATCAATTGATTGCGACATTAATGATTTAATTGTTTGAACCTCAATGATTAAATGGCGTGAATCCACTGACAAAGAACGATTAACGCTAATTAAGTTGACACAGTCACGCCAATGAATGCGAAATGTAGGCGCGCGATAACACTGAAGCTATACAAACAACACGTTATCAACTTTAACATTTACGCAACGGAATTTCGTCTAGAGCTTTGATTCGCAGAATATCTGTTAAAAAAAACAAGAAATTTTGCATACGTACCTCGCGTGCGCCCAAAATAATCGTCGTTAGCTGCGATCGATCGCCCCATTCGGCGAGAAACGTTAACGTGAACGATTGTAACAAAATTCTTGACACCGCCATAAAAACACCTTTGTTTTTCGGTTTTCGACTGCCTGATTCAGGATCACTTATCATTGTTTCCTTTTCAAACTAATAAAAATAACATTTAATAAATATAACATTTATTGTGTAGTTTTTAAGTTAACCTCTTCATCTTTTTTGCGTAAATCTGATTGCACTTCTTCCAGTTCTTCTTGAGCACCTGATGGGGACATATTTACACCTTCTTTTAACATTTTCAATCCAAATATGGCAAATAGAGCTGTGCTGATATAGAATGTGTATGCGCGAGGTATAACATTGGCCAGCCAACCAAACAAAGCTGAAAATAACAAAAAATAAACAAATTTCAATATTTTTCATACATATTTTCATTCAACATGAAATGATCTCAACTTGTATATGCCTATATTAAAATATTTACCTGATAAGACAGTCATAAGTGCCAAAGCAGAGATGGCACCAGTAAATACAGTCAGCCTTGGATGTTTCATGGCCATAATTGCAGCAATAAAGAATGTCTTGTCACCAATTTCCGAAACCAATATCACCGAAATCGACGCCAGAAATGCATGAATAAAGCCCACATTTTCAGTGGGTAGTAATTTGCTGCCTCCTGATGCATCTGTGGACTTCTAAGAACAGAAAAAATAAATTAATACACACAAATAACATAATTTTTTTAATATCAAACACTTACTGCTGATGCAGAAGGTACTGGAGCACTCTCAACAGATTCTTCCCTTGGTTCTTTCTCTGCATCAACATAATCAACCACTATTGTAAGCACAAACACATAAACTATTAAAACCCTTGTGAGTAACTGCAAAGCAGAAACTTTCCAGGATTTATACTCCATTTTAAAAACTGTATTATTACACCTAATATGATAATATGCAACGTCGAACGTTCGTTTATAAGTGGGCTTAAGTAATTACAACGTTATATTAAAGTTTAAAAGCGAATCAGCTTGGGAACGTGTTCATTTTCTGGGCGCAGAGTTGGCCGGAGTTTTGACACGCGTTGACTGCTACACTGTTAATGATTACTGTTGAGCGAATATTGGTAAAACATTGGCGTACAATACGCACGACCGGTGGAAGCTTGCACTGGGGTGAGCACTGGTTTAACACGCTGTAAACACGACGTAAACTATCAAAGCACAGCTGACACTGACATTTTTAACCAACGCAATCAACTAATCAACTACGAAAATTCGTCCTTACAGTGGCTTAGGAAGGATTACACAAATAAGTCAAATTTAAGTAAATACAACGTGATGATTGGTTGCTGATTAAATTCTAAAGCTGCTCATACACTGAGAGTCAAATAAAAGGGAAAGTAATCGAATTTTCTTAAATACAAATTCTGTAACTCTACTTTTGCAATTAAATTAAATTAAAATGTTAATTTTAGAAATAAATTAAATGTACTTATCCGTAGGAAACATTTAATAAAGGAATTATTTTATGAACAAACGTAAATCTTTCTTTACTGGATAAATTGACAGCCTGCATAGTGCTGCCATCTGGATGAATATCAAGCAGCTGTTTGTCAAATAACAAGCAGGCGCAGTGGTCGCGTTTGATGTTTATGTTTCGCCTTGAGTAATTAAAACAGCAATGTGAACATCACTAAAAAAACCATAACGACACACTAACATATTTTCCTAATCATAATGGAGCAGCTAGCGCAGGATCTCACTGTGGCCCTTGAAGAATCGGAATCGTGCGGGCCGATTGCGCTGCAGCCCGGTAGAAAATGGGGCATGCGGAGGCGCACAAGATCCGCAGGCAATTTGCGTAAGTTTATCTTATTTTTTACAAATAAAATTCCCCTACATCGATTAAAAACATTCAAAAACGTTTTGTTATGGTGATTTTTTGAATAATCACGGCATTGTAACGCGTTAATCACTGCAAAAAAAGCAGAATGTTCATGTATTTTGTCTTGTTACAGATATCTGTGTGAAATCATGTGATAACAGATCTGAGGACAGCACAAGCAGTAATTCCGAAGTGCGAGCCTGGGACCAAGTTGCCGCCGGTGGTAACGGCAGTGTTCATCATTCAGACTCAGATGACATGTCTGTGAACTTTCAAATTCCACAATGCAGTGCAGTCCCACAGAAATCTCAATCAATGAAGCTGAAAAACACAATTCATCCTTTTATTAGAGGCAGGTATAGAAAACTTGGTAAGTTTATACTTACACAAAGTTTAAAATAAGAAAAACAATAAAATGTAATGTTTTTACCTTATTATTTAATGAATACAGGCATGAGTCACAGTTTGGAAAGTGATTCCTTCAATGAGCACTCTCCGGCGAGGCCAAGCATTCGCCGCAAAAGAAAACTCAAGAGAATGAGCGTAGATGAAACTCCAGTTCCGCCTGTAGGTAAACGCAAACGGCCTCAACGCGTCGACATAGAAGGCCATCGCGGACACAAAGACAATGCAATCAAACCGCTGCATCAGAGCGTGCTGGACAAGCTTGAAAAGTTTTGCCAACCTCTCGATCCTCATGATGTTGATGTAATTTCACACCACACATAAAAAAAACTTAAATATTTATACATTGCTGTTTAATTTACAGTGCGATCGAATGGAAACTCAATGCGTGAATGACTCCTGTGAATTAGCGAGTGAATCTTCTTTAAGTTGGAGTGGCGGTGAAGGTCACGAAGGTGATGATGAATTGACTGATTGGGCCCCATCCCAGGACCCGACTGGAGTGGTTGATCAGCCATCTTGGAGCGAAATGGAAGCGCGTGAATTTCGCTCTGGTTGTAGACGTGTACGTGAAGAACGTCCAGGTTTCAGCATTAATACAAATGCTAACGAACGTGTTGCAAGGTTTCTCCAGGACGCAACACGTTCTGAATTGAGATTATGCGGCACAGAACGTGAAAAACTCCATCAATTAGCTGCGTTGTATTCGTTGGAGTTGTGGTTTGACGGGCCGACATCTTCGTTATTGCGGAAAACTAATCGTACGCCGTGTATGCAACCAACTCAACGCCATCACAGCGGCCACACTGCCGGACACAAACGCATTCGAACTCAAGATCATGTTATCACTTAAATCTGATGAAAATATTTATAATTTTTGCTTTATTGTGATTGTATTCGATTGAGTTTAATTAATTGAGTTTATTATAAGCTTAAGGTAAGTTACTTTTGAGGTGTGTAGGACGAAATGACAAAGCAATAGATTTTATGTACTGGCTGACCAGACGCCATTTTTTTTCCTGTGTTGTTTAAGTAAAAAAAATGAACTGCATTTGTACACCAGATTGTTGTAGATTGCAAGGTTAGAACTGATGCAATTAATAGTAAAACGCGAAAGTTGCGAGAGCGCGCGGCGAAAACAAAACATGAGTAATGAATATATTATCTCGGTCGAGCCGGCGTGTGCGTCATTTCGTCGACGTCGGTGAGCGCGAGGCGCACGAGATGCTCGTGTGTCTCACATTCGAAACGCGCACGTTGCGTTTTCACCAACAACTTTATTTTCAAACTCTTTAACTCTCCAAATAATAATTTGAGTGATAGTGTGTGTAAATTGTGTTATAAATGTGTTTCGTGCAAGTTGAATAAAAGTGTGCGCGCGCACGCTTACGTTTTACGAGCGGCAAGCTGTGCTCGTACGTCGGTGGCGGCGGCGGCGGCAGTCGTCGTGCCCGCCTCAGGTCGGACGGGCGTCGCGCGTGATCGCTGCTCGCCCGGCGCAGTCTTACACACACTCACCGAACGCCACCCCCACACGAGCTGCGACCAACATGACAATACACATCGAATTATCTAGCAATAAGTGCGCGCACCAGCGGAGCGCGTAGTGCGCGCCGAGTGGACGAGGGTTTCTCAAATCGCGACGATGGGGGATCGCGATCGTGACCGCCACGCGAAGACCATCCGCGTCGGCTTCTACGACATCGAGCGCACCATTGGTAAAGGCAACTTTGCTATCGTCAAGCTCGCTAGGCATCGCATCACGAAAACTGAGGTACAAATCATAAAACTTTCTTTATTTTATCACTTATCCTAAATTTAAATTTAATTTAGTGTTATTTTAAGCGTCAAATTTATGCGGGTGATTTTTTGCGTCCTGGCGAAAACGGCATGCATTGGGTTATTGCCCTCGGTGCGCTCGCCCTTCGCCGCTTCCGCGTCCTTCCCGAGAGCTGCCAGACGCGTCGCCGCTACGCTGCGTCGAAACGAAATAGCGTCGCGACGCCGCGCGTTGCAGCGCTGTGCAGCTTTCGTCCTGCTCCTTTACATTGCACCACTGCACGCCAAATAACATGCAAAGGTGAAAATTGAAAATTCAATACATTCAATAAAAATCACCTCAACTATATAAAATTTATTTATAACCAAAAAGATTTTATTCTACGTAGCTTTGAAATTTACGACGTATTTGTAAACACGCTGGCGTTTTGCGTGTGAAAATCGAAAATCGAAGCGCGTACGCATTTGTTGATTTGTCATTGACATTTAAATTTAGATTTCGCGAATGGAAAGCCGAGTTCTTCGCGCATGCATGCGAAAATCCGCTATTTATGAGCTTACGCATGTACCTACTATTCATATAAAAAAATTCCCTTGACGTGTGCACTGTTTGAGTAATCATTTAGTGCAGAAGAGATAATCATTATATTGCACACGTCGAAAAAAATACCAAGAATTACTCATCAGTTTACAATCACCTCACAAAACAACGTTTAATTAAGGTTATGATCAGTTTTTCGTATGACGTCAATGAAATTTCCTCTGCAAATCAAAATTTTCGTCATGAAGTAGGTAATTAAAATCTACACTAACCGCAAGTAATAAGTTATTCACTTTGCACGATGCAATCAATCATCGACGTCAATGTGAATTCATCAATCGTCAATTGCTAATACTAATGAAACATAAAACAAAAGTCGTAAATTGCGCAAAAAAAAACTGTCAATATCAAACTGTAAGAGCGTCGTTAGTTGTCACGTTACTAGGAAATTACACATTACGAACATAAAAAGATCATTGACGCAATTGTTGTACTACGGTAGTGTTGAAATAGCATCTAATTGGCGATTGCACGCACGACGTGCGCGCACATTCGAATCTGTCTAGTGATAATTGTCGCAATGTTTCTATTGTTTATTTTCTCGTTCATATACACTAGTAGCAACTTTCAAAACAGCTCATGTGCTCATGTGGATATAATAATACGAACGTCATTCGTCGATTGTCGCTTGTTTGTTTTTCACTATCCAATTTATTCGAACAATGCGCTTTTTAAGTTTTATTAAAAATTCCACGTTTTTTCGTTTAAGATAAGACCGAATAGTTTGGGTTTTCGTTGCGTCGGCTTGAATTTTTCGTTTCCAATTATAATTTAGCATTGAATTTGTGAGTTTGATAAAGTTCTCAGTCCTTTTATGAATTTATTAATGTTATGGCTCCGGATGCGTCATACGAATAAAAATATAAAAATAATCGATGCTTGGTCGAATCAAAAATAAATATTTACATTTCGTATCCTCCGCACTTTCGGATCTCGGCGCGTTTGTTTACTGATATTATGCGAACTTGAATCCCGGCGGTGATTGTTGTGAATTGTTATATCACACTCACCGTACGTCGCAAAAGATCCAATGTTACGTGTAATACACATAATCACATCGTTTTAGTATATCGCGCATGCGCATTGAGTCATAGGGCAGAGCATTATTAAAATTTTTGGTTTAAAATGGTGTACGTTTTATATGTAATAAAAAATAAAAAATGATTATTTGAACCAAAAGCATCTTGTAAACTACTGCGCATGCGCATTAAACCATTGGGCGAAATATAATTTAAATTTTCGTTTGAAAGGTTATAAAATAGGTTGATTTCTAAAAATACATTTGCATATGCATGTGTTTTTTATCTTCAGATTCTACACGCTTGTATAAGAGGTAAAAGTGTAATAAAAAGCAAAAAAAGTTTGCTTATCCGAGGCGGCAGCACACGGTACACACTACACCGAGTTCGAATGCGTTTACGCCGCATATAGATCGCGATTAACGATAACGATACGCATTCACATTACACATTGATAGCACTACCGAACACCACAGCGCACCGAGCGATTACGAAGCGATTAGCCCGTTTTGTGCGTCAACGTCAGACCAGCGTTGACTCGATGACGTCAAACGCACACAATTCACAACCTTCTTCTTCTCCACCACCGAATTTTTTTATTGTTTTACATTGTTTCCTACCTTAATTCTATAACTACGTCGTACATAACCTCAATTATGTATGACACGTGTGTTTTTAACCCTAATTTTGCGTTTTTTTAACTGAAATTTACGAGAAACAGTTTTAATTGTACATAACATATGAAATACCACAGATGATTTTTTACGATGACCTTATTCGGTGATCATGTATTTTGTATATGTATTTATTAGCGTACGGTTAATGACTCGCTTTCGGTTTGCGTCAACGCGTGTCGGACTGCGTCAATCGTCGGATGCATTCAGCCAATTTTATTGTAAATTGTAATGGACCCATATTACCGCTTCCAATTAATTAAGTCACATGACATGCTACTCACCAGTTCACGCTATAAAATAACATTCTATTGTTTTTTTTTTTGTTTACAGGTGGCGATCAAAATCATCGACAAGTCACAGCTCGATGCCGGTAATTTACAAAAAGTGTATCGTGAGGTGGACATCATGAAACGGCTGGATCATCCGCATATCATTAAATTATACCAGGTAATTATATAAAAACATCTAAATATAGTGATTAAGTAAGGTTAGGTTGGTTGCGGTGAATTTGGCTGACATAAAATATAAGTTAGTGTTGTGATGAAACACGTGTTAACCATTCCGCCACCCTTGATGACAATGTCACAATTCACAGCGTGATGACACGCATGCATCGCATGCAAATTTAATTAAATCAATGTTAATGTTGATGGCCACAGTGACGGTGACGCTTGTGCAGTGTATGCAACCTCATTTGCACTTGCGTGCACTACAGATCAATTTTAAAGTTTTAAGGTTATGTTAGAGATTATCTGTAATGTTTATATCAATATTTTACTAGTCGTTTACGCTGTCACTCATTCAATTAGATATGCATAGTAATTGCGATAAAAATTAAATGATTTATCGATAAATTGCTTTTAAACTACATACGTACATTCACTCTGTGTTGTTTTACAAGTTTGGTTCACAAAAAACGGTAATATTAGTTTTTGATGAATCATTTAATTACTAATATGTAATGAGTGTTTTTTAGCTTTTTGCACTAACATTAATTTATTGCTGAGTCATGAATTGTTGTGTTTTTTCAACATTTTTTATGTTTTCACCATATTGTGACTACAAAAAGTGTAGATAATGTTGACGTAAGTGAAATAAAGTGATTTGTTAAATAGGAATGATGATAATCGTAAAACTGGGAAAATGTTCACAATTCATAATGAAACAGTGAAATTCTATGAAATTCAAGTGCATTTAGTATTTAAAATTAAACCATTCATTTCACTCGGAAACATTCTACGATATCTTATTAATGGTTTTCAATACCCAACAATGAATAAACTGCAATTGACACATTTATTATGTATCTATTGAAAGAACTTATTATTATTTATTAAATCAACTTGAAATTTTCAATGAATAGATGAAAAATACTTAATTTACATACGAAATTAAGTTGTGATAACAAAAATAGTGATGAAACATATATAGGAACACATTCTGCCCTCAAAACTAAGAAAAAATATCATCTCTTTTTGGTTTTCCTATGTTTTTATCTAAAAAAACGGTTTTTTGATATATTTCTGTGTAAAATTTCAATACAGATACCTAATATAGCTTCGCAAATGTTTTGTTAAACATCAATGACTATAATCAATCGTGAAACGCATGAAATGCATTCATAATGAAATAGTGAAATTCCATGAAATTCAACTGCATTTCGTATTTAAAATTCAAATGGCCTTTGATTTGGCCTGAAAACTTTCCATGACATTTTTATTAACGCTTTTCAATGCCAAAAAATGGAATAAACTGCAATTTCGCATTTATTTATGCATCTATTAAAGGAACTGATTACTGCCGGTTTTTCGCCGCCCGCCGCCCACGCAGTATTATTATTAGATCGCCGCCTATTTTAATTATTATTATCTGTTGCCGCGTTTCGCGCCCGCACGCATTCGCGGTCCATTTGGGCTGGTAAAACCGCAGTATGGCGCGCGCCGTGTGCGTCAATGTCGTCGTAATGGCCGCCCATAAAATGTCTATAAGCCTCGGGCGCGTTAATAAACATTTATCAATACAGCGTTTCACGCGCGCATTATCATCCGAGTGTTGTTGATAAAATGCAGCATTGGTGAAACGGCGAGGCTGCACGAAACTTTGTTTAACCGTTTATTATTTTGTTACAAGGCTGACCTTTAAGTATACTACTCATTTTCTGAAAAAACTTATTAATTTTTAGGTTATCTAAGTAAATTTAAGGTTAGAGACGCCAAAAATATTAAATGTCAGTCGTTTTAATTTATAATGCCATTTTTGTTATTGTTCCTGGTTTAAATCATTGTTTTCTGTAGTTTTCCACCTGGAGAAGTTAAATATAGTAGTTTTTAGGTTATCTAAGAAAATTTTAGATTATAGACACTATTTTGTTTCAAAGATATTTATAAAATATCTTCCGTTATAAACAAAAACACAATTTTTGAGTTTATGTGATGTCAAGGTAAGTCAAGGTATATTGTAATTTTCCTAGTGGAAAAGTTAAACAAAATAATTTTTAGATTATCTATGTAAATTTAAGATTATAGACGCTATTTTGCTAGGAAAAAAATACAAAATCTCTGTTGTTTTAAACTAAAACATTATTTTTGTTATTATTTTTTGCTTAAGTCAATATTATCTGTAGTTTTCCACCTGGAGAAGTTGTTATTAAACGCAAGGACGATATAGGACACTAAACAGCGAGGACGGTGGATAATGTGCGTCAAACGCGTCCCACTGTCTAGACACGCGGCGCGATTTCGCCGACAGCCGAAATTACATTTTAACTCGTTCACAGCGGCTCAAAGTACGAACTGCTTCTGATTTCATCTGAAACCGTGCGTGGTTTATACATCTTACTCATTTCAGCAGCTCATTACACTAAAAATATCCATAAAAGACTTACTAAAACGCATTTATCTTCTGAAATGTGTTATTTTTTTACAGAAAATAGTCTAAGGTGTATAATTCACAGTATTTTATTAAGGTATAATGTGAAATATGTTTTATTTAGAAACACGTGGGTATAATCGCATTTTATGCGTTTTGTTAGCGTTGGCACGCGTTGCATTTAATAGAATGATTCGAAACGACTTTAAGGGAGTAAATTTTTAATAAGCCCTTGAGTCCGCTGCAAAGAACGCGCCGGCGGCGTATTCAAGGCGATTCGAAGCATTCGCGTACGTTGGTAGTTGCCAGGCGACGGGCGTATGACGTCATAGCGTCGGCGGCGGCGGCGACGGCGGCGGTGTTGGAGAGGTGAGGCTGGCGTCAGGGCCAGTCAAGTTGAAGGTAAATGCTAACGAACTATGTGCAGTTGTGCACGCGCGACGTAATCAAATTTACGTTACGTAAATTATTAAAATATTATTGAAATCTCAAAAAGAATTATTTAGTAATTATTTTAATGTATTATGTAAATATCACAGGATGAAAATGAAGACATTTTAGTCTAACGTGTGGCGCCCGTGTCAGCAATGAGCAAATGCGCGCAAATTTAATTACGCAACGCTTAATGGCCGAGGAGGCGGCTGCCGGCGACGCGCGCTAGGTGGAGGCGGCTCATCGTCGTAAGATAAATCAATTACGTTTTAATAAGCGGCGCTCCTCAGCGTGTCCTCTGCTAGACACATCATGTCGTCATGTCGTCGCATGTATGTTATCATTTGATATGAGTGCAGCTGTGCAGCTAATGTAAAACAATTTTCGCATGAATAATTAAATCATTTACTAAATAAACCTGAGAATTTTTAATGAACAGGTCAAAAATTGAGAATTTATAGATGAGAACAAGCGGTGATAAACGGAATTACGATGAAACATTCATAGATTTCAAAATTGATTTTGAAAATGTCATTTTTTTATGTTTTTAACTTAAAAACGGTTTCTTTACTCTACTTTTGAATAAAATTATAAATTTGATACTAATCGTTAAACGCATGAAATGTACAAAATTAATAATTAATTAGTGAAATTTCATGAAATTCAAGTGTATTTAGTATTTAAAATTAAACTGGCCATTCATTTCGCTCGGAAGCATTCTACGATATCTTTGTATTGCTTTACAATGCCAAACAATGAATAAACTGCAATTGACACATATATTTATGCATCTATTGAAAACCTATTATTAATAAAATAAACCTGAACTTTTCAATTCATGATGAAAAATACTTAATTTACATACGAAACCAAATTGTGATAACAAATTGTGATGAAATATATATAGGAACACATTCTACACTCAAAATTAAGAAAAACTGACATCTTTTTTTATGTTTTTAAATGTTTTGAGTGAAAAAAACGGTTTCTTGCATATATTGCTGAGTAAAATTTCAATACAGTTACCTATTATAGCTTCACAAATGATTTGTTAAACATCAATGACGATAATTAATCGTGAAATGTATTCATAATAAAATAATGAAATTCCATGAAATTTAATTGCATTCAGTATTTAAAATTAAAATGGCCTTTAATTTTGCTTGGATACATTCCACGATTGTTTTTACCGCTTTTCAATGCCAAAAACATGAATAAACTGCAAATCACGCACTTATTAATCCGTCTATTAACATAACTAATTATCATTTATTAAATTAACAAGAAATCTTCAATAAACAGGTCAAAAATTGTTAATTTACACATGAAAAAAGTGTAATAAAGAAAGAAATACATTCTAGAAATACATCATAACCTCAAAATTGACAAAACTGACCATTTTTACTGGGTTCTTTCATGTTTTTAAGTTATTACTAAAATTTTAACAATTGCAATGCAAATGTGTATTAAAATTTCCAAACTATTTTTTTTACTTCTTTGATCAAGAAAATACCAAAAAACAACCGCTTTCATCTAAATTTTTTATGTCTTAAGTAAATAATCCAATTAAAAGTGATCCTTATTATATAAAGCATGACTTAACAATATTATTACATTAATATTACTCTAATACGACAAAAAAAAATCCGAATGAAAAGAACGACTTGATGCGTCGCGTCTAGTTTTTCACCGTCGTCCGTATTTTTTGCGCGTGAGGTGAGCCCAACAAATCGAAAAATGTGTTTCATGTGCCTCACAATGCATGCAGCAAAAAAAAAAACACTACACACACAGAATAAAAATCCTGAAGTGCCTGAAACGTGCCGTCGGAGTGAAGCGAGTAATGTTACGCGTTTCACGTACGAAAGAAATGAAGTGACTGAATGGAATAAAACATTGAAAAGGACAAAAGCAGTCAGCGTAGACAAGAGTAGCAAATACTAAAAATATAATGGAACAGGGACTAACGTATTCTCACTAGGATGGACATTTACACACTGCAGACAGGACTAAAATGACAGAAAGTTTTGTTTTTTCAAAATGCAATCATTAAATGTACATTAGTCAAATTTAAACTCAGTCATGTTTATAAAACCATGATTTTACATGTTTTCTCGATAAATATAGACGTTTATATTTGAATGTTTAGTGCATGTATTGTTTTTGGCAATGATTAACACTTGCTGATTATTTTCAGGTGATGGAAACGAAAAACATGATTTACCTCGTCTCGGAATACGCTAGTCAAGGAGAAATTTTCGGTGAGTAAATATCGATGCGAATCGATACGATTGTAATAAAATTGATAGTCGCTGCCTGCCGTCTGTGTCCTCTCTGTGCCGACGACACTGGACGGGGCCAGGACATGGACCTTGACGCGGCTTGACGTCATCGTCGGCGGCTCGCGCTCGAAATTGACGGAGTGCGTGCTTGCGTGCGTGTACGCCGACCGCCGCCAGTGTTTATGTCAGTCAGTAAGGTTCTGGGTCACAGCCATCGTCCGCTCAAATAATCATTTAAACACAAAGATAATGTGTGTAGGTTCAAATGCAAATGGCGTCATGTGTTATATTGGTTGCCTATCATAATTAATCCTTGATCCTTGAAACTCTTATTAAATACACCAATAATATCAACATTAAACAGATCAGTTTTGTGTTGATGGGCTGGCTACAAACTTCCAAAACAAAACTTTCCCAAACTGACTGATCTTTAATAATTAATCACGACACCAAGCCTTAAATTATTAATTTAGCGTCCTATTTAACATTCCTCTTTAGGTTCCAACTCAACCTCCGCCTACTCGTTGTCAGTCTCATCACTTTTAACCGGCGACTAATTTCGTAACTTTAGCTTTAACTTTATACCACGACTTCGAAAGTATCGTAATTCGTGTTGGCTAAGTTTTCAATTAATTTTTTTTTGCATCTGTCGGCTAGCCGAAACTTTTTCAACGTCTTGTTTAGGGTTGGTAATGACGCAGGTCAAACAATAATGTAGACACACGTGTATTGCGACGATAACGTGCGTAAAAATGTATAGAGTAAGTGTTTTAATACAAACAAAACCATCGAATTGAATTGAATCGAATAGTATCATATCGCATATTGGTTTTGTTCGCGTGAATTACGCTAGAATCTTTTTTTTTTGTTTTCGTGGCTCGTGTGTGAACTACATATGCATAAGTGATAAGCTCGTTATTTACTTGTTTTGTTGATTATTATCAGTGATTTATTGTTGATAGTAAATTTTTGTTTTTTTACAGATTACATCGCCAGATATGGTCGCATGTCCGAAGAACAAGCGAGAGCAAAGTTTTGGCAAATTTTATCCGCCGTTGAATATTGCCATAATCGAAATATTGTGCATCGAGATTTAAAAGTAAGTATTACAAATCCATCTATGAGTTTTTTGAAGTGCATACTACCCTCCTTACACATTTTTTGTTAATACTCTGAAAAACATTGAAAAATTGAGTTTTTACAGTTGGAAACTCAATAAATGTCTAACAAAACAATCATATCACCAAAAAAATGTTTTATCTTGTTAGTCCGTGAACAAACTTGGCCTTAGCTTAGCTTGTAAACTTTTAATTCCCATTATTTGCGTGCTCTTGAAAACTTTGAACGCTTTCAACGCGTTTGTTTGTCTTCTTTTTCAACTTTCGTGCACATAGCAACACACTGTGCATTGTGTAATTGTATTTAATACATAAAGTAAACCCGGCATGAAATAATGCCAACGTCCCGACGACGCAATCGATCTACAACCTAATGACGTCATAGCCCAGCGCCGGTCGGCGGTCGCCCGCCCGCACACAGCCACTTTGTGTCGGGGGCGAGCAGCGGGCATAATCAGGCACAATGCCGGCCGGATTCTTGTAGTCTTGAGTGTTTCACTCAAGCGGCGCACGGCCAACAAAAGCTGTGGCGTGCGTAGGCGGGCTACACTCTACTAAACTGATTTTTTTCGCTCTACGAAGTAAAAAAAATCATCTGTCACCACCATATTCACGAAGCGATTTAATTTTTATTTTATTTTCAGTTATTGATTACACATAAAGTAAAAAATAAATTAAAATCATGGTTATGTTATGTTGGTTGCATATATCTACACAAAACTAAACGAAATAATAAATATCCTGTAGGTTTTATATACATAGTTAAAGCTATGCGAAAATCTCCGCTGGAATGCGAGAGTCGAGCGTTTTGGGAGTGCGAAAAGTAGTCGACCGTGTTTTCCCAAAAGTTCAGTTTTGTTCGGCAACTTCGCGACTAGTTCGCACGCCCGCAGCTTTCAGCGCGTCCTCCCCGTGGGCTATTCATACATTTCGGTTCTATTCACTATCCTCTTGGCGAATTTCTCGCGCAACGAACGAGTTGTATTAAAAGTTACTGAACGCACACACGCATGCATGCATAAACCGGTTAAAATCGTACGTTTGTGCCAAGAATTTTTCATTCATTGCGCCGCGTGCGAGCTTTAAGCTTACAATCGCGAAACAATACGATTTGTGAGCAGGTGCGCACGTTTTACATAACAACATCAATTACGAATAAAACAAGTCGCGTGCAGAACACTCGCGTAATCATTTTCATTCATTTTTTTGTTTTGTTTTAGTTTAAACAGGTTTATTTGACAGTTAATTTATCTGCTTTGTTGGAAGCATGAAAACGTGTAATATGTGAGTCTGCGTGACAGTGTGACGAAATCATTTATTATGTACGAGTCAGTCTACATTGAAAGCTTTTGCTTTCGGTTAATGTTGAAGTGTGGAGGCGCCGGGATCTTTTACGCCATCCAGCGAATCATTCGTAACTTGATGGCGTGCCGCCCATGCTAACTACTCACAATTCATTCCGGATTCGGTTGAATTCATCCGTCGCACGACGCTTCCGCATTTAGGTCGCTTTGTCTCCTTTTCCTTTTGCTTTTGATCATCGTATTACGTGTCGTAACAGATTACATCGTTGACGATAATTCTGAAATTTCAATTGTATGCAACTTTTTACACCTTTTTAATATATGCAACCTATTATACAATTTTAACTAACAAGTTGCATAAATATATTGTTTTTACGTAATTTGGAACAAAATGAATGTTTTTTTCAGTGAAATTTTGTGGTAATATGACGCAAATTTATGTTTTACATTAAAAAAATTCTTGTTTCCTGTATTACAACACATTTATTTGCGTAGGCAACAGAATACTCGTTTAACATCTGTTCCCAACGGACGCCTTTTGGCGTTGGTATTACCAACATGTTTGTCTGGCGTTTTCCGGCTTCCTTTTTCCCTTTTCGGCACGCAAATTCTCGAGAAAACCGCGGCTCTCAGCTGCTCTTGCCTCGTTTGGCTTTGTCGCCGTCGAAAGCACAGAATTTACGAGTGCAACCACGGCTCGAGCACATCCTTCATCCCTCTGTGGTATCATAATGTTAAATTTCATTTAAAAAGCCGAAAATAAACGAATATTTGTTTTATTTTCATCACATTTTAATGCCGAAATTTATTTCCAGGCCGAAAATTTACTCCTAGACTCAAACAACAACATCAAAATAGCGGACTTTGGTTTTTCGAACTTTTTTATGCCTGGTGGACATTTATCCACGTGGTGTGGAAGTCCACCGTATGCTGCTCCTGAAGTTTTTGAAGGGAAGAAATACACCGGGCCTGAAATTGATATTTGGGTTAGTAACATAAATAGATTTTATTATTAGGTGTTAAGAAGGATAAAGTATATTAATATTAATCTGTTTTGATTTACAGAGCCTCGGGGTAGTGCTGTACGTGCTTGTTTGCGGCGCGCTTCCTTTCGACGGATGTTCCTTGCAAGCTTTACGCGATCGAGTGCTCTCCGGAAGATTTCGTATTCCTTATTTTATGAGTTCAGGTAAGATAATATTGACCTATAAATTAATTATTCATCAAGCAACAAATTAAGCTCGATTAAAACATGCAAAGTATTTAAGTTAATTAGTGGATATTAGTATTTTATGTATGTTTGCTACTCTTTTACGCCTTAACCACTCAATCAATTTTGATAATTTTTTGTATAAAGTTAGATTAAGTTTTGGAAAATAACATAGGTTACTTTTTATTACTAAAAAATACTTTAAACGACTATAACAAAAGTTTCAAAGACTTATTTGCATTAAGTTGATTGTAGTGATATCTAGGGTTCATTTTTTTCACAATTCAATTATTTTCGTGTTATGTGGAGCCATAGCATTTGTATAATACTATTTTTTTCTTTATCTCTACAAAGAAAAGCAAAAGTATTGGCGCGAAGTGAAGTAAAAATATGAAGTTTATGTTTAGCCGTCCGTTTGGACGTGGACATGAAACGCAAGCACCTGGTTCTGGTTGATTATTCATGCTCTCGATGTCGTGTGCACACGCCAAGCCAAACATCCCGCCTCGCGCCGACACACAAAATATAAATAAACAAAAAAAGCGGAGTGCGCGCCGTCGCCGCGAACGTCACAAAACATCGGAATTCTGATTCGGACGCAACTGTAGCGTCGCGAGAGCGTCGGCAATGACGTAAATGCGACAGGCACGAGCTGAAACAGAACACTCTTTGCACACATTACAAATTTACTCACTTGTGTAAACGTAGATGGCTAGATCCTAAGCTTACCAGCGGAAATTCTTCAGAAGTAATTTCAAAATATATATATTCATTCATTCTATGCGTGGAAATTCTTTGCATACAATTTATTATAAAGTACCGACGCGGATTTGCGTGGGTAAAATTGCGAAATGTAATCACGTAGCTCGTAGATAGTTGAAATGAAAGATGAATAATGCGAGTAAATAACGCTCGTAAAAATAATGTGTTTTTTAACCTTAAATTATGAAATTTTATTCGAAAAATTTCAAGATTTTTCATTTTAGATAAAAAATAATAGCCAACTCGGTTGTAATATCTTGAAGTGTGTCATACCTAATGACCATTTTAATTCCTAGTGTTTACAGAAATGCAAAAAATGTAAATTTAATTTGTAATATTTGACATTTAATTCTGTTCTTGGCATTGCGTTCGGTTTTCGCTGGTGTGAGGTTCGAGGTTGGCCGCGAGTCGGAGTTTTCCGTGACGCACTTGCTGACGTAAAAGCGCCGGCAGCGGCCGCGTGCGAATTTCGGGCGTCGGTGCCGGGCGCACGAAAGAAGCCGGCTAAATGGATTGAGGCAATCGGTAATGTTGTGCGCGCCCCGTTCGCATTCCGGCGGATGCGTGGGCGGATTTTTAATCTCCTCATAAACCTCGACGATTAATGACAATATCAAGTTCAAAACTCAACCAAAAAAAACAACAAGAAATTTTGAAAATGCATTAATTTTAATAGATTCATAATTTTTTTCTTTCAGATTGCGAATCGTTGATAAGAAAAATGTTAGTATTAGAACCAAACAAACGGTATTGCATCAGTCAGATCAAAAGGCATCGCTGGATGCAAATGGAAGTGCCGCCCAGCCTGCCGCCCACCGCGCCAATATCCAGCACGCAACCCAACGAGCAAATCCTGCGTCTAATGCAAAGTTTAAGCATAGACAGCGGCAAAACGAGAGAAGTAATTCAAACATAACCTAATCTAACCTATAAAAACTAATACATATCCTAACTTTGACATTTTAGTCAATAAGACTGGGCAGTTACGACCACCACGCGGCTATCTACTATCTCCTCCTTGATAAACTGCGAAACCAACTGGTTGGTGAACCGCATCCACAAACCGGAAGTCGCGACGTTCAACGCCGGCGTCCTTCGAGCGTGGCGGAGCAAGCGATGCGTAAGATCAACCGAGCGAGCACTAGCGAAGATTGCCGTCGTCTTCTACACTCGTCCACTACACCCACAGCAAGTAATAGTAAGCTATGCACTGCTACACCGAGAGTATGTGATTCTCCGCCCACGCACGGTATCGACGCTGCCAAACTTCTCGCTGCGACTAACAGTGAAGACGCACTGAAGATCCTCAACCAGGCGTCTGCGAATGCTTTCAATTTAGCTACAGAAGCAAGTAAACTGATGAACACCCTGCAGCAATCGGCTGTGGGACCAGTGAGCAATGATGCTATTGTAAACAGCGGAACCGCAAACGGCATACCATTCAGAGATCTTTTTAATCACATGCCTAGCACTTATGGTTTCGTCCAAAACTCCAATATTGATAACGATGCGAAAGTTGGAGCTAGTTCTGGATCTCTTACAAGATTCTACAGGTACCTACCTTCAATATACTGTTCAATCATATCGAATTGATAATGTTTTGTTTGTTAGTTGTGGAGGTGTGAGTGGGGTAGGAGGTGCCTACAGAAGCACCGAAATGCAAACGCAGTATTCCAGTTCAACTGATGAAGGTGTAGAAACAGACTTAGAAGATGTCCACACTACGCACACACATACCCCAAGGTTATCCTATGCATCTTCTAGTTCTTCTTCAGGTGTGGTCACTAATTTTAACACCTCTAAGTCCCTGTCGCAGAATTTAAGCTGTGATAGTAACTTTGAGAGTCTGGAATACCCGCTGAGTGAATCTAGCGAGTTAACTAATAGTTTACCAAGTTGTACATCATCGGAAACACGTGGATTACTTCCGGAAACAACCACACTCACTAGTAACACAGCGACATCTGTGAAATATTCCAACACACGTTCAGCTCTACATAAACACAACCCGTTGGTGCATGTGGGTAGCTACAAGGCAACTCGTGGTGTGACTCGTAGTCCTGTGGATTTCCGTGAAGGAAGACGTGCGAGTGACGGCCTGGTAGCTCAACAGGTTGCTCAGCAGGATTGTGCTCATCCCACAGGTGTGGTGGCATTCAACTCTCAGAAACTAGGAGAAAATGCAAAAACTAAAGGTGTGCTTGACATGCATCTGGTACAGCGTGAAGCACAACGTCTTCAATCACAATATCAAGCACGGGAACCACCCGAAGAGGTGACACAGCGACAGAAACAACACACGCAGTATTTACAACCTCGTGGTACCAAACGTGTTAGTCTACCTGATAATTTCAGTTATGCCGGAGCAGTTGAACCACCTTTACAACTTCAAACAGCTATGCAACGACGGCTTTTACAGGAAAAACGACAAGTTTTACAGAAACAATGCGCCATGTCTCAACATCAATCACTAGGTGGTGTTACTGGTGGTAGTATGGATAGTCACTCGCTGGCGAGGAGACAAATGCTCCGCCAGGCTAGCTATAAGATAGCACAACAACAACCAGTGTTGCCACCTTTACCCCTCAATGAAGTAGAAAGCAAAGAATTGTTGGCTTTCCAGGCATTAGTTGAGGGTGCGACGAATGCTAGCGGAGAAGCCTGGAATGCACTGCCCGGAAGTCTGCAGACATCTTGTCAGATCTCCGACGCGCAGGCTGTCAATCAAAACGCTAATATCACGCAGCAATGGCAGACGACAGCGAGCTGGAATCAGGTATAGACTTGCGCTCTGGCTGTGTAGTTGAATTTATTTACTAATTGTGTAACTGTAGTTAATTAGTTGATTAATACCCGCGCGATGCACAGCGAAACACAAACGTAGACGTAGTGTAGTCTCTAGTGATAAATTAGTTGATAGATGAACAAAGACTAAACAAGACTTTGATTTTTGTTTACATTTTGAATGTTTTCGTCACACTCGTGTAATGTACAAGTTATTATTTTCTTTTAAGTATTGTTTAGTAGTCACATCTGAATCTTGTCTGTGTTATTATCGTAATATTTGAATTTGAAGAATATCTAGCACATATTTCGTCAAATATTAATCGAATAACGTTTTTATTGTATTATTATGAATTAATGATCGATTTTTTCCACGAAAAAATTGATTGTTTTTATTTTGTTGGTAAACTTTAAAGAAACAGAGTATTTATTGTAATAAAAACATGCAAATCGTTCATTTTTGATTTTTTATCTGCACGATAACCATTTTCAAGTTGAGGATCTGTTCAGCATGCTGTGTGTTGTCGGCCATTAAAATTCAAGGCATGATTGTGCTCTGTGTTGACATTAACACGCTGTGAATGTGAGTTTTGCCGGAGTGAAGTGTACGTGATGATGGTTGCAGCATAGCTGTGTGTTGTTTTTCGGCAGGGCCTGCAGCTGACCGGAAGCGCATGGCCGCCATTACTGCCATTGAGCGAGTCGCCCATTTTGGAGCTCACCGAACAAATGGAGTCAATGTAAAACCAACAACGTCACGTTTTTATACTGCGCATAGATTCCTTCATCATCCATACACGTAAGAGAACAAAATGGCGGAGCGACGGATATAATACACAAAAACAGTAACTGGTAATTATAATACATGCAAAATACAGGATTTGTACGATTATCAAATACTGCCAAGCAAATTAATCAGTTCAATTACACAGTATAAAATTACACTGAGCGTTGCGCGAATCAGGCCTACAATAAATTAATTATATACGAAATATTTGGCAATCGTTGCTGTCCAAACAAAGATGTGTATGAAAACAATAACAAAACATGCTTTCCGGCGAAGCAAATTCTATATGTATGTACAGAATTCAATTGTTAAGCGTAGAGTAATCGTTTGTAATGTTTGGTAGGACTAGCAGCCGGAAAGTGATAAAATTAGTAATGAAAGTTAATCAGTAATGTTGGTACATTTGTAGCGAGACTCGTCATTTGTACTAAGGACGTAGATATTTTACTTTTGTATTTGTTTTCTAAGGATTGTACAGGTTAAGCATATTTTCAAACATTCCAGCTAATTTTATTTCAAGCAATCATAATTCAACAAAAATATAACATTAACATATCATAAGTTGAGAAAAAATCATTTTTTAAATGTAAGGAAGCGTTCTCTTTCTGTTTTGCAAGTTTTACGGCTCGTAATTTACGAAAATGTGCACAGCTGGTAAACAAGGCAAACTTATTAGCAAGAGTAATTAACGGGCACGGCCTAAACCGTAATTGAAAGCGACAAGAGACTAATTTGCACGCTTTTCAAGAGCTGCACTCTCGGGAGTTTCTTTTAAAACAACTACAATAAAAGCACAACATCATTTGATTCAATTAAATATACATGACGTCAGTACTTAGTAAATTTACGCATAAAAATACATGATGAACTTAATAATTACAAGAAAACATAATAAAAGTGGTGCTAAACTTTACTACATGTACTAAATTAAAAGAATTGAGTTTTTATGAGCAACAACTGCAACAAGTTGTTCAATAAAAGAAACGCGGACAGTTTTTGCACGCTTCATCATAATAAGCAAAAAATGGCGTCGTGTCATAGATGCAACAGGCTTTCATAACAGTGGAGAAACTTTTTGATGGTATTTTGTGACTTGTGATAGGTTTATGACATTTTTTAACAGCTTATACACGTACAGTGTACATAAATTGTACTTATGTAGAAAGTAGGAAGCATTTAGCTTTAGATTTAGCTGTTAACGCAGTGGGTGTCATTACAGGTTATGATACGCCACTGTTGCACCACCTAGCGACGCGTAGCACTATATAAACGCATAGCTTGCTTCATTTTTACTTCAATATTTGCTCAAGATAAACTTAGTTGCCGAATAATTGGTGTTCTCAACGAATCAAGCTTGAATTTATACATAACTACGAATAACATTTTAAAAAGGTGTTGAGAATTATTGGCTGCAATCAAAATTTAAAAAATTGGTGGTAGAGACATCTAGAACACAATCAAAAGTAAATAAAATTATGATGCAATGGAATAATCATTATACAGACTGTAATAATTGGATAATAAAATAAAATTAAATTAATACGGTGGAATCAAGCAAATTAACATATTACGTAAATAAGATTGTATGGCTGCATACTTAATATAGTAAAACAACATGCAGGGAAATCTTTCAATTTAATATCGACGAATTTGATCAACTAAACAAGGAAAGAATACTTTTTATTCTGATTTCTTTAAAAAAAGATAAAAAGTAATCTTTTCTTGCAGATTCCTGTAGTAAATGATAAATAAAACAGACATAACCTATCATAAACTAAAATTTAAAAGAAAAACACTTGCATCCAAATGAAATTATACGAATATGGAACAATTATGTGAAGCGTAGTAAAACAACGTGTAGATTTTAGAAGCTAAAAGCTAGGCGCAAAATTTAAACATTGATGGAATGCTAAACTCAGTAAATCAGTAAAATCGTAACGAATAACATTGTAAATTTTATAGGATTTAAGCATAAACGACGTGGATATTGAAGAATTTAAAAAATAACGAAACAATATAACTTTGTATAGATTTATAGACTTTAGGTGAAAGAAAATTTCATCAGAAACATGAAATTTTACACACAACTTTCGGAAAACCACTAAAAGTTAATAACTACAAGTAAACCCTAACGATATGTACATAATGTGTAGATTATATCATAGATATCATAGATTAGCATTCATTTTACATCAGAAGAAGAAAAAGAAAACGCATTGCGAATAAATGCACAACATATCATCGTTTATGTACTTTATGTTTACGTTAAACATAAATACAATTATTTTATGTGATTTTTTCACCTTGATTATGAAAATTTGAATAAATGTGGTGCGAAACAAAACGATTTGAAGACGTGTAAAAGCAATAACATGAAATATACACAAGCATCTTTCTTGTATAAGTTCTTTTCTAAATGTTGTTGAATGTTTTTCGCACGCGAATCAATATTTTAAGTTGTACAAACGAATCGTGCCAGAAAATGAGGAAAAAAAACAAAACACATGTATTGGGAATTGTTTGACAAATCATTGATCATCGAATGTGATGTCCATACTTTACTTATTCATACTTTACTTAAGTGTGAACACATAAATATGCGAATATGTGAAAAATTATTTATTCTTAGTTTTGTTCATTGCAAATTATATTAAATTGCATTGGAACTTCTGATTAACTATTAATCATTAATGAATAATCGTTGAGTAAACCTTAAAACACATTGTACGCATGTATTACACTTGATAACACATGATAAAAGCATATGTATTGTACTCTTATCGATTTTGTTCGCAAGTGCGTAGTTCCTTTCGATTAAAATTGTGTTATTGAAGCGTTCAAGTGTAAAAAAGTAAATATCTTAGAGTATGTATTTATTTTTATTTATTTACTGACGTGTTTGTACAGATTTGATTTTGTTTCTCTGGAATCATTGAAATAAAATGTTGGATAATAATATTTGTGATATATTTTTGATAACAATATCTTTTATTAGATATTAATATAAGTGCCGTCTCCTAATCATGTACTAAAATAGCTTAATTTTTTTATTTTGTTTCGACATATTGAATTTTTATACTGGTCAAGGACGTTAACGTAATCGCTGAACAAAGTTTAAGTTTATGTTCGGAAATCGTAGGTTTCAACATAAATTGACGAAAAATCATAGTCAGGAGACATTTTATTTCCATCAGGGCGTATTTTAGGGACCACGTAGAGGACGCGCGCAGTGTAGTAAACGCATGCAATCAGTCGTTGTTTGGCAGCCCTGTCTCTACGCTAAACGCTACTTTTTCTTCTCTGCTTCCTCTTTGGTCGTTTTATTCTACACTTCACGGCACAACGTGCTTTTAATCAGATCGCTGAATCGATCACAAGTGACTCTCCGTAATATTTTCATTTAAACCTTTCTATACGATACATTAAACAAATATGTGAAAATCATTTAATTAATTTTTCTAAACATATTAATAAAAAATGCTACAATATTCTAAATTCTAAACCATTCTACACTGCATTCATTTCAATAAATTATAAACTTCTATTTTGTAAGCGCACGCGAATGCCATTTGCTGATCCGATAACCATACTGTTGACTAAATCTAAACAATGAACCGGTTTGGCTGGAACTATTTCGAATTTGCGTAGAATCGTACTCAACAAAATACGCAACTGAAACATTCCAAACTTTTGCCCAACACAATTACGTGGACCTTTGCTAAACGCAAGAAAACTAAACGGTCTTTTGGTGTCTAACTGATGTACTACAAATCGATCAGGATCAAACTTTTCCGGGTCGTCATAATAACTCTCATCGTGATGCACTCCATAAACACACACGGCAATTGTTACATCTTTCGGATACGTAATGCCATCTAAAACGTAAATATTACAAACAATTCTAATAATAACTTTCTTTAATAATACCTATTGTCATATCTTTTTGGAGTTTTCTACTAACAAATGGACCTGGTGGATATAACCTCAATGTTTCTTTGATGATTCCATCAAGATACTTCATTTTGGTTGTGTCTTCATACGTACAAGGTCGATTTAAGTCGCTACCGAAAATATTATTTATTTCTTCGAATGCTTTCAGTTGAATATCTGGATTTCTAGATAATTCAAACATCGCAAAGGCAAGTGTAATGGCGCTGGTGTCATGGCCGCCAAATATATATACATTTATCTCATCTCGCATCATTTGTTGTGTTAGAGGTTTTCCATCAATAGTTGCTTCAAATAAAACATCTAAATATACAGTTTGCATATCATTTTGTACATTTTTATCATTCCGTTGGTTTAGAATGTCTCTCCTCTCTTGAAAGAACTTATCCGTATAATTATTGATTATCTTCATAACATTTTGTTCTTGTTTGAACTTTTTCGTCCATTTATAGGTCATAGGATTGTTATAAACAAGATAACAGAACTTTTGTGCTGATATACTGGTTATTTTATGAATTGCACGGACATAATCTTCATTGTCGCCATTTTGTGCGTTGATATTAATACCCATTCCTATTTCTATAGCAAAAAATGGAAAAAATAAGTAACGTTAGGCAATATTATAAACTTGATTACATTTACCACATATTATATCCAACGTACAAAGTGTACAAAATTGTGCAATGTCAACACTAGATTGATCTAAAGTTTTTCTTAGACAATCCACCATTAAATTGGCATTTCTAACGATAACATCAAGAAAATTTGGATAATGTTGTGTGTATAATGCTGGCATGAGTGTTTTACGTTGTTGGCGCCATGTTTTTCCTTCATAGAAATTAATCAATCAATAATTTATTAATTTTTATAATAATATTTACCATTTGATATGAATATACCATTTCCTAACCAAGTTCTTATGCACTCGTACTCATAACCTCTATCTATTTCTCGTTGACTACTTAATAAAGCCTCAATAAGTTGGTAGTCTTTAGTTAAAACCCCAGTATGAAAACCGTTATGCAATCTCATCGATTTTGTCTTTAGACGTCTCATACATCTATCCAGCGTGTAAATCGTCCGTTTAATGTCTTTAAATTCTAAAATGTTACCAATAATCGGCCATACTCTTGGTCCAGGAATTTTATGTAAATATTTATAGAATTTTATAAAGTGATAGAACCAATTGGTCACAAGCGCAATTAATAAAACAGAAACTACTTGAAGGAACATTTTTACACGCTAAATAAATTAAAACTAAGTTATATTTCTTTAATTTTTGTTTTTAGACTAAAATAACTTTATTTTGTATATTTTACAAGTATATACTAATTAAGTGTATATTTGTGTACAAATTTCACACTTATTATAAAATGTGTTATAAAATCTAAGTAAATAAATTAATAAGTTAATATTTCCTCTCCGCAAACTGTATTTTAATACCGGTCAAGGACTTTAATATAATCGCTGAGCGAAGTTCAAGTTTATGTACGGGACTCGCAGGTTTCAACTCAAATTGACGTAGAATCATACTCAGGAGACATTTCATTTCCATCATGGCGTATTTTTGCCCGAGACAGTTTCTTGGTCCTGCGCTGAATGGAATAAAACTGAAAGGTTTCTTTCCGTCGTAGTTTTCTGGACTAAAACGTTCCGGATCGAATTTTTCTGGATCAGGGAAGTGGTCAGGATCGTGATGGATACTGTAAGGTAGGAATAAAATTGGAATACCAGGTGGAATAACAGTACCATCTAAAAATAAACAAAATATTGATGAAAAAAATATTTTTTAGATATTTTAAACTTACTGTAGTCAAGATTTTCGGATACAGTCCTACTGAATAACGGTGCTGAAGGATACATCCTTAAAGATTCCTTAATAACCATTTCAAGATACTTCATTTCATTGAGATCAGTGGTTGTACACATTCGTTCCTTATCACTACCGAAAATATTGTATAATTCATCAAATGCTTTCTTTTGCACTTCTGGATGATTCGCAATCGCAAATAGTGTAAAACTCATCGCAACAGAAGTTGTGTCATGACCAGCAAACATAAACGTAGAAACTTCGTCACGTAGTTCCTTATCATTCAATGGTCTACCATCAATTGTACTTTGCAGTAACATATCCAAAAATGGTACCTTTTTCTTGCGTCCGAAATCATCTTCGTTTTCTGCAACTCTCCCAACTTCTTTTTTATCTGCTTCTTCTTGTAACTTCAAGCGACGTGTTTTAATTACAGAATCTGTATGTCCGTGTAAAACTTTTAGTATTGCTTGTTCATCTTTATGCATTTTAGTTCTTTTATAAATCCACTCAATGTTATACAAAGGTGTAAAAGCTCTGGCATTGACAAGATATGTAATATCATGAATACATTTAGCATATTCAGAAGATTCTTCTGTTTGGGCATTCACAGATAGACCCATTGCAGTTTCTAAGTAAAAAACAAAAAATTATTATTATATTATATTCAATAAATGTTATTTTATTATTTACCACAAATAATATCTAGAGTACATCGACTCATAAGCGTTTGAACTTCGACACTGGTGTTGCCAACTTCATTCTTGAGTTTATTGATTAAAATAACACCATTTGAATTAAACACGTCCAGAAATTGCTCCAAAATTTTAAAATGAAACGTCGGTGTTATCAATTTTCTTGCTTTACGCCATTTATCCCCTTTGAAACAATTGTAAACATTAGGTTATGTAATATTTTTAGGGTTATGTTATAACTAACCGGATGACGTAAATAATCCATGTCCCAACCATGGAATAAAATGAAAATACGTTTTGTGAGTTAATGTGGGACTGCCAAGGACACGTTCAATTAGAGTATAATCAGCTGTTACCAATACAGTGCGAAATCCCATGTGCATTCGCAGCGTTTTCGATTTTAGACGTTTCATCAAGTTCGGGAAAATATACATGGACTCTACAATTACACAGTTTATATTAAATTATGCTAAAAATAGACTTATAACAAATTTAACCTTCTGGATCCTTGAATTCCAATGCAGTTCCGATGATTGGCCATACTGTCGGTGCTGGAATATTCTTCAACTTGATGTAATTTTTTAAAAAGGCATAGGTCCATAGTGTTAGTACACCGACGACCAAAGCAACGATCACTTCCAGAAACATGATTACAACTGCTTATCAACTTGTTATGCTTGTTATTAAACTAGTTGTACCGTTATTTATTACGCAACGTCCACCTCTCATCAATCGCTGAGAGTGGCGATGCAACTGACTTGATGTCACCATCGACGCTTGTTTATAAATTCTCCGGATAACTCGAACATTGCTCTAGGTGTGAAGCAACTATGTACACTTATCATAATTGGTTTAGCAGCCATTTGAAGCATACAGTGCAATTTTTGCGGGATAAATGTTGCTCAGTCATCCTCTCATCATTCATAATATAAACTGAGCAAAGTCCAGAAACAAAAAATCGTGTGATGTTTATTATTTTACGGATAGAGATAAGTATAGCATGTAGAGACAGTTGTAAGGTGAAGAAGTGAATATGATGACTTGTAATTTTTGTTTTAAACCACAAACATAATTATTATAGATTGTTATTCAGAAATGACTTTATATATGTTTTGTTATTATGACGATAACAAAACAAACAATTTTTATGTCATTAAAATTTTGAGTAAAAATTTTGATTTTTTAATTAAATAAAGAATTATTTTTAACAAAATGGAGGAAGAATGTCTTTTGGAGGATACAGATTTTATAATTCAAGAAGATCAGGTATAAAATGCTAAATGCTAAATATAAATGCAGTTTAAACATAAATTCTTAATGTTTTTATATTTTAAGAGGGCAATGCGACAAAATTACGATCAACAACAAAATATGACAAGAGAAGAAGTAAGTGCTCTTCAATAAACCGTAAAATTAGTAAAACTATAAATATTATTTGGTATCATAACAGTATGAAGCTGCTTTCGGTCAAAATCATCCCCAAGAATCAATTCTCGAATGGTTTGACCGCTCTGTCGAAGGAGAGTTAGAAAAACACCGCAACAATACAAGTTTTGGAGGAGAAAACCTCTTGTTAAGTCAAGGATTAGCTCATCATCATGTTATTGAAGGAGGTGCTAGTGGTGTGGAGATAATGAGCGATTTAACTTCCACGGTAGACACAGAATTATCTGATGCAGTTCTGAAGTTTGCAAAAGCCGAAGCAATCGTAGCATTTGAAGGCGCTGTGCGTGCAGCAGAAAGAGCAGCAGCTGAAGCTCCTCCAGAATTAGCTGAAGAGGCGGCTGCTGCAGGTGCGCGAGGATATCAAGCTGAATTAACAGGAGTGGTTAGAGATAAGGTCCCAGGGGATAGACCAATCGAAGTAATTGGATATGTTGGTATTACAAAACCGAAAAATCCGCGCCAATCAAAAAGATAAATTGAATTAATGCGGTTTAGATTTCGTGTGGATAAATTAATGTTGTATTGTAAGAAATCTGATTGTTTTTGTGCGTTTTTGTGCTCGATTTCTCTTTTTTTCGAACCGCTAGAACAAAAAATAGATCTATTATAGTAGAAAAGTTTCACTCCTAATAATTAGAGATGAACGGCGAGCGGATATGTGTGTAGAAACATGTAAACATGCAGGGAACACACCTAAGGCTAGAGCGAATGAGAATGTAAGAAACATAAGAAGCATAAGGAAGGTAACGAGTGTAACGACTACCAATGAAACGAAGACATTCCAACCGACAAATTGTACGCGCGGAAATTGTAAACTAAATTCCAGCGGTAGTACTCATTGTGGCTTCTTGAGGACGCTGGTGTTGTGGGAGTCTCTTCTTGTTGCCAATTACTTTGAATTTTTAAAGATTAACAAGTTTTATAAAGTAATTTGAACTTATTTTGTTTATGTTTATAACTCGACTATATTTATTTTAATTTTTAAATAAATTTAATTTAATTTTACTCTTGTTATATGCTGTTTCTTTAAATTTTCGTTTTAAGTTTAAAGAGCTGTTTGCCTGACTTGGCAACAGCGCTGGATGCAGTGACGTTTTGCCGTCACTCAAGAGAGTCGTCAGTCATTTGTTATTTCGTTTATTTTATCGATATTCGTTTGTTTCCTTTTAATTTTTCGTTTTCAAGTACAGTTTATCGACTTAATATGTAACCATAGCACGTTATCGATTGCTCAAAGGTGAATTGCGAACACAGTGCCTACTCGAATCACTTCCGCGTGTGATAATCTTCCATCCGCTGCGGAGAAAAACGAAGAATTGTACAAATTAGGTTATAATATTTACGTATGTTAGAATCAAGAGCAATACATTAACAAAGTGGCATAAAAAAGTAGGTAAACCTTATACACATCGCAATCATGTTCACCAAGAAGAAAAAGAAACCGCAAATCTCAACGCCGACGAATTTCGAGCATCGCGTTCACACTGGCTTTGATAAACGCGAGGGTCGCTATGTAGGGCTTCCTCTGCAATGGGCCTCTATCGTCGGCAACAATCAAATTCTCAAGTCAACGAATCGCCCTTTACCTTTAGTCGATCCATCTGAAATTACTCCCACCGAAATACTCGATCTGAAAAACATTGTCAGAGGTAATCACAATCACAACCAAAACCATTCACAACTTCCGAATCAAAGGCTACAGCCACAAATGCAGATGCAACCATCACTCAAACCAAATGGCATTATACTTCCAAAAACTTCCAATGTGGCGAGATCCAATTCGCTGCGTTCTTCCAGCCCGCCGCGATTACGTAAAGATATAAAAAACAATACCAATGTGCCACCATCAGTGCCAGAAGAGCACATTATGCAGTATCCATCCATGCGCGGTGATAAAATGACAACAATGCGCGAAAACTCACCCGCATTGAGTCAGAATCAAGAAGGACATCACAACGGCAATCAAAATATAAACCAAAATGCACCAGGAATGCATGAGCATTACTATGGTGGACAAAACGTTAACAACAAACAAGTATCTCCTGCCGGATCGATGTCATCCGTTCCACCGATAGGGCTGAATCACATGGGGGCGCATTCACACTCCAGTGTGGGATCACACCATAGCCAGTTGAGTCAGAACAGCCATCAGAGTCAAGGACAACCCGTGCATCACGGCCACACCGGGGCTTATCCTCAAAGACCTGATCAAAACCAAAATGTAAAGAATGGAAATCAACATTTGGGACCTGGTGGTGTAAATCCACATATTCAGGGGAATCACATGAATGCACAGAACAACAGCACTACAAATAGCAATAGTGCTATTGTTGCTAACAGTGCGAGTGCTGTTGCAGCGGCTGCTGCAAAACAACAGCATGAACAACGACTTACTCACGAACAAGTAAGTGTCTTGTTAAAATACACTTCGAAAACATGTTTAAACATATTTTATTATTGCAGTTCAGAGCAGCTTTACAAATGGTGGTTTCCTCTCGAGATCCACGTGAAAACCTCGAACAATTCATAAAAATCGGTGAGGGATCAACCGGGACGGTTTGTATTGCCCGTGAACGAACCACAGGTCGACAGGTCGCTGTAAAAAAGATGGATCTGCGCAAACAACAGCGTCGAGAACTTCTTTTCAACGAAGTGGTAATTATGCGCGATTACCACCATCCGAATATCGTAGAAATGTACGATTCGTATCTGGTAAACGACGAACTTTGGGTAGTTATGGAGTTTCTCGAAGGCGGAGCGCTCACAGATATTGTTACGCACGCTAGAATGGATGAGGAACAAATTGCTACAGTATGTAAGCAATGTCTTAAAGCCCTGGCGTATCTTCACTCTCAAGGTGTCATACATCGCGATATAAAGTCGGATTCGATTTTACTAGCACCCGATGGCAGAGTAAAACTGTCCGATTTTGGTTTTTGTGCGCAAGTTTCACAGGAATTGCCGAAGAGGAAGTCTCTTGTGGGTACTCCATACTGGATGTCACCAGAGGTAATCAGTCGGTTACCTTATGGACCGGAAGTTGATATCTGGTCGTTGGGTATAATGGTGATTGAAATGGTCGATGGTGAACCGCCCTTCTTTAGTGAATTACCACTGCAGGCTATGCGTCGGATTAGGGAGATGCCTCCGCCGAAATTAAAGAACGCGCATAAGGTTTCACAAAGATTGTTGAGCTTCTTGGATCGTATGCTGGTAAGAGATCCGGCGCAGAGAGCAACTGCAGCTGAGCTCCTCACGCATCCATTCCTAAGACAAGCGGGACCACCAGCTCTGCTGGTACCGCTTATGAGAAACGCGAAACAGTTGTTAATGTTTCAGAAAAAGGACGATGGATGAATTGTCATTGCAATGGAAAGTGTTACGAGCAAAAAACCGAAGTTAAGGTAGGGATTAATTAGGAGAAAGTTAGCAGGAACGAAATAATCTACATTACAGTTGAAATGATGTTTTTTTTGCGATGACTGTTAAGTTTTACTTGTTGTCATGTTGACAATTTCTTGAAACATGATATAAACATTCCAAAAACTTCTTGGTAAATGTTTAGCACGACAAAATTACCGATATTTTAATTCCATCTAACAGTATTACAAGTTGGCTATTCTTTATTGGACCTACATTTGTACTTATAAGAATTTTACAAGTTATGATATGACATTACTCAACGAAGCGTTGAACTGAAACTCGAACTGAAAAACCGTCCGTTGGAATTTTTACGAAAATTGTGCCTTTATTGATCAAATATCAATCAAAACGTGCTACTTTTTACTTAAATAATTATTTTAAATACTTCTGACGACTTTACTCCACGTGGCTATCTATTTACCTGTTCAAATATCGATAAACAAATACGAATAAGTAAGCAGTTAATTATTTTTAACTAGATTAAACAAAAGAGCTAATGGTGTTAATATATTATTATAGTTTGTAATGTGCTAAATACTTATTTTAATGTTATTATCATTATAAACTTGTGAAAAAACTTGACACGTCGGTATCCAATTTTACGATTGGACTTATTGGTGATTGATGAAAAGAATCTCTGAATAATTAATTCTAATATTTATATAAATATATAAAGCATTTAAGGAATTGAACGAAATGTAATTATGTAAAATGAGCAAATAATTACTGTATCCAATAAAATATTGTATTAAAATATTTAAATAACGTCCACAGAATCAACTCAAATATTTATTACATAGATAAAGTACTAAAAACAAGTAAATATTAAAAAACACAGTGGAAATTGCGATAAAATTAAGTCATAGCATAAATATCATTTAATCTTCAAAATGCGACTGCTCCTGGAAATGGTCCTCATAGTGACCTAACATTCGCATGCCTTTGGGATCAAATGGTGACTGCATGTGTAAAACAGCCGGATATCTCGTGCCCATAATTTCGATTTCGTAGCGCCCGCTTTGCAGGAAATCTTTGTTTACCACTTTACCTTCTGGATGCTCTACATATCCAAGACCTATACTACAATCCAAATGGTAACCGTATTCTCCACGACGTAGGAATCCAACAATGGCGTCGTCCCTCCAGATTGTCTCCAATCCGTGCACAGTGACGGTTTTGTCCGGAATAGTGAAGAAGCAACGACGTTTACGCACGCCTTCGGACTTTAATCGTTCAACTTGGTCTTTACCTTGGTATGGTCCATCTTTACGACACACAAAACCAAGACCAGCTTCCACAGGGTTGTCATTACTACGCAAATCATAATTCCAAAGATGGTATCCTTTCTCACATGAAAGTGAATACAACGCGCGGTAACCTGCGTGTTTCAAGTCGAATGAACGACTTACTTGTTCGATTTTATTGTAAATCGGTACACAACTCGCTGTTGGGATATGCAATTCATATCCTAACTCGCCAATGAAGCTCACACGGATTGCCCTGCACGTGTGGCCATTGATTGTGATCAAATGCGACATACCATAAGGGAAAGCATTATCTGTGATTGGTGTTTCTGTTATCGACTGCAATAATTCTCCACTTTTGGGGCCTTGAATTGAAAGAACTCCAAGTTGGTCTGTGACATTAGTAATAACAGACTTGAACTTCTTCAGGTACAGTTGTTTCTTAAAGTTTTGAATGGTATGATTACCAGAAGCACCTCCAGCTACAATATAGTAACCTTTCCCTTTAAGAATGGGTCCTACAAGTCTACCAGCACCTGGGATTAAAGGTGTAACTGTCACATCAGCTTCCACACCACCTCTAGAGTTCAACGAGCAGGTATAGACCATTTTTTCAGGTTCCCTGTCGGTATTAGCTGTGAATAACCAATCAGCAGCTTCAGAAGCATCCGGACCTGTCAGATACATCTTTGCGAAGTATGACAGGTTAAACAGAGCGACATTATTACGTGCAGCCAGGGCTTCTTCGCCAATAATATGGTGATTCTTAGAGTACCCAAACATATAGTCACGTTCAAGTTGTTTAACGTATCTTTGGTCAGCGTTTATGTTGTGATCATAGTATCCATACCAATCGTAACCACGAACCGGTGCTGTACTGTCTTTAATATAATATCCGGGACGTTCCCAGCCTTGGGCTTGCTCCATTACAGCTCCATGAGCTACCAAAGCTTCATGGAAGGGATCAATCTTTATATTTCTCCCGGAAAGGAACTGATCATGCGGAAAGACAATAGAATAATTTTTAGCGTAACTCTCATGACTTGTTTCTGTAATCCACGCGCGGTCTCCTCGCATATCCTTGGTAAATCTTCGAATGTCATAGTTAAACATTGGCAGTTCCGGTCTTCCTTTCGTCATCCAAATTGCAAGTTGTTCTGCACATCCTGTACTCAACATCATACCAGCTGAGTTAAATCCTGCGCAGTGGTATAAACCATAACAATGTGGGTCTTCACCCATGATTGGTTTGTGATCAGGTGTGAATGATTCAGGTCCACATACAGTTGATTTCACTCCTGCTTTTTCTAAAGCTGGGCATAATCTCGAAGCCTTTTCAATGTGTTGATCAAAAATAGAATGGTCTAACTCATACAGAGAAAACTGGAAGTCATTTGGGACGTCTTTAAGGATCACAGGATTAGGTTCATAACCTCCCATCTGGATGGAATCTCCTTGAATACGGAAATACACTGAAGCATCATGATCTCGAATGTTTGGAGTACCTTTAACTTCTGGAATTGATTCAGTTATGATATAAGCGTGTTTCATGGGACTAATAGGTACTTCCACATCGGCCATCTTGCCAATATTCCTCGCCCATACTCCGCAAGCATTAACAACCAGACTGGTTTTGATTGTGCCTTTATCTGTCTCTACTCCAACCACTTTTTTAATTCCACCTGTGCGATCAAGGAGGATATTAGTGACTGCAGTGTTTTCAAACACTTTACCGCCACTTTTCGTAGCTCCTTTGATCAATGCAGAGCAAAACATTGACGGATCAATATCACCATCTCCTGGACTGTATAATGCCGCTGTGAAATCATCAGGGTTCAAAATGGGGGACAATTTTACAGCTTCTCCTGGTGAAAGCATTTGGCTTTCAATCCCGAAGAAATGTCCCAACGTATGCAATCTGGAGTATTCTTCAATACGTTCCTATGAATTATTATGCAACTTTTAGCATGGTTATTACTATTGCTTTTAACAGTTTGCATAAATTTGATTAAATAACAAGCTAACTAACCTTTGATCTGGCGATAAACAATCCACCATGTTGGATATATCCAGAGTTAAGGCCCGTCTCGGCCTCTAATGATTCAAGCAGGTTTTTCGTTCTTGCAAGAAGTTGTACTTCGACATCGTTGGGCCGAAGACGCCAATGAAGGCCAGATGTATGCCATGTGGTACCGGCAGTAATCTTTGCTTGTTCCAAAAGGACTGCATTGATTCCACGCTTTGCGAGTTGGTACAAAACATTGGTACCAGCTACTCCTCCACCTTAAGTTAAGGCAATGCAATTAATCGCAATTGAAATTCATTAAGAATGAAAACAAAAACAATAAATACCAATAACAACGACGTCGGCTTGAGTAGGCAGCCCTTCCGCACTACTATAATGGCGTACCTTGGGACGCTTGAACACATTTTTGGTAGCTGCCCGCAACATTTTCACGTGTTATCACTTTCGAATGCGTTTTTGACTCGTGCGGCAGTTGGCGGCCGACTACTGGACGCATTCAGGTCTGTTCAAAGAACATTTGGATGCTGGGTTGTGTACAAGCAAGTTTACATTGATAAACAACGATGTATGTATGTAAATCCACAGGGTGTGCCTGTAAAATCACACTTTAATCGCCATTTTAATTTAGATGTTTGTAATAAAGCATCAAATTCAACTTGAAATTAAGTTTATTGTCGTAAATACGCAATAACACGTTGGTTTAAAAGTGTTTAGAGTTGATTTAAAGTGTATTTAAAGTTTTATTGTCGTACTGTATGAATATGCAGTTGTTGCTTTGATAAATTAACTCTGATTAAGTTAAATCGTCTCGCTGATGGCGAGCGCTTAGATAAAAACAACCAACATGACCCCTGAAATCGACCGTTCGTTTGCGTGTTTGCGTATATTACGTCTGTTGACTTTAGAAGAAGATGTACAAACTCAGATTTTGATGTCAACTTGGGCAATCATTGTTTAATTTCACTCCAAAGTATAATAAATCACAAACAAACAAAAACAAGTGACAAACTTTCTGGTACAACGAATTTTAACGTTTTGATTTAAATTTTTGCAATTATTATAAACAGAAATCGGTTTGTAGTTAAATTGAAAATGTTATCGATTTATTTGACCTTAAAAATCGGAATAGAGCAAGAGCAAAGTACTCGCAAAACTGATCAATAAAATTTTGTTTATTTCGTTTTTCAAGTTTTTAGCTACAAAAATTAAGATTCTATAATAAATTCTATGTCTAAAAATACTTCTCAACACTGCTACTTCTCTGGAAATAATACATTATATGGAAACAATCCGAATACATTGTTTACTGCTTCCAGGATAATCGCACGGATTGTTTGTAAGACAATGGGTTTCAGTTCATCGTAGAGAACATCAATGTTATCATTGATTGCATTGTTAATTGAATCATTCAGTTCTGTGTTATTCCCGAAAAGGTTCTCAAAGTGCACACGGATGACTTTAATTTCAATATCAAGTGATGTATCCTTGAAACCTAAATATTCTTTGTTTTTCTTCATGAATCTCTGACTTTTCCATTGTCCACGAACTTTTAAACCAGCTAAAAATATAAATTTGGTTAGAATAATGCTGTAAAATATTGTTTTGTGATATCTCTTACTAAAATTTCCAACAAAGTCTCCTTTACTATTGATATTGATAAGTAGAAAGTTTCCTTTTGCTTTATATGTTGATTTCATGGTGACTTCAGGTATATTCATCTCTAAATCAGCTGTCATTCCATCCGGGATGATTTTAATCACACACCCTGTGAGATTAGTTGCACCTAAACCGCTCATATTGATTTTTTCTAAAACTGTTTCCAATCTGAATGTTCTTGATTGTGTAAAATCTAATAAAACTTTGTCGACTAGCAGTGGTTCCACTTTGAGGAGGTTCATTTCCGGAATGCCATTTTTCGTCAGTGGTACCAACCGTCGAAAATTATCCGCGTAACAATCACTGAGATTCGGATCATTTCTTTTGCAGATTTTTACCTCGTCAACTAAAATGTATATTTTTTAAATTTTTTATATATTTACAAAATGGTTGAAGATAACTTACTAATCTTTTTCTTTGCAAATGTGTACCCAACCAAACAGCAGAAGCTGATGACACAAGAGACGACTGTCGCGCTGAGCCGCATTTTCTTAACTGAGTGTACACTTTTGGCTTCTTTTGCAAAACGCGTAACGCTTTCGTTGCCAAACTTGTTGCGTTTGCGTTTCTGTTGCAAGAAGTGATCTTTAGGCGCTCGCGAGCGCTGTTTGTGGTGTTAAGTAACACTCGGTAACGAAATGGTCCCCGGTGTGTCGAGATTGATTGCAACTTCGATCGGTACGTCGATTGGCGTTACATCGATCTCTGCGGAGTCTTGCTGGGTCTTTGGTAACCTTCTTGTGTGCATTATGTGATTTGTCGATTTCTGGCACATTGACCGACGATCTCAAGAAATCAACTCACATGCTAAAACATTTAGTATTACTTAAGGGGATTTTCTAGTATCAAAACATTCAAAACAATAGAAATCATATTATAAATTAATTAATTTTTGTTCAAAGGGAGGTAAATTACAAATAAATTAGTTTATAATATTTTTTTTCATGAAATTTAATCAATCCTTAATGATTTTGATTAATTGTGTAATTATTCGGCAAAACGAGACATTTAATTGCAAGTTACTACTTTCAGTTCTTAAAATTTTAAGGATTAGTGCTTCTAATTTAATAGATCGCTTTAGAAAGTAATTAAGTAGTGCGTGTGTTGAGTTTACACGAAACACAAACTTTTATTAATATTACAAATCACAAACGTGAATAAAATCATGTCGATTACGCAATGGATTAAAGAAGAAATTCACTTCTGGTTCGGTCCGGCTCAGATGTAACCAATAATTTGAGAAATCAAAAATATGGTCCTAATTCTAATATATAGCAAATATAACAGATATAAAAATTAAAAATCAACAAAAAAATTCAAAACATTTCAATTGGCATTTATAATGGATTATACTGCAACTCACGCATTGGATTTATTAGAAAAGGAAAATAATATGATTGAATGAACTAACACTTCATACTTTTATTTAATTATCGTAATAAAACACTTTTGAACACGATCTTGAACCTACTACAAGTAATTAACACTCACTGCGCTTTCTTTATGAAGTATAACTAATTACAATAAGCAATAAGCAATTTGAACAATTAACAAGTACAGTCTTGACATAAGTTACACTACATATTTAAAACTGAACAATTAAAATTATTTATTTATTTGGTTAAATACCAACGTAAATGGTATCACCAACATTGATTTCACCTCCTTGATGTACTCCCAACATGGCTCCCATGACAGTCAACTCTCCTTCATATTCTTTATGCAAAACATTCTTCAATTTTCTATACCTGAAAGTAAAAACATTATAAAAACACAATTTATTTATTTAAAATTATATATAGTACTTCTCAAGAGTATGCAATGGTTCCCTATCCTGATTCCTTGTGCCATTCTCTGGATCAATTGTAGTAAACATACATCTCGTGCAGGGTTTGACATTCTTCAGAATAACATCTCCAATCTTGATCCATGCCCAATAATCTTCAATGAATGGCGGTGCTCCATCTCCACTAATAATAAGATTCGGGCGGAAGTTTTCAGACGTAATAACAGTATCCGATTCGATTTTAGTGTTTAAATCATCAATGGAAGCTTGATTGATCATCATAACAGCAGTAAGATCAGAATACAACCCAGTGGATGTATTTAATTCTGTATAGTTGTTTAACATCTTTTGATGAGTTGGCCGTAGATCACGTTTGTGTTCATCAGCAGCATCGTGGAAGACCAGACGTAAACCTGTGTCTTTACCATAGATGTAACGTGAACACCAGCTTGCTGCTTCATCTCCACAATCCAGAGCAAAGATTTCTTCTTTTTGATGAAGACTAAAACAGTATAAATCATATTAAATTGTATTTAAGGTTATGTTAGGTGTTATAATAGACATACGTTATCTTTGTGGCTTTGACGTCACCTTCTTTTGGTATTTTCACGTAAAGTTGACGCATTCCAGGAGCTTCAAAACTCACGTGCCATTCGTCGTGGACACCCACCTCGATGAGAACCATTTTGGGAAATGTACGAGCTGTTTTAAACTCTCCATTTTCAGCCCCAACGACAAGAAATGATCTGTTATAAGTAAATTTTAAGGTTATTTCATTATAAATTGACAGAAAATCAAAATGGATGCTATCTTTTAATATAAAATAAAATATTTTTACCTGCTAGGACGAAAATAATGTATTACTATATTATATTGTAGAAAAAATTCATGATATTCATGCTGCTCACTTAAATTCGAGCCGCATTCAAGTGTAGCATGTGGATTGCTGTTCTAAATATAACGATTATTACCAGAATTGCATGTGACATGTGACGATGTGTACGACATAAGTACAAAAGTTATCTAGCGTCGCTTATAAAACTTGTTTCTCGCTTTTATTTGCATTATAATGATATTACTCAACGTAAACAACCGAATAATCGCGATTAATTAATATAAATACGCAGTAAATAATAAATATCACAAATAACAGTAAATAATTACCGGTCATATAACTGTAGAGCCTTTTCATATCGACTATTGTGCTTCAAACCAAATTTCGTACATTCCGCCGATTGTAACTCGACCCGACGACCACTTTTCAACGGATACAGGTGAATCTTCTGGATGGTGGCTACTTCTCGCCATTCTGCGGGTGGTTTGTTGTCTTTTTGGGTGTTTCTATGACGCTGGTACATCCAGACGGCGCCGAGAAGGCCTGTTAACGCGACGACGCTGGTTGCCACCGCACTTTCCACCGACACGGCGCGCATTTTGTCGTTGACTACCGACTTACTGTGACCGGCGATAACCGGCGTATATTTATTGTGTTTACTCAGATCGGCGCGCCGGCTCGCATTGTGATACTGTGGAGTTAAAGTACACCAGCGGGGCCTACAAACGTTCACATTAAAATGCATTTTTAAACAGTAGAAAGTTTTTCGACCGGGTGAAAGTTTTTTTCTACTTGAATTTACAGTACCATGGTTAAATAAATAAAAATATTTATGGTTTAGATTAATATCTACCTGTTAAATACGTTAATACTATCAGGAACTATGCTATGCATGTGTTATCGGGGCATAAAAATGTTAAATTGTTCACAATTTACCGTTTTTTAGTTTGGGCCGTCACTGATAGGTGCCGCTAGTATTCACTTTTTAAATTAAATCCAATATTTATTCAGTGTATAAATACACAAGTAAAGAATATATTAAAAATATGCATAGCGTTCACAAAAGATTGATTAACAATAAAACATGAAGTTGATACAGTGTTTAAAAGATTGCGTTGACTTTTTCGGTGTGTGATAGATAACAAGCCTCGAATTCAGCGGCCGCTTCACATCTGTCAGTGGATTTAACTGTATATGAAACAAAATAAACACGAATTAAAAATCAATCTAAATCTGTCGCTATTTTAACTAATATGCATTGAATATTATACTAGTCAAGGTCAACGATTCACAACAACATGTTTTTATGTTTTTTTTACGTCAGTGCATAAATAATACAATAAAAAGTTGAAAGTTTTAGTACGTTACCTTCTGGCAGGCAAATTTCAACCATGATTTTCACTAAATTTTTGTAGATGTCTTCATCTTGTTCCTTGAAACCGCGCAGAGATTTCAAAATTCCTTCCTCGGTGATTTTCCCATCTTTTTCCTTCATTTCGTAAGCCTCGTAGTAACAAGCAATCAAACATTTTCCTTCCCTTCTGGTTGGGTTCTTTTTCTCGGTTAATTCATCCATATCTGCTTGGCTGGCATTTTCTTGCTTTAAACATTCTTCACCGATTTCATCCTCCTCTTTCATTATTGCTTCTAGGAATTCTTTACTGAGCTGTGAACATTATTCAATAAATTATAATTAAATAATTACGTTTTAATTATTCCTGTGTATTTTGCTTACTTCTGCAGTGACAACTGCTAAACACAACGCGAAAACCACGATAAACTTCATATTAATCAGTAATATGAACAACAAAACTAAAAATAACGGTAATAATTTCGTGTTGCTGATGCTCAGGCTCAAACTGTTAGATTATTTGTTAAGCGCTCCTCTTTTATACGGTTTTATACAATTCATTAATTCATCTGTCATTCTCAAGGACACGATTCGCGGAAACTTTGCAGACATAGGTAAATATTTTGTTACGTAATTTATTGTGTGTTGGTGGGTGCTTAATTTAAATCGATGTCGTGGTATTAAACTAATTATTTTTTCACACTATTACTTACTACGCGACATTAATTATATGAGAATAGGAGACGATTATGTTTTCGACAGGCATTCTTTTGTGATTTGGATTTAAGTATGATTGATTCTCATTAAATCGGCTAATAATATGTTTGTACCATATTTAATAACAATATATTTTTATGTATTCTTTTATTCATAAGCATTATTATTAAAAGAGTGTTAGGACATAAAAACATTGATTTCAAATAAATAATAAGAACATTATTAAAAGCTTGAATCAATCATTCAATTAGATACTGATCGGTACTGCGCAGACTTAACGCGCGACCGCAGCGCCAATTTGTGCAAATTATCATTTTAAACGTAACATAAAAGCGAACGTTCTTTTTACAAACACGTTAGCAAGTGACGCCGCGTAAGTATTGAGTGTCAGGTAAAAAAAACATAGTAATTTGATAGTTTATAGTAAATACGTTAATAAAATAGCAACAAAAAGTGTGTTTGCGTGTTTATATTTTTATGAGTTTACCCTAAGACGGTAAACAATGTAAATTTACGTCTCCAAATTACAACAATACATTTATAGCCGTAATTTCAGTGATAATCTTCATTTATTCTTTAAAATAGAAGTAAAAACAGAGTAAATTAGTTTCTGATGCATTTTATTCTATTACACATACATTTTTTATTTGTTTACAAACATTTGAACTATTTTTTGCACAACATAATGAAACACAAATGTGTAGTCAGCGATTAAAAGATAGCGTCTGCTTTTTTGATTTCCTAAAACATAAATCAAAATACATTTACTCGTCAAACATCATTAAATTTCATTTCATTTCATATACTCACATCGTCAGCGTTTTGGTGATAACACGCATCAAGTTCAGCGGCGGCCTCACAACGATCGCTGGATTTAACTATTTTCAAACATAATAATGCACATATTAACAAAAACATTCACAAATATACAATTTTGTAAAAACATGTATTCGTAGTTTTCAAACTATACTCATGGGATTAAGCGGTTGCCTACGTTAAATACTCATAATAACATATTATTACTACTGAACAAGTTTCGCGTTGTTTTAAAATCAAAATGTAAAAAAGTACCTTGTGGCATGCAATCCTCAGTCAGAAGTTTTACTAGTTTGTTATAAAGACCTTCATCTTCCGCTTTGTAAGGTGCTAAAGCGGCCATAACACCATCTTTAGACATTTTTCCATCTTTTCCTTGCTGGAAGCGGAAAAAAGTGAGTAGATCAACGGTTTTTATTAATATTTTTAAATAAATTATCACTTACAACGCCAAATTCTTCATTGAAGCATGCAATCAAACATTTGCCTTCTTTCCTGGATGGATTCTTCCTTGTCATTAATTCATCAATATCTTGTTGGCTTGCGTTTTCTTGTTTTGCGCATTTTTCACCAACTTCCATTACTTTTTTTAAGACTGCTTCTTGAAATTCTTTGCTGAGCTATTAAAATATTTGAAAGGTATATCAATATTTCCGTTATTATAAACAAAATATTTTATTCTCAAAAATTATAATTTTAAATTAAAATATGTTAAAGTTAAATTTTTAAAATGTTATAATCTAACCTCAAAATTTAACATATAACCTCAAAAACTTTGTTTTTAGTTTATAATATACTCACTTCAGCATTGACAACCACCACACACAACACAAAAGCCACAATAAACTTCATATTGTCTGCTAAAAATTACAAATATTTTGTTTTTGCCTTTATGGAGATGTCACCAAGACTGATTGATTCTTCATCAAGCTGTCTGTTTTATATCATTTTTAACTCACCCAGCGTTTATTGACAAGGTCGTGATCCACGTGAATATTGCAGACATTAATTTTTTTCTATTTACGTAATCCCTACCAACTGCGCAGCATAGTCATTAATATCCTATTGTTAATCATCATTTGAAGCTCTCGATTTGATTTCCGCCATTAGCATGCGGCACTCTATCGCATGTCTCGGCTAATTATTACTCTCGTTGCAGGAGCACACAATATGTGTTATGTGTGTTTTACGAGCATGCAATTATCTGGAATTTGTGCTTGTGTGCATGCAAAACAATCGTGTTTTGTACACGCGTATCCTTTTCGGGCAATTGACAGTAAATTACATGAACCTGTGTGAACTATTTTTATAAACTATGTATTTATATAAGCATTAAATTAATGTGTAGTTACAAACGCTGTGGTTTAGAATTTTAACAGTTCAATGACAACAAAGTACATATTAGTCAAATAAAAATTCTACATAGAATTATAGAGTATTAAATATTTATTCAAGGGAAACAATCAAATGACAACGTAATTTAAATTGTAACAACGAAATTATTTTGATTTGCATATTATAGAATTTAATAACAAATAATAACTTAATTTTGTTTAATGATTTAATGACATAATCAAAAATTAACGTAATTTGGGTTGCCCATTAGAAATTTAGATTAAAAAAATCATAGGAGCAGCAAATACCAAATTTTGAAAGTTAAAATAAGTATATTTTTACAGACTTTCAAGAAAAAGATGTAAATACAAAGTTAGATTAGGTTTTTAATTATGCAAAAAGCTTCTTTAACGGTCAAAATTTATTATATTGCTTTATTAGTTTATACAATTCATTGTTCAATACCGAGTTATCTTCTATTCCGTGAAATTATAGAACCATGTCCGCTTTCAAACCGGCCTGCAATCAGAAATAAATACAAATGTATTAAACTTTATTGAAGAAATTGAAGGAAAACTTACTTTGTCAGCATTTTTGTTGAAACAAGCGCCCATTTCAGCTGCGGCTTCACAACGATCAGCAGATTTTACTAGAAAACAAAATAAATTTTGTTTGTTTTTTTGAAATTCGGAGTGTTGATGGTTAAGTTAAGCTTTTTTTACCTTCTTTGAAGCAATCATCCATCAATTTGACCAGGGTATTGTATACACCTTCGTTTTCTTTCTTGAATGGTTCCAGTGACTTGGCAATTCCTTCTTTCGTGAATTTACCATCTTTGTCTTGCTGTATAGTGAAATTATTGGATTAAAACTTGCGTTTTTAGTGATTGTTAATGTAATTATAATAACTTACAGCACCAAATGCTTGATTGAAACACGCAATTAAACATTTGCCTTCTTTTCTGGTCGGATTTTGCCTTGCCATTAATTGCCCAATGTCATCGCCATTGGCTTTTTCTTGCTCAGCGCATTTCATTCCAACTTCTTGCACTCTTTGGATTAGTTTTTCCCTAAATTGTGGACTGAACTAAAAAATTGAGAATATAAAGTTTGTATTTTAAGAGTTTAATAAATTTTAATAACTTACAACATCAGCAGCATTTGCAAAAGCAACGAAAGTAAAAACAAAAACAACAAGGAAATTCATGTTTTATTTGTTTGTTTGTTTGATGGAATATTTTTATATCAAATACTGAATTGAAACTGTCCTTTCGCCATCATCCTGACGCATTTTATACAAAATTTTCCAGCAATATGGCCTTGCCATTGCTGAGACTTATTGCCTGTACGCAGACATCAAAAATCTATTTGCAAACGTAATTTAATTCATTTCTGTTGGTTCTAATCACGATTGCAATTGTTGATTGTCATTTGTAAGCCGTCTATCAGTCCATCTAGTTTCCGCAATTATTCCAAGCGGCGATTTGTGTTCATTACGGATTCAAATAATATACATCGACTCTTACGTTGGTCATGATAATCAAAAATGCATCATCAATCTAAAAATAATTAAGATTTAATTGTTTATAGCCAGAAATTAAAGATTATTTGTAAAATAATAATTTATATTCATTATTAAGAAGTATATTATTGAATATAAATAAAAATTTTGTTAATAATAATAAAATTATAAAAATTATGAGAAGTGTTAAATGTGACAATTTACAGTGTTACAGAGTTGCGTTACATAATTCTGTTGTGTTGACAATAATTATAGTAATAAAGGATTTATTTGTGCAAAATAAAATGGGTACAGTAATAAGTAGTATATAATCTATTTTGCAATCTGTACCAAAGTAATAATAAAATAAATTTACAATTATTGTCATTTTAGAGCACTTTGAACAGATTTTTTTGCATTTTTCATGTAATACTATTAAAACTTTGTTGGGCAAGTAAAGAATTATTACAAAAACAATAATTTATATTTATAAATAAGAATACAATTTTAATTTTGTATTTTTGGTATTTTTAGTAAATTTTTGAATTTACAAGCATAGTTAGCTATAAAACAGGTAATTTAACCTATAAATTATACAAAATGTGAAAATGAAAACACAAAATAAAACCCACGACATAAACTCGCGCATTTCTGGAAGAAACTAAATCAAATCGTCACAAACAAACATAAATTAAACTAGGGCATGACCCGAAACACGTCAAGCACGACTGTGTGAATAGTAAATTTAAAATTGTAAACACAAACAGGACGAGCTATACAACGTCACTACTATTAGTACTGGTGTGAACCTGGGAACTATACCTATACAACCAGCAGAAGAAAGAAAAAGCAGCAAAAAATTACGTATTTAAATTCGAGATAAGTCTGAAGATCTCCGCCGTAGATACGAACACCGAATGAAAGCTGAGAGGTAAGCGCAAGTGGTATCCATATACGAGTACATACAGACTAATACTACAAGAAGTACGAGTAAGCTGAGGTGAAAGAGTACACTGCACGTTTGGGTGTTATGTAGAGATGCCGTTGGAAGTTGTGAGGATGGAAGGTCATCGCTTCCGCTCGCGAGGTGCGTGCAGGTCTCACGTCTTGCGTTTTTGCTGTTATCTTCCACTACCTGGTAGTACCTTTCCATGTCTCGCGCGTGTCCAATCTTATTTTCATTAGCGTCTTCCGTGGGTTAACCGGATTTGCAAACAGCTACATAAATTATACACATTTTACTTCTGACATAATTACAAAACAAAAAAAGGAAATTAGGAATTTTTTTCTCGATTTTTTTAGCAAAACTTTATTTTATTTTTGCCTTTGCATCTGTATGCTATATAATTGCCGAATTATGGCAAACCAAACCTGCTTCTGTTGTGCATGTGTATGCAGGCCGTGCAGGTTTAGTCAAGACAGCTGAGAATATGCCGGCCAAACTAAAGCATTCGGAAATCAAGCGGCCGTACCACGAGCAGCATGAAGTGAAGCTTCTTTGCTTCTTCTGTTTTCTGCGCTTCAACGACGCGCCCAACTTGCCGGAACGTCAGTCCGCGGTCGCGTCGCGAGCGTAGTGAGACGTATTTCTCGCCGCGAGTCAAGTAAAAGTTTACGATTTACTAAACATGCTTCTTTTATCAGCATGAAAAAAATAAAAACAATACTGTAACACGAAACATAACGGTTTACATGAATAATTTAAGTAAATTTACTTAAACCTAACTATACTTAAGTCATATTTGGTTTCGACTTAAATAAAGTAGTGACAAGTGTGAAGTTTAAACAATTGGATTATTCTATTTTGTGATTCGTTATTATTTATTATCTAAGGTTAGTATACGTAAAATTTCTTCGTATTCTCTTTGTTCAATGTGTTGGTCATTAAATTTGCATCCCACGTGTTTTATTCAGGTAGTAATCTTCTATTCATCCCATATAACTCAAAACCTTCTATTTATTATGTTTTTGTTTAGTGCTCATCTCTGGTTGGGTATTTTCGTGTCCCACGTGCATGTATTTTTTATCGGTTGTTCACCTAGGATTTAATCGTGTCAGTCTGTCGAAGCTACTTCGTGCAGTGTTTAAAACTCGTCTCTGGGTCCACTCAAGGCTTAAAATTTCAAGCGGACGCATCTCGCTTAAGTAGGAAATGCGCTCGTGCATTTCTTTCAATTCCTGCAACATTCATTCAACAGCAACAGCTAAGCATAAACAGGAGCTATCTTTAATACCGCCACGAGTGATTAAACGTTTAATGACGTTTTAACTCGTTGAATCGCTTGCAATTAAACTCATCTTCAATATGTCTTAAGTCAAACATAACCACACTCTGAACAAATATAATCTAACCTGAAACATAAGTTTGAAGTTTGTTATTTTCTGTAGTTTTAGATGATTCACTTGTGTCTCGTTGTGTTTCATTGATGCTAATGACTATTTAATGCAACTGTCAACGACATATGTTCGGCCTGAATGTGTGCACGCTTCAGAAAACACTCGGACATGACCCGCAATTAGTTAATTAGTTAATTAATTAATTACAGACTAAAATTATATCCAATTATTAATTCTCCGTATTTTTACAATAGAAACTTTAGTAAATTTCAACAAATTTTATTCTTATCAACATGTAATCATTTTATATGAATATTTCTTACTTATTTATAATGAGATGACGTTAAATAGCAGCAACAAGTCGAGTTAAATTAGAAGTATAAATATAAATAATAAATCTTTCACGTAGAGTTGCGATATAAATATCTATAACAAATCCGGAAACAAGTCGTGTTTACGGACGTAATTTCAAAATACAAATACAGATCGAAAGTCAATTTAGCTTAGATAATAAACAATCTATCAGCCCGGTGTCCTGGCGATTCTCAAGCTTTCCTAGTGGCTTCGTTAAATTAGTAATTTGAGTCTGGCCGCACGTGTGGATTGGCTGGGTAGTGCTGCGATGCTTTATGATTTAATTTTGTTTCGATAGAACGACGACGACGGCGGCCATTCACAACGCCGAGTTGTAATAGAACTGGGTTAGTGCTCAGAGCTGCAGCTGCTCCCAGCAGTGCAATACCCGCCAATGGAATTAGTAATCCTTTCAATGCTAAGGCCTAAAATTTAACCTCAAATTAAGACTATTTATTATACTTTAATAGGTAATAGTAAATAATTACGCTGTGAAGTCCACCATGTCCACCACCTCCGAATAATTCATGTCCATGTCCATGTCCGGAATGACCATGTGGTCCACCATGTCCAATTGGTCCGCCATGTCCACCTCCGTGACTATAACCATGCGCTAGACCATAACCTCCAAAACCTGTTGCTGATGCGTAACCGGTCGGGCCGTTATGATGGTGTATATGACCATGCACTGGTCCTCCTGCGCCTGCGCTTGTCGGAGCAGTACCTCCGTGACCCACGTAGTCATAACCTGATGTGGAACCTACTGGGAATGCACCGCCACCGCCGTGACCGGTCGCCGCTATATGCGAGTCATAAGCTAAAATATAAGCGAACAAATATACATTTATGTATAATTAATAGCGTTTATAGAGGTTTATTTCATTCTCACCAGAAGGCACAAAATATTGTTGGTGTTTGTGTGAGGCACTGGGTGAGTGCAAAGAAACAATTCCTCTTGTTTTCTTATCAGGATTGTCGTCGATGATCTTTCCGTTCTTCTTTGCGTCGTTGGCAATGGTGTTGTCCGCGCCGCGACGTTCCTCTTCGCTGATCGTGTTCTTGAACAGACATGTTTCACAATAGTAAAGTGAGCGGCAGGCATAATGTGCGGGGATAATACGATAAGTACAAGAGTGAAATTCGCGCGTCATTCACACTTGTTGTCGTTCCGTGTCGGTGAGCTTTTCGATTTCGTTTCGAGACAGACCATGAACTTGAATTTTGGGTTTCATATCATGTACAGCCATTTAAAAAATTAAATTATTGAAATAAAAAATAAAGACATTAAAATGATTAATGGCATAGTTCTTATATAGAATAATTTTATTGTTAATATTCGTATTCGAAAGCGGAAAATAAGCGCGATTTTCTTTGAAAGTAAAGTTCAAGATGCAATAAAAAATAAAATTGCCAGCATGGGAAGTTAATTCAAGCACAATTTACATAATTATTGAGAATTGAGAATTCCGTGATCGCGAGAACTTTCTCATCACGTTCAACGCGTGCATTTTCCATGCTATCAACACTTTAGCCGATAAATCGCATTAGCATTGCACGATTACATTACAAATTACATGTTTGCATGTCTGAACAAAGTAAAAATTATTTCCTTAATGGAAATAATTAATATTCAAGTTAATTAATTAGGTATTGATGTAATAATTACCTGAACATTGGATTCAACATTCGATATCGCGCGGATTTGCACCAACACCATTGATAACACAATCACACACTCAATAAATCGTCCAGGTCGTGCCATATTGATAAATTTTAAACTAATTATCCTAATTTCACTATAAATTTTATATTGCCACTTGTTTATTTTCAACTTGATTTTTGAATTTATTTTTTTATTTGTGTCTTTCTGTATCGAATTGATGCGTTCAACTACTGCACCATCCAACGATGAATATCTTTATATGTGTCCTGAATGTGCAGAACTGGTGGTAGTCGAGTGCGTACGTGGGACAATTCGCAATCGAAAAGAATGAAGGATATTAGTGTGTGTATGTAAAAAGTGGAAATATAAGATAAGCAACACTGGCTTTTGCATTGCGCAGTGAGCTTCTTCACTCCCCCTACTACAACTACAAACACATATTATGTGTGTATTCAAAAAAATTTGAAATTGTGTACAAGAAGGAATTTTTGTCTTTGTTGTGACAAAACATTTCTCTGTGTTTGGGTGTGTGTTGCGCGGCTGGCTCAATTTCTATTGTAAAATAAATTTTTGGACCGAGAAGTGATACCTGGATGGGCACGAACAATTGATACGTCCGGTCGGAGTGTGTTACACATACGAGTTGTAAGATTACACGGACGGCAGCGTTTTTTCATCGCAAGTAATCAGTAATATGGGTAATGCAAGTCAATGCTCAATGCTCAATTCAAAACAGATTATTGCCATTACTGTTGTTATTGCTTATTTCAAGTGTTCTATAGTCAGGTTGCTCTTGTTAGACTCTAAATGAATGTTTTATTGGCAACATTGCAAATATTTGACTTTTTGTTGATATTATGGATCATATCTTTAGTTTTTGTTACGTGTGTGAAGTTAACAAGTTTATTTCTTAATATGTGATATTTTTTACAATTATTTCTTGCCAACTTAGTCATTGGTTATTGTCTAACAATAATTATTATTTACCAACTTGCTACATCCAATTGAGTGACAAGCGAGTGTTAATGCTTAATTATTTACGCTTTCATACATATTTCCGGTTGCTATTAATTTAATTTAAATTATATATTGTGCCTTACATAATATAACTCATTCTAATTAATTTAATTAAATTTTCTGTATATTTTGAGGTTAAATTTTGACAATTCCGATTAAATTCAAGTTCAAGATCGAAATTTAAGAATTTTCTTAGTACTTCATTACTAATAATCCGCTATTGTTTTGACAATTCAGAAGAAAAATATAACTAACAAAGAAATTGCTCAATTTTAATATAAATCGTAGATTACATATCTAAGAAATGTCAACAAGAGCGAAATAATTGAGACGTTTAGCACAGTTTTAAACGATTTCCACACATTTACAAAAGAATTCAGCTAAACTTAACAATATTGTCATTTCCGTCCCAAGTTTATATTGAATAGAATTGAGCTGACGCATGACATTGAAAAAGTTTCTCAATAATTATTGTGTCAAAGATATTTTCTTGGTTTCTTTTTTTTCTGTTTGTATAACATGCATACTTTCAACTACATATTGCACTTAACCAAAATGTCATAGCTTTTGATCTTCACACTCGGATAGGTTTAGGTGTTATCATTTTTTTGTCCCTTTTTGGAAATTTATGTAAATGTATTCGAACGAGCGGCTATTTTCGTAATGTGCGAGCATTGTCGTTCCGAAAGGCGGCTTATTATCGCCAAAAATGTCGGAAAACCACAAGGATCGGCGCTCGTAACGATCCCCTAAACCACAAAAACAAGAGAAAAGAAAAATATAGCAAATCAGCACAAATACGGAAATGTAAATAAAGAAAAACAAATCTAAGTATAAAGTTTTTCTTGCAGTTTCTTTAACAATGTGTTTTATTGTTTTACAATAGTTTATATTTTGTTTAACATAAAACTTTCTCAACTTAGAAATATTTTCTTTGTGGATTTCTACTGGGATCAATATTCTGATGTGATTTCCACGAAATAAAATTACGACATTTCATCTTCCCGTATTAATATTACGACTTTTCTGTTTCCTTATATATATTTCCGAGATTGAACCTTTTCGATATGTTGCAAACACAAATAGCACGAGGCCGAAAGGACGAAAGTACTAGAAGGCGGAAGTGAGGTATGAAATTTATGTGTCTCGTCGCGGGTCCAAACTGTTTTCGGACTCATAGTCATCTGATGGCTCATCTTTTCGCACCCTTGCGTCTTTGCGCGACTTGCGGGTGTCATAAACAGAAGCTGGAATATTTCACAAATATTAGGGTCTTTCTCATCTTTGCAATATGATGATATCAAAACAAAAAACTGGAAAAATCTCAATTTACAAAAGAATTTTACAGAAAATATTTGTTCAATTATTTATTACAACACATAATTGTTTTGCTTTTGTTTTCTTTGTTTGTCTACACGTTGTTGTTTGCGAAATAAAATATTCCAGACGGTCATTTTCCTTTTATTAATTAGTCAAAACATGAAAGAAGAGAGCAACGAGAGCAAACACTCGACGCAATTAAAAGTTAATTAGAGCTTAAGTAACCAAGTAATTATCATTACTTTTGTTGAGTAATGTCGAAAAATGACAACCGACAAAACTATTACAACACTAGTAACACAACTACAACAAAAATAACATATTGTTACAATTTTTCTATTTTTATTTTCAGGATTATTTCATCAAAATGAGTGGATTTATTCGTTTTCGACGAAGTCGACGTGCATCCACTTCAAGTGTTTATATGCAGGTAAAATTCTTGAATAAATTAAATACGTACAAAAGAAAATCTGTCGCTGTAATAAATCATAAGCGAAAAAAACTCATTTTCATAACGAATACTGAAGGAATTATAACGCAAAAGAGAAAAATAGTAGGGTTGCAGGCGAAGCATCAATGAAACACGTTGAAAACTTGAATTTGAATTAAGCTTCATAAATCAATCTTGTCTGACACGCAATAAATAAATAAAAGAAACGCGGATGACAAAACGCACAATACGTCGATTCATACACCGGAAATTAATCTTCTTGTACGTTTTTATTGCGTATTGCAAACGAAATGCAAAATTATTGTTATTTATTACATTTTAACAACAAAAGCGCTGATATTAACTGTCTGGGGTTTAATCTGGCGTTGAAATTTATTCAGTGGTATTTTATTAGAAACTTTGGCGTGCATATTTTGTTTCGGAAATGGAATGCTTCCGATTGTCGGGGGCTAGCGGATATTAAACGTGATATACTAGCGCGGAATCTCTATTTTACTTACCCCTTTAGATTTTGATGCTAAATTTTAGTGTAAAATTAATGTTTTTGGTGTTTTAAACCAAAAATAAATAAATAAACATTTAGGAATGAATGAATGTTACAATTTCAAGTAGTGAGTGAAATTCCGAAGAATTCGAATTCCGAAGGGATGTTAACGATGTCAACGTGCCGATGCTGGAAAACGAGATTACCGGACGTGCAGGCATGCTGGGCATGCAGTATTATATGTTCCAGTTAGAATTTGCGTGCGTGTGCGTGGGTGGTGTGTGTAATTATTGTGACCGCGAGCCCGCGGGGCACTTATGGTCATGTGCGCTTAATGGGCATTCTGCACATTTTATTATCGCATCAACGTCGCCGGCGCTGATTTACGATCGTCGACACGCTCTCGGCGCGCCGCCATCGCACGTCCACGCTAAACGGTTTGCGGGGGTCGCCATGCTGCCCGCTGCAGGCCGCCGCCGGCGTTATTTACGCAAACGACCCATACTCGCCGCCGCAAATTACGCGCGGGTGTAATTTCTCTTGCGGCTAGAGATTTTTTCAATCAAATATAACAACATTAGAAATTGTCATGTTAAAGTCATAAAAATTGTATAATGGGTTGCCTATAGTCAAACATTGTTTTTATTTTTATTAAAAACCAAAAATAGGAAAAGTAACATTTGTTCCGAGTAAATATCAAACATAATATTACGTGTAAAATTATGTTATTAGAGCAAGCTAAACTAAATTCAGCTTAATATAATTGGTATTAAATTATTTTTAACGTTTTTTGTACTATACCTCAAGTAAATTTTTCATAATAACTAGTTTTTACAAAATTTGCTCCACAAAAAAGTATTATTTCAAGATTAACAACAAATATTATTTTAAAAAACGATCCTGCCAGGATTCGAACCTGGAATCTTCTGATCCGTAGTCAGACGCGTTATCCGTTGCGCCACAGGACCCGATGCATAACTATTTAATACTTACCTAGGACAAGAAACACCAGAAACTAAATGAAAGCTACATACTTTAACAATTCTTAAAAAATACTTAATATTTCATTATTTAATGCTCAAATTCACTGCATCTTATCTGTTTATAATACTATAATCAATATTTAAGTAAAGATTAAACGATAAAGATAAAATTCAATGAAATACTACAAATAGACTTTCAACTAGCCACTACTAAAGTTATTAAACAAAATTAAATTAAAATTGACTTGTTTATATTTAATAATAATCTACAGAATGAAAGCGCGGCATGTGGAAGTTGTTCGCCAACGTTTTGTTATTTCATTATTTGTTCATATTCCACATGCGAACGAGTTTACTGCACGTGCATGCTTCTCAACTACGCCACTACCATTATTCGTGTAGTAGTAGATTATAAAGTGGAAGTCTCATGTGTGCATGCAATCGCTGTAAATTCTCGCGGTGCTAAGCAGTGCAATCGCTCGTTGTTGGTTAGTGTTTTGTGTAGTTTCGAAGTATAAACACACGCGGAGCCGGTGAATCCGCTTACCGCTCACCTGGACGCATGCGCATTATGCGCACGTTACACGTTTATCTCTGTATACATCGCGTAGTATTGTATTTTTTGTCGTCCGCGTTTCGATGTGTGACAAGTGACAACCGAACACAATGAAAAGTTTAATCGCGCGCAATCAGCAAATGCCGTTAGGCCAATTTTCAACAAACACGTTGAAAAAACACTAAAAACAAAACTGTACAGTGTGATTAATGTGATAACTCGCTTTAAATTGCCCATTGGTTGAGTAGTGTACATTGTGACCATGTAAAGTTATAAAATACAACAAATTACAAAACAACGTTTGGAAATGATCACTGCCATCATGATAACGGACATCGAGGTTATTAACTGAGTGCAATATCGGATTATCTAACTTTTAACTAGGTGCAAGTAACTTATTACATTATGAAGTGTTTGCAATATTGTCAAGTGCGATAATAGTTATTTATTAAGTGCTTACAGTGTGTTTTTTGTGACTTTTGGTAATAAAATGGAGGAACCAGTAAGACTATCGCGATATTATGGGGTAATTATCGTTTTTTTAGCAAAAAAGGAATTTTATACAAAATTATTATTTGTTATCTAAATCAGTATGTCATTTCCGTCATTGTTTCACTCTACTTCTTTACTCCGCCTGTCCAAAAGTAGTTTATATGCTGGTGTATTAGTAATGGACCGATTAGAGTCTTTTACTTCTCGTGAACGACCTCAGACTCATCACACGATGACTAATTATACAACTTCCTCATTATCACAACGCAGCGGATAAAATTAAAATTAAAATTAAATTGAAATCTTGCTTCTTGTAATACGAGTATCTACTACATTAGGAAAATTGCATAAAATGTAATTATGACACGATCCAAACAACACATTAATCTTACTCTGAACAAGAGACTCGTCCGCTCAACTCTACACCCTGTGCCATAACGGCGACATTCTATTCTGCACATTGTGTTAAATGAATTTACATTTCGTATGCAATTCATGCTGACATTCAAATTTTAAACGTTTCGAAATATTCGAAATTTTAATCAAGGCGGGAAATAAATGAACTCGCTAAGCCCACCGAGGCCTAAATGCCGTCGTGCCGGAGTTCTTTATGATGATGATTGTCGTACATAGTCGTATTTTGGGCGTGAGTCATGACGAGTCATGAGACAACCATGGGCCGTGAGCAGCCAGCCGGTTAACCCTCTTTTTTCGGTCTACAATTTTCTATTCGCCCTCTCGTGACACATCTTGTTTTTTCTTAGAATTTGTATTGTAGTCATACTCGTCAGTACATTAGTAGATCATACATCATACACCCTAACAAGGGTTACTTTCATTAATTAAATTAATTAATTACACTAAAATTGAAAAATAAAACGTGTAGAAGTCTGAATTGAATAAAAATATAATTAATTTACAATACTTTTGATTACTTTCAATGAACTAAATGGTTTTATATTGCTCTCTAGGTCAAATAATTAAAAGTGAAGCAATTAACGATGTTTTTAGTACTTTTAACAACAAGTAAACCACGAGTTTTATTACTTTTAACGATTTAATCACCTAAAATGCAATAAAAGCAAATAATTGCTACCAAACTATAACAAACATCAAAGCAATTAATTGTTTTATTAATTTTTAGATGTAAAATAAGTAGTATACAGGTGTACATTGCGCATGCACGTATTTACTTAATTAATACGCGTCCCACGAGTTGTTTCCCATATTACTCTTTGCTAGAAGATTGCAAATTATTAATATTGTATATTTCTTCATCTTGACTGCCAGTTCAAAGTATAGGTTTATCGGTATTATGATATATTGTAATTGTGTAGCAACATTTAATAACCACAATGTTAATGAGTGGTTATATTCATAGTTCTCTCATGTGTCTTATATGTAATACCGTGTTAGACACATATGCAAATATGAAAACGTGTTTAGCAACCGAAAACAAAACACAAATGACCTTAAAATTACAATAATAACAAAAGCAGTCGTGATTAATAGTGATTGATTTATTTTTTACTCTTTGTTATAATTAATTATAATGACTAGTCATCATACGAACGTTTTTCAGTTTGTGCTCTTGGTAATTGCACTTTCTTTTCGTTTTCTCATTTCTCGCATTGTTATTTTACTTTTTTTCATTTATGATGCACCAGTAAGCGCCGTTTAACGCAATTACCGATGAATTATCGCGTTTTGTCGTTCACGTTTCAGTTGCTGTCGACGCTCGCCAACGATCTAGATCAAATGCTCAGCGAGTTATACTCTACATCGCCATTGCCGTATGATCGACTCGAGGCAGACAACGAAATTCCAAACACAAGGTAGGAAAATTTTGTTCATAAGTTGGTCTTTTTTTATGGGAAATATCTAATGAAATGGACTTATGCGTACCGAATACAAATGTTGTCTTGTATTGTTTAACATTGTTGAAGTTTCCCAGAATTGAAACGTTTCAAACACGTTTAATGAAAACGAGATCGTATTGTTGTACGCCGCACACATTAGTCACTTACATACTCGGTAATTTAATTGCTCGATTGTTTCTTTACCAGTTTGAGATCAAAGTGAGTGATAAAATCAAACAGGCAAGAAATTAATTGCTAGTTTGCTGCGATGCCTTGAAAAGCCTTTATGCGCAGTCATAAAATTATATTTTTAGATATTTAAACTTAAAATAAAACGTCCATTACCTAATTTTTACTGTTTATACCGGAAATGGTATGAAAATCGAATGTTTTTTCATCTCAGGATCAATTTCCAAGCAATTTTAGTTTAGTATACAATATGTTTAAAGTGATGTTTTAATAAACCTCCAAAAGAAAAGAAAACAAAATCTTTGCGTGCGGTTTGTATATTTTGCGTAGGGAAAGTATCAAAATCTATTGGGACGCATCAAAGCCGCAAATTCACTTGACAATTTTCAAGCGGTTCGCCCGCCCCCTTAGCGCAGATGAAATGTACAAACATCACTGCCACATTCTTCTTTGATCTGCTTCTTGTGAATGTGTGCAAATAAAAAATATCCACGTGATGCAAATCCATCTCTTACACACCCCACATCACGTCAAAGTGAGAAAAAGGGAAAGACTCCCAAGAAAAATGATTGTCCTTCATGATCTAGGGGAAAATCCCATTTTAAATATTGTATAGAAGGACAAATTCTCATATTTTCACGGAGGGTGCAATTTTAAAATTTTATGCCCTCGAGATGCGGCCATCTCTGCACAAAATTCCACATCTCGATTCGTTTTTATGACTTTTTTGCTACCTGATACCACACATAAAATACGATCGCACAATGGACAAAATGTCGCTCAAAATGAAATTTTTCCCCGTACTAAATCATTTTTACGACTCGATGCAATTTTTCCATTAGTGCTTCAATTAAATTCTTATTCTTAAATTCTCATCGAAGTGTGTATTCGTCGAGTGCCAAATTTTTTCATTCTGATCACTTTCATCAACTGCACATATCCAAGATGTTTATATCCGCCTGCCTGGACCAGACATCGATGCCCACAGTTTAATCTATGGTGCCGGACGCGAATATCTCTCGCTGAAAAATAATACTTCCTTAAGAGAATCATTTTTGGGTCTGGGGAACCCCATTTTGGATCTGGATTAAAACTTTCTCGTGCACGTTTTAGGTATAACCAATAACAAGATCGTCGTATAAAAAAATAGAGAATTGTTAGAAATATGAACGAAGCTAGAAGCAGTTCTAGAACAGCTGCTGTGGTTGCAACTTTATTATCCATGTTAGTAGCGTGCATAGACAGAAGCATAATCCCACATATCATAGCAGTCTACAAACAAATAATTAAATTCAAAATATTTAAAAAATATTAATTTTTTACACTGCTTATATAAACAATGACATGCCAGGTGATTGCCCAAATATGTTTAGGTGCCGAATGGTTGAAAAACATAAAATCATCCCGAAATCTTTCCTGGCCATAGAAAAACTGCAGACCAAATCCCAACATTCCGAAAAGTATGGAAGTTACAATTGTTATATTCTCCGGTTGGAAGTAAAAAAATACATCTCGAAGTGTTGCATTCATGCGCATGTATCTTAGGATTAAAATCATTCCCCAAACGGCGATGCAAAAAATTAGTGGGATTCTGTTCATGCATGGTATGCTCTGCACGATTGTATCCACAGTAACATTAATTGAAAAAACCAAATAAATTGAGTAAAAATATAGCACGAAGAAGAACCATAAACAGATCCATGATTTGTCAAAAGACATGTGCAGTAATAAATCAGGCATTAGAGAAAATATATGATCCCGTGCTAGATATATATTAAAAATAAATAAATATTAATATTATTATGCACAAAATATTTAAAAAAAAATAAAAGTTACTACTTACGAAGAAAATGGAAGCAGTTTTTATCAAGACTGTATGTTTTAGAAATCTCATCGATACAGCTAATAAATAAACAGGCACAACCCCAGGAAGTCATGATACATGTGAAAATTAAAAGGGATGTGTATACTTGGACACTGGTTTCTTTTGGTTTCATTGAACAGATCCAGACCAAGAATGGGAATTGGTAGATTTTTGTACCCACTGAGATTGAATCAATTACAAACTAAAATTGGTTATAAAAAAGTGTGTTAGTATTAAATATTTGTGTTATATTTTATTATCGTATTCACATTAGTATATTTTTCTTTTTTTTCGCGTTTAAAGCACAAGTTTTTCCATGGTTTTGAGACACAAAAAGTAGTGCTTTAAACATGGACGGCCAAGGACGTGACTAAAGTACTTTAATCACAGTGAGGGCCACTTTTCGTGTAAAAAGTGGGGATTTAAAGGTGCATGTAAAAAAATAATTCTCTTTTTCTCCTAATTCTTCTAATTTTCAAGTAGGCAAAACATGGCAAAATAAAAATAAAATTGTAACAAAACACAATCTCAGAAAATGAAAATGAATGTTATTAAGTTATTATTACTTACTTCTGCGCTTAATATTCTTTCCCAAGGTGTAAAGTGATACTGATGAGGTAAAGTCCCCTGGGATATGGAATATACACGAGCAAGAAGTACAAAATTCGCCATTATAACTGGAAATGCCATTAAGACTATCTGCGCGCGTATCGTCGCCTTTTTGGTCAGTGCTATTCCATTGATTGCTATAAGCAGAATCACTACCCAAATTACAATCACTCCATGATTGATAAACCCTGGAAGGTTCTTGTTGTATGCCGGGAATACTACATGACTACAAATTTAATAATTATCATATATATTTCATAAAATTAAAATATTTGTATTTACTTTATGTAATATTGAGTTGAATAAATTTCGGATCCAATTGGATAATAATTTAACGCGTCTTTCGTACAATTAGTTTGATTGGCTTTGGAATTAAACGGAATACATTTATAATCTTCAACTAAAATCGGACACTTTTTCCAGTCACTTGTGGATGATACCAAGATCATTATCATCCGAAAAGCTGCCTCCACGAATAGCCCAACTTCTGATTGTAGGATTATGAATAACACTAATATGCAATATCCGATACCTCGGAGTAAAGGCACTGAACGAAAGAAATGCAAGGCGAATGTTTGCGAATAACTCGCCATGGTCATTATCTTCATCAAAAAAGGCATTTCAATACAAAATAATACAAAAGTATGCGCTACCATTGTAGCACCAGTTCCGTACTTAACAAAATTATTACCCAAGTGGCTTACTTGAATCAAATTACATTCATGGATGAATAACATGATTGCGAATTCAAGTGGAGTGAAACGTATGTCTACTTGTTTCGATGATCCATGCTAACAAATATTTGCAAATAATAAATTTTATAAATTTTAGCTAAGTATAAATACCGCTAGCAATATTTGTAGATAAGCCCAAATTCTTTGATAAGCATCTTTTCCAATAGATATTTTATATTCCCGCCGAGTAAGAAATTTAGTCGAATCAAAATCCATTTCTTCTTCAAAGAAAGTAATGGTGAAATCATTCATACTGCTACGACGCAACGCAGCTTTATTTGGCTCATTAAAATTGAATTGATACGATTTCCGACCGATTGCAACGGTGGCTTTGGCTTTCCTCAGCGCTATTTTACTATCACTGTCATTGGATAACCACCAATCATGTAAAATTTGAAATTCTAGACTTGCATCAGTTCGATATTGCTTGGGTGTTTCATCAGGATACTCCGGATCAAAATATGTAGGTCTTGTTTCTTGTTCGGTTAAATGATCCCAAGGATCAATCTCTACTTCTTCCAAAGATGAAAGTTCTTCAATTTCTTCTAATTCTGCTGATTGTTGACTAAGTCTATGTTTTGCCTTCACAATTGATCGTCTAGTTACACCGGAAAACAGAGACGTTCTTGGGACTGCTGCAAGTTCTTCAATTTCGGTGTAGTCTATTATCCGGGCTACTGTTTCTAATAAATCAACGTTTAAAAGCGTGTTTTGTGCCAATTTATCACGCATTTTTCTTGGTTGTAATTTGCGAGCAATTTGATACTGAGAAGTTCTTGGGATGATTTTTTTAACTTCATCTTGGAATCTGACTGTTGTGGTTTCTTCAATGAATTTAGCCTCTGCATCACTTTCTCTATCATCATTTGCTATAGGAACAGAGACTTCTTTAGTGCCTCTTTTTTCTTTGCGAAATGGGATTGAATCACGAACTGCTCTTTTAGCTAATTTACCCATTTTTACGTATATTATGACATTTCGTCACTTCACTTTCATATGACATATGACTCACGTAGTTCAAACATGAACGTTTCACCTCTGTTTAGCACTTGAAATTTTGCTTTTATTTTGACTTGGTTTTCAGCCATTTTTGCAAATAATTTTGATTTTCGTAAACATTTGTGACGACACTCGATTGATTTATAATTACTGTGCAGATCTCTTGCGTAAATATAAAACTTTCGGGTTTTTGCCAGGTTTTTATCGAATGGCAGCCAATCCGCATCAGGACGACTTGTAATAATTACTCTTTGCTAAAACAATCTTAATACATAAAATATTACTACAAATTTACCCGTAATACTTACTTGTTTTAATAAAAGTTTCCATTGACGTTTAAAAAAGAATGCTAATAATAGGACACTAATCAATAGAAAAAATGGTAAAGTATAAACTGCTTCGGAAGTTTTATTACTTTCATGGAATTGCCAGGCTTCATCATAGATCAAATACGGTGTTAACAACTGAAAAATTTAATAATTATTTCTAAATTATTTTAAAGATAGTTTTACTTACAAGACTAAAATATGCCACCACATTTAACCAGATTCTCCAATATCGACTTGGTTTTCTTTTGTACGACAGAAAGAAATCATCTCTAAATCTCTCCCAGGTGTATAAAAATTTCAACGCTATTAAGAATATTGTCCATGCAAATAATGATCCTTTTAAAGTTATAAATCTTTCAAGGAAATTTAATGCCGTAAGACCAGTATGTATTCCTATAGCTTTCAATCCTTGCAAAAATAATAACGTACTACAAACGGCTAATGTGGTTGCAAAAGGTATTTTTAGTAATTTTGGAAAGCCTTGAAACAACGATTCTATACTCGCTTGCACATTGAAAACATTAAACGCGTGTACGCTGAACATAATACTCGAGATCCAAACACTCATAATCATATACCCAAATTCATATCGCAAAAAATACTCCGGAACCATTATCAATATGGCTTCGGTTGCAGTGATGACGAAACATTTTGTTTCAATTTTGTATGTGGTTATGGCACTCAAGCAGGTCGCTTGTAAGATGAGCCCACCGAATAAGACTATCACCATTTTTACAGTCATCACCCACATGACAGCAACTTCTGGATCCATAGTTCTTGGTTTCATAACACTTACCCATGCTAAATACGGCAGGTTTTGGAATTTTGCAGCTTTTGATAGTAAATTGATCATAAGTTGTGGTTTGAAGAATTTCTGTATTGGATACCAGTTATAATGAACATTTTGCCAACATCTATTGGTGGCCAGAATCCACATTCCCATTAGTGATATTGGAATCATATTGTACACTTGTAGGTAGATGTAGAATCCTTTTGTTTGCTGGAAGCCAATCATCACAGCCACAAATACTAAAATCCAAGAAACAGCAGAAGCAGATAACCTCCATCCAAAATCTTCTACACTTAATTTATAGTACATATACTGCGTTGAAAACATTTTGTATCCATTGAAAGTGACGTGAGGCTCTTCACAACCCGAGTTGTGCGTTTGGTTGGTATGGGATGGAATGCAAAACTGTGTTTCTAGTTCATTATTGAATGTGCAGGTCATCCAATTGCCTCTATCTATCGCTGAATAGAGATTAAGGTAGCATATGTTTTCTAAATTGATGCTATGTTTGCCCATTTCAAAGATATAGACAACAAAAATACCAAACGCCAGTCCTTTGATGATTGGCATTGCTTTGAATATTTTGAAGTTCATAAACTTGGAATAACTGCACAATCCTACGATGAACATCATCATTGGGGCATCCAGACACACCACTTGTAAGAGTTTTAAAAGGATACCTATCACAGGTCCTAATTCTAAAACTGCATCTATTTCATTCTGCATCTGGAAGACGTTGATCTCGTTGAAGAGAAGCATCATGATAAATTCGAAGTCTTTTAGATACATCACTTTTTTAGGTCCGTAACGGATGAACTTCAGAATAGCTGATATTAACTTATGTCGAAATTTAATTCTCCGATCCTCTAGGGTACCAAAAAAGTTCACTTTTGTAATGCGGCTCATTTCATCCATGCGTATTTTTCGTAAGTTTCCATTCGCTAACTCTTTCATTTCCAGTTGAGCAGCTATTAAATTCACGGGCATGTCGATGATTGTTTTCCTGACTTGACACTTTCTGCGCTTGACCGCCGCTGTAACGAGGATGTCAGCAGTGAGAGAAAACTCGGATATGTTTTCTGCCGTATCCACCATGGATGAGGTAATCGAGCGGGTTGAGGATGCCACGTTACGATTATTTAATTGTTTAGTCAACCACTGCTCCACGAAACCCTGTTCCTGTGACATCAAATGGCTTGAAACATGTTCATAAAATGATTTATCTTTCTGAGCTATGCCTTGGGCAATATCAATATCAGTAAAATCCTCTATGTCGTCTAGATCGTATTCTAGATCATCGTTAAGCGAAGACCTAGTAGCTGATTCATTTTGAACAAGCTGCTGGGCGACTTCTTTTAGCACATTGCGAAATTGTGACTCCCGCTTCTTTTTCGCGAGAAGTTTTTTTTCCTCCCGAGTTATGGGAGCGCTTTCTTCTTCAGATTCTTGTATTTGTTTTTCTGGTTTCTGAAATAGATCACTTTTTGATTTATGTAAGGATGCTGCTGTTCTCTTTGTAGATTTTTCTTTTTGGGGTTTCTCAATCTTCTTTTCAGGCGCTTTTGGAGATTCCATTTTAATTTCTGTACGTTTTTTTGGGACGTACTGAAAGGGTTCTTCGCTAATTCCTTCTTTTTGAATATCCCATTGTATGGCATGCTTCATTTTCTTCTGTGGTATGAGTGAGTCAGACTTTTCCGAAATAGTCATACCGTGATGCCAACTGGAATATCGTCGAAGTATGCTTTCTTTAGAGCTTGACTTTAATTTTGGCTGGAGCAAATCGGCGTCACTGTCGGAAAGAATATCTTCTAAACGTGATGGAATTTTAGGTGTCGGGATTTGTTTACTTTCTCCGGGTGATGAGCCGTCTAAAGCTGCTGAAGTGGGTAGTTTAAATTGTACCATTGATGCTAATCTAGCTCTACCCGGTTTTGTCGATCCAGTAATGTTGCTTGTTTTCAATGTTGTCTTTCTATGTTTTGATTCAGGACGTAATGCAAGTTCTTCTCCAACCTTTGAGTGCGATTTTAATATGCTTTTGGTTCTTTGACGAGGTAGAGAAGCATCTTTCACATTTAAAGAACGACCTTCATCTTTTACATCTTTTACGTCATTTGGCGAAGGAACATTATTATGAGGAGACTGGTCTTTTGTATCTGATTGGAATACCATTAACTTCCGCTGATACAAAAGTTTCACCTCAGGTTCTTCTAATATGGAATCATCAACGAGGCTATCAGTATCTATTGAAGTGCATTCAAGATCTTCAGCCTGTGCAACACCAGTAAAATTGCAGTTAGTTGAGATGGATATTGATGAGCTAATGTTTAAATTTTCTAATGATATTTGGGTGGATACATCTTCGAGAATTTCAGGTACAATTACGGCCGTAGCTAATTCACAGGATTCTATTGAAGAAACGTCTTGGGATGTGTCTTTACTCTCCAATTGGTACATGTCTTGAAGTCTTGCTTCATCAAAAAATGAATCACTGAAGTCACTAGCGAATTCTTTTTCTTTAGCATATTTTTTACTATCATCTTCAGTTCGGGAAGAAAAAACTGTTTTTAATTTGCGTATATAATTCATGATTTTATATTTGACATTAAGCAATTTTTTGACATAACATTTATAATATAATAAGCGTAAATGTTTATTTATGGCATTATGAAATTGAGAATTTTTGATTATGGTATTAAAGCTTTTTTAAATTTTGGTGTTTTTGATTTTTAAAATCTAAAAACGATGGTTGAAGTTGAGGAAAGCTCCGTAGTTGGGCCTGCCGGTTCCCAAGGGTCCACCAAAGTGACGATCGTAGTTTCCGGAAACAGATCCAGTGGTGCGACCATCACGAGAGTTGAAAAAATTGTACCTGGCTTGTGCACCCACATCAGTGCCCCATCCTGGTGTATGAGTGGCAGAGACAGAAGCACCACTGTTGGTACGTTTGTGCAAATAGTCTAAACCACCACCGGTTGACAAAGGTCCACCGAATTGTTTGCTGATGGTACCAGTTCCGTCCACACGATGGGCGTTGTTCTCGAAAATTTTACCGGTGTGAGAAATGTCAAAACCTTTGTTGTCGATTCCACCAGACGTTGTTTGTCTTCGGCTACGGACCAGAATGGATTCTTGTTGTTCTTGATCTTCAATTGGTTCCAGGTAATACTGTTGTCCACTAGTGGGATCCAATACAATGGCCAAATCTTCCGATTGGATATTAGTTGGGTACCCTAGGGCAACTACCAAGATGGCGGCGAAGATGAAAAGTTGCTTAACCATGTTGAACTTGGTGTTTTCAAACTCTGAGAAGTGTTTGATTGAACTGCTCGTGTTAAACTGATGATTTTACAAGAGATCGTTTTGCATTATATACTAACTTGGTCTCTTTATTGGCGGTTGTGTGAAGTACAATTCTGAGTGTTATCTGAAACGAAATGTATAATTTGTGATTTGTCAGCTGTGAATTCCCTAAACGAAAATCCCCAGTAGCACGTTCGGCAAGTAAAAAAATATGCGACCGCGCATAAACTTTTTGGTATCGCTGAGTTTATTGCTGAACATAATTATAAATGAATCAACATGCTGAGCACGCGATTAGTTTGGAATTGGGCGGGAATTACTACGGTTGACGAGACATTCAGTCGCGAATAGTTAACAAACTGTCGTTGTCATTACGGGAGCATAGTTTATCGCTAACAAGTACATTTTAAAGATTAGTTTAAAATAGAATACAAGTATATCTTTCGAATATTGCCAAATATTATCGTTTCGGGGCATTAAATAATTAAGTTCTAAATTTAATACGGGGCCTTTTTGGGGTCATAAATTTTATCTTTACAAGTCCAAGAACGAATAATTAATTATTCTAAGGTATTCTGAAATGTATGAAAAGTAAAATATTTTTTTATTTTATTTGTCTAAAATATAAAATATTGTAAAAAATTTCTTGGAATTAATCACGTATTAGGTATTATAAATTATTATATATATATTTATATAAAATTTTTCATTTTCGTAGATAAAATCAAGGGGTGGGGTCTCTAAGGCCAATTGCAAAATAAATAAGTTATAATATAAATAAATGTAGGTTTGCTCTACTTATTATAGATAAAATAACTTTTTATAAATAGTTTATTTGCCTTCTAGTAATCCACGAATCTATATTTCCTATGAACATACTCGTATATTTATTTACAAATATTATTTTAGTTTTAGTTTTCATAGAAATCAAAATATTTACGAAAATATCTGTTTTAGTTTATCATCAATTATATATTTAATAGGAAATTTTTAAGACAAAATATGGCTACATAAATTTATAATAAATACGATGGCATATTAGAAACAGAATATAAACTAATTAAAGCTTTAGCAATTTGACAATGTTCAAAAAAGTAGTTTAATAATCTAGAATCGATGGTTGAAGTTCAAGAAAGCTCCGTAGTTGGGCCTGCCGGTTCCCAAAGGTCCACCAAAATGACGATCGTAGTTTCCGGAAACGGATCCAGTAGTGCGACCATCACGAGAGTTGAAAAAGTTGTATTTGGCTTGAGCTCCAACATCAGTACCCCATCCTGGTGTGTGAGTTGCAGAAACGGACGCACCACTGTTGGTTCGTTTGTGCAAATAGTCCACAGACCCACCGGTTGAGAAAGGTCCGCCAAATTGCTTGCTAAGAGTACCAGTACCGTCCACACGATGGGCATTGTTCTCGAAAATTTTACCAGTATGAGAAATGTCAAAACCTTTGTTGTCGATTCCACCAGACGTTGTTTGTCTTCGGCTGCGGACCAGAATTGATTCTTGTTGTGGTTCTTCAATTGGTACCAGGTAATACTGTTGTCCACTAGCGGAATCCAATACAATGGCCAGATCTTCTGATTGGATATTAGTTGGGTAACCTAAGGTTACTGCCAAGATGGCGGCGATGATGAAAAGTTGTTTAACCATGTTGATTTAGGTGTTTTCAAACTTTGAGAGGTGTTTGAATAAACTGCTGCAGTTGAACTGATGCTTTGACAAGGGAGCACTTGACATTATATACCTATTCAGTTTCAATAATCTGTGGGGATGTAAAGTACCTTCTTTTGCTAGTTAACTCTTATCGAGAATCATGTAATTTGTAAATTCCATGCTATAAACGAAAATTAACGATCATTTCATTCCATAATCTTGTTTTTATTAACGTAATTATAAATAACCCACAACACAACTCACGCGAACTCTGTGAATGGCGATTAATCATTCACCAGAGTGGGAATCACAACACAACTCTCGAAATATGCTCTCCTCGCAGACATCTCTTATCTTAAAACATACAAAACTAATTTTGGCACATTAATCTTAATTTATTTCAATGCCAAAACTAATTTTAACTACGATTACAGCGTAATTAATTCTCTGTCGACTACTTGAAATACACTTTTACTTTTCTTCAGTTTTGTTCATGTGGGATTAATGATAATTTCTTGTAAATTTTCTTGCAATCAACATTTACTAACTGGACTTGCAAGTTCCAGTTCCACCTCAATTATGACTCATTTTAAATGATAGCGAATGTTAAACGCGTTCACAAAGTGCATGAACTGAACAATTCATCAACATTCACGCCAACAAAGAAAATCGTTGTGCCTCGCACTTGTTGCAACATCTAGCTTATAGCATAATCTCGCAGGAATTTGCGTGCAATGTGCATTTACTTAGCAGTTTAAATGTGAGATGCAAGCGGAGATCATTAGATAGTCTGGTTGGGAGCAGCAAGAAATCAAGGTTGTTTGCGTTTGGTAATAAATTGAAACTTTTTCCTGTAGGAAGAAAACGAGTCTTATTTCAAACTGTCGCTTAAGGCAACTATTGCATTTATAAATTCATGTCAAGTTCAAAAACGATGATTTTATTTTAGAATTGTTTGAGCGTTTGTAAAGTTGGTTGCCTATAGTCAATTCAAACTTTACATTTTAGTAGTATATTGAGGGTATAGCGTACAGTAAGTGTTTACTTAACTTTACTCAACATTTTATAATCTTTATAAAAATTGTTAGAAGTTGTACAAAACTAAAATAAAACATCATATAATTTGCTAAAAAGTGTTTTTACGGTAACAATTTTAATTACATATATATTTCATTTATTTTCTTGCACTAAAAGTAATGTCGGAATGAAAAAAGAACAACACCCGACTAGACTAGAGGAATTTTAATTTAATAACGCGAATGTGAACAATGCGCCGAGGCACGAAGCAACAAAGCAAACAGAAGTCGTTGCGGCGATGCGTTGCGGCGCGACATACGAACCGCCTCCGCTTCACCGCCGCCACATATCGTATGCTGGAGGGCCGGAATGCGGCGGCATGTGGCGGCATGTGTTGTCGACGCCCGCTGCGGGAGCAAAAATGCACACGGGGTGGACGACGAGTGTGTTTGCACACGAATACACGAGATACTCGTACACGAGTTTCAATTTAGAAAAGGGGACGTTTTCCTAGTTTTTCCTGCGGGAGAACATACATTGCACGTATTAGTATCATGTTGGGAACGCAAATTTTGATTTTTTTCATCATACGTTTACGATCAAAGGAATATTACTGGTATTTATTTACGATTAATTCAAATATAATATTCAGTCAAGTGAAACATAGAAATTTTCATCTAGGTGAATGCAAGTACGTTTCCGGGGTGTAATATCCTCGGGGTTTTCGAGATTTGACATTGCGATGACCCGTAGGCGCTTTTAGGCGGTACAATTGATTTCCGCTATGGGGAACGATGCAAACTTTGCACCCCTTATACTAAATAGATGCACAAGACATTCGGGTGTGGAATCTAATGTTCCCGAACTGTTAAATCATTTCTGCGACCACATCCGGGAAGGGTCTTGATGATATTTTAAACGTCTTCCAATGCCTGCAATGTCTCACGGCTTTAACTCTCTCTCGAGGGGTGCGAATTTATGATTTCTTTATGCATCTGCATTCGTGGAAATCTACGCGAATGTAATATGCAGTCTTTTTTCGGTTTCCTTGATGGAAGAAAGACACATCTAAACGAGTCCAAAGACTCGTAAAAGATTTCATCTTGTGGAAAACCGGCAAACTGAAAGTGTAGGGAATGGGTCTGGAGTTGAGTCTCAAGTAGCTCGGGTTCACGAGATAATTTAATTTTTAAATTAGAATCGTGCACCCAGAGAACTCCAAAGGACAATTTTGTGAGGGTGTTGCAAGGTGGTGGTGGTTGGACAATTGCAGCCATCCCTAGGTATTCCACATCGTTAGGTCCCTTTTTTCTGCTCTTCCTTGCGCACAAAAAATGAAATCGCCCTCGGAAGGATCTAACCCGTACTCTTTAAGAATGCATTCAATTCAGGAGATGCACTTCTAAATTATTTAATTCTCAAGGGTAAAAACTGACCCTTAACATTTAACATTTGACCAGAACCCAGGTAGAAAAAAATGTTTAACATGGTTTTTCTAATAAGTATTTAATAAGATATGATTTGGAAATTGAGATTGTGAAAGATGAGTAAATCATTCCGACACCGAGGGTTGTGAAGCTGGACGTCTCTGATTTCTTAATTACGTTTCTCTAGTGGAAAATAAATTATTTTTAATACGGCGATCTTCTTTGGCCGGTTGCAAGCACCCTTGCTATATTCAATCTTAGGGATGTGCCTTTTGTGTAAATGACGAGTCGTGCACCCTTCGTACGCATCCAAGCACGAGGGAAAGGAATAGAAGTGCATCTTATGAGACCTTTTCGTCCAGCATCCGCCTGCAAAAGATTTATATCAGCAGATTTTTTCCTTTGTGAGTTTTGCACCCTTATAGATCCACAGTTAGTAAAAGGTAAAGATTTTTACTCCCTCGCCAGATTTTATATAGTTTATAATTATAAATTAATAATTTATGTTTTTGTGCGCTTAAAAATTACAATACTAATGGGCTTTGGTAGTCCGCTAATGGTTTATGACCCTCTCAAAGCAGTTTACTGCTAAACAAAACAATATCACGTAATATTTCGCCATGTCCCGGTATGGCGGTTATGGGCCGTGATCATTAGGCGCTCCGAAAGGGTTCGCCTTAATTGCAGGCTGCGGCTTTTTAAGCGTGCGAAGTTTGCGCCCCAGACCGCCCCCGCTTGCGGCTTATAAAGCACGCGGTTTTATCTCGTCCGAGCGTGACCAAGAAAACCAATGACATGTTTATTTAACGACGTCCCTGGCGTCGTGGTCACGTTTCGAGAATCAATTTGTTCGCCTGCGCACCCCTGCGACTCGAAAGTCACGAGTGATACTTCACGACCTGAGTCTACTGACACATGTGTCGTTCGGCCATTTTTATTCCTAGCAAGGAGAGAAACCTCCTTTGTTAATGTTCCATCCATCCATTTTATATAGCGTGGATCTAGTACAGGGAAGAGACCGCAGGGCGATTTATTTACTAAAAGTATCTTGTTTTCCAAAGCGTGTTTTTTAGTTATTTTAGTGCTTCGATGCGTTCCGCTAGAGCAAACACCCTTTTTCTTCGCCTGGGCGTAGGGTGCAATACACGCACCAACCATATTCTATTAGGCAAAGTTTTTCGCTACGCAGGCAATAAATTCACACATCCGGAAAGCGCCCAAGCAGGAAAAACCACGAAAAAAGGGAAAATTTTCTATACCTTTGATGGGATGTTATATTTTACGGTTTACAGAACGAGAAATCAATTTATTTTTAGGGGATGCTTTAAATTAAAAACAACATTTTACCTGCTTGGGACCAGACGTAGAGAAAATTGAATGATTCCACGTGGGACCTTCAGAGGACGAAATAGACATCAACATTTTGAAACTCGATTTCGGTATGCACGCATGCATGAAGAAGACGAGATGGAGGAAATCAAGGTTGAATTTGTTTTCGAAATTTAAGTCACGCACAACTCGAATGTAATATTCGCCGGATATTAAAATATTTTATTTCAAATATTGGGAATTACATGTTTTCTTTATTTGAACAGATAACAGAGTAAACTTTTTCTGATACACAGCTACTTCCTGTATTAGCTCTGCTGTCTTTTTGTTTGTCTTGGACTTGTAACGCGGTAGAAAGTGTAGACACGCGGAAGAACAAACAATCGCAAATGCAAACGTTGTGCCGCGAATGGAAGAAAAATATTCACAGCACGAGATTTTCTGAAAATGCAAGAGTCGAAAAGTTAAATTTTAGGGTGCATAGTAACATGTATACTTTTATCATCTTGCACAAGTGCAAAGAAGGGTGAGAGTGTACATTGTAAGTTATTCAGAAAAATCTCAGGGGATGTGTAGAATTGTAGGTGGTGAGCATGGAAGCAGAAACAGTGTTTGCACATGTGTACGATTCAATAGAACATCAGTGCAACAGCTTGTTACACTTTACAATCGATGATTCGATGAATAATTTTACAAATTTATTATAGCACTCATATGTAGGTACATCAAAAGAACATGAACTAATTTTAGTTGACAGTTGAAGTAATAAAATTTCATGCGGGCATCACTAAATTGAATTATTTTCAATTATTTAAGACTTTGAAGGTTAAATTAAGTTATTATGTTATTAAATGACAGCTTATTTCTTTCTCTCACTTTTCATATTGGTGTTATTTTATTATTAATTAGTAATGACAGGTGGCACAGGTTGTACACTTCCGTTTACCATAAAAGCAAACTAAAAACACGTTCGGCGTCGTGTGTCTGCATTCCATCCAATAATTTATGACCACGCTGCGATCGGAAGTGACACTGACCAACACCTTACTTTAATAACAAATTTATAATGCACATATGTCTCAACTTGCAGTTGAAATTCACACTACTTGAACAAAGTCATCCAGAATAAGATAGTTAATATGTCAGTGCAGTTATACCGGTTGACATCACGTTGACATTGTGATACGATATGCACTTCATTTTCTGCTCGTGCAATGTATGCATTACACATTATACCTTCCTAGTTGTCTGCGCGCGGAGTAGTCGGAGTAGTTTTATTAAACCCACCACACATGGTCACACTGCGTTATTCTGTCTGAGTTGTCGGAGGCTATGTTATGTGATGCGGAAAGTATATGCAACACACATTACTCCCCGAAGGTTTCGTTGCGTGTGAGGCGACCCTTATGTTTGCGCACAGAGCGCACATGCCTGCATATGCGTGCATTCTGCTTACTTCGTCGCTGGTTAGAGTTGATAGTTATGTGTTTATTTCGTTTTGTACACACTTTGCATGCGTTTCATTGCGTTCGGTTTTCTGACGAGCTGCAGTAGCAATCGGCGAGTCACGCGATTACATTCATTCGGGTGACATAAAACCATCCAACTTAAACATAGTAAAAGTGAAATTCAAATTTAACAAGTCCCCAAAATTATAATTAATAATTAAATATAATCAGTTTATTAATAGACTTGTGCAAATTTCATAAACAAAGTGATGATACGCATACGCCGCGCTGAATTTCAAACAAATCATCAAACTTTCGCCTGAATAAACAAACGCCATGGTAAACATTAAATTTTCACGAGTTCACGAGTCAAGTCATCGTTCGGTTTGTTGCGCTTTGCTTGCATTTTCGTTCCGTTCCAAAAGCTTCAACGGTTCCGTGCCATCGGTTTTAATCGTGCTAACAACATTCTGACTATCAAAATCACCATTCAGCCACAGCATGTAGTCGATCATTGCTATTGCTTTGTTTCTTTGTGTAGCACTTTGTTTATAGAGTGTTATTAACGTATAAAATTGTGCAATTATAAATTTACTAAATTGCAGTAATGGTCGCGTTGCGGACAATTGTGTATATAAGTAAGTGCACTTCAATTGCACACGAAATAAATTGATATAAATTATAAATTAATTGAGTGCGCGTAGGGTTATTAACATTTATTCACTGCAAAACTCAAACTTGTGTTGATAAACAGATTAAAATCAACATCAAACTGATTAGATTATGAAATAAAAATAGTGAAACGAGTGAAATAATAATTTATTTTAACTGATTAAATGCAAATCCACGTGTGTTATGATTTTTCGCTAATGTTTGTATTGCGTGTGAATTCATGTGTCACAAATTCACATCCATAGCTCGTGGCGCGATTGCATTGTGTCGCAGTTGCTTACCTGCCGGCGGTTATTGCACTCGTTGTACTTAGACCTAAGCAGTCGCAGTCGGATTCGCCGAGGAAATCGATTAAATGACTCATTTTCGAGCGCATATATTACACACACCGTTGTGCCTTCATTAGCAGCGGACGCGAATGGTAGGAAGGTTCCGGGCGCTCTACCCTCACCACGTCTGCGACTGCGATTGTGACTGCGAACGGCTTCAACTGGTAAAGTGAAGTTGATTCCAAAGTCGACGCGACCAAAGACAACATCTAAATAATTACTTTACAGTGACAAAAAGTTTATCATATAGAGTTATGTAGTTGATGCACTACTTAGGTATGTCATAGACTATTGTTGATAAAATAATTGTGTTTAAAACGAATGCCACGTGGAAATCAGTGTGAGTGCGACTGAGACTACGACATGCGCCTAGTTATTGCCTATTGCGGCTGGGCAACGAATGGAGGCACGAGATTGTGTTATCTAATAAAAGCGCAAACACAATGCGAGCATTGCGACTATGCGACAATAGACACACTGACAAACACGATTAGGAACGTATGATTCTCAGCGTAGGCTCTCAGCCGCAATCGTTTTCCAAGTCGCGACGCGTAAACAACTAGTGCAGTGTGCGCATCGCAACGCATCGATAACGACCGCCATCATGACTTAAGCCACATTTTAAAACCAAATATTCTCAATATGACTAAGTAAATAAAATAAAATAATAAAAATAATAACCTCTACAACAATGGCTATGGCAGAAATTCATAGTCATACTAATCTCAAGGATAAAATCCGCTTCTTTGACAACATAATCCAACATGAACGCAATGAAGACCGTCAGAGTTTAATTTCAAGTGTAAAAATTCGCCCGCAAGTCAAACCAAAACCAAAATTCGTACCGCGACCACAAAGTGTTAATGTGACTGAAGTGCGACAACCATTTCAAGTTCATTTGAGTGTCAAACCTCCACCTGTGTCACGTTCACGTTCGCTGCATCATACAACGGAGGAAAACATGAAACGCAAAGCAAGTTTAGATCAAAGTGCACGCACACATGCGATACCAATACAAAAATCCAAAAGCGCCATTGTTTTGGATGAATATCTCGCAGAAAGCGGTGTGAAATTAAAACAAGATATTGAGGATATTGTTAAGAAGTTTACGAAAGATCTGGATGACCTTCGGCATGTCGATCGCTGTGATAAAGACGATATGCAAGCGAAAATTAGTGAGAATATTAACAAATCGGATATTATTCCATATCATTCTGTGGATATTGTGTGCGCGAGTGTTTTAACACCAAGTTTTCCTAAAGAAGAGAATGTGCTTGGACATTCTTCGTGCAGTGATGGCAAAAAACAATTAAAAGGAAATTATTGTCGTGTTAAACGACGTAAAAAAAGTAAAAGGTAAAAAATTACGCGTAGGAAATATTTTCGCACTTAGTTAGCATAAATTCATGCGTAGTGTGCAATTTAATTGTCAGCATCGCCAACAATTTGTGCATACAATAAAGGAATATTGTGAATGACATTGCGGAGTGTCGATTGTCGTTAATTTCGTTAAGTTATTCCGCGCCGGAATGCGGTATGTCAATTGTCGCAATAAAACACGCTTATAAACGAGCTAAAGTGTAATAAAACCGGGCGCGCGTAATGAACATTTCATTATGCGTTCGTTTAAGTTGATAACTTCATTTGCGTCGAGGCAACAACCGTTGCAGCAGCCGCAGCTGAATGTTTATTAATCTGATAATAAATGATTTGCGATGGCAAAGAAAACTATAACGACACAATAAAGCTGTGTGTTTCACGGAATGCTTAAGTCGTGCTTTTTAATTGATTGACCTGATTCAGATTAAAGTCATGTAATAAAATCTTATCAACATTTTTTTATCGGATTTAATATTTGTTTTATTTACTCAATATAGAAATATGAATCATATTGGTACACAATTTTTATTTGGGTAATAGTGTGTGAAATAAATTGATAAAACTCCATGAAATTGATTTAAAAACATAAATTAATTAGATTCCAATCAATTTGTGTTGTTTTATTTAAATTTACATTAATCAATTCTATTTATTAACTTCTTACATTTTGTTTTACATTTCAATTCAGAGAATATTATCTAGACAACTTAATTAAGTGAATTTAATTAATTAAACATTTACGTTACTCTGAACTAATTAAATTTTATTATTGTTACAGGTAAGCTTCAAGCCTCATCAATCATTTCTAAGAAGTTTCCATCGTCAAATTCGTAAATATTCAAAAGTTAATTTAATCATCTAGTAATTTATTTAACATAAAGTTTATGCGCAAAATGTTATCTCAAGACATCACGGTATAATTTAGTTAAATTCACTCGAAATCTCTTGAACTCGTCGGAGTCCACTCACAATTTTTGGCGCAGAGTTGGAAAATTGAAAACCCAGTCCACTTAAATTTCGACTTCGTGCTCGAGCACAAATTGCAGGAAAAGCTTGAAGAGAAAGCGACTGCGTTTAGATTTAAGGAGATATTGAAGGGCACGAGAGCGCGTCTAGGAAAATGAAAGCAAATTATCCGGCAGAAAGCGAGCTGGATATTAAACGTCCGCTTTATATTAAATATGAATCATTGCCGAAGAGCGCGCTCATAATAAACGGATTAAAATATTTTTCCGAGGGGAAATAACGTGAAATGTTTATGAGTCATAAAGTACATCTTTGCAATCACGAGTGGTACTTAAAAATTTGATGTAAAGTAATAAATTCCATCAGAGAAATCGTTTTTTAAAGATTTTTTCGAATATTTTGACACTCTTAAAATACAAAACATGATTAATCGATGCAAGCAATACTGCTGAATATAGAACTTATTAGAAAGTTATAAAGACACCTAAAGCTTTATGTTAAAACTTTTTTGTGTGAAACTTTGCATCATTTTTTAAGCTTAACGCTTCATTTCTGCATCGATCTTGATTCCTGCAGTCTATTAGAGGTTTCATCACCCCTCATCATCAACGCGGGCGTGTTTTGATGATGTTCTTTATTTTGTCCCTTTTTGCTGTTCCTCGGGAGGAGCGATCTCATTAAAACCGATTAGGTGCTGAATTGCCGCACAGTTTGATCCGCGCAATTGCTATCGTTATGAAAATGCTAATTTTCCGACGAGTAAATTGGGATAGATATTTTCGGGGTAGATGTTTGAGGATGTGTGGCAAGTGGTGATATTTAGCCCTTTTAGGGACCCTTTTAGTAAAGTGTTTTGTACAAGGTGCATATTTGAGTATTCTGTTAGCGATGTGGTGAAATGTGGCGGTGTCGTTACAACATGCAACACATGCGTGGACGACGAAGGGTGAAAAGACAAAAGGACCACCAAGAGGGAGTTTGTAAATGACCTTGGAGAACATCACAGATGCATTGGAAATTTCAAAAATTTCCTCCTTGCATACAAAACAAAAACCGGTTTTCGGTTGTTTTTGCTTTAACTTTTCACATTTCACGTTATGTTTATTCGTGTGGGGAATGAATGGAACAAATGTACGCGTAACAAAATGGAATAAACTGGAAATCTTGAAATAATGACATTTCGGCGTAATGGCTCTAGCATTTGCTCAGCCTTTAGGCAATTCGAGCATTTTTCGCCATCTTCACGGTGCTCTTTGCGGTTGTTTATGGTTTATGGTCGGTAGTTTTAGCCCCCTTTTTGCAAATCCGACGGCTGGGGAGACGCGCCGCGTCGATTCGGTTCGAAATTCGTGCATCATATCGTAAACGGCATGAACACCCTCGACGACCCGAGATAATGCAATCGTCTGACGTTCTAACATTCCATCCACCTTTCTTGCAACATTCCACTCAGGCGTGCATCTATTTCATTTCGCTTTGCGTAAATTTCTAGTATTGCAATAGGGGAACGCGCAAATCGACCTTTAAACGTGTCAGAAAAAATAAACCCAAAAGGTTTCGCACTAAATAATGTTTTATTAAATTTTCACAAACGCTTGAACATTTTTATGAATATTATTATCTTATATTGGTAGTACATTTAGTAAATCAAGCGTAACGTGTAAATTTTTGATGCAACATTGATAAATTACACAATTAGCTGCTAATATTGTATTAGATTTCCCCCCTTTGTGAATAATTTATGATTATTATTATGAAATTGATACTTAACAAATTTCGAAGCGTTGTGGTGCGCTCAGGTGTGCGCGTTCGGTTTTATCACCCGACATACATAATCCTAGAGCGTTCATTATATTAATTACAAATCACGATCGTGCTCGACATTCTCACGTTCCCCATCCGAGGCACTTACATTCACCGCGGCGAATGATTAATATCGAACGGTTCGACTAATAGCTGCAGACATTGATGAATATCGACGCGTGGTAATAGTAATAGTAATCTTACTACCCTTAGAGTGTGATCACATGGTCATTTTGTAGCTTTCACGATAATTATTTTGTTTTTTTTATTGTTATTCAATGTTTCGAACATGAAAATGAAAGTGGATGTGAGGAAGAGTGCATCCTTGAATTCGGGTGTGATATTTCATCGCGTCCCCCATGAATTATTTTCAATGGCGGGTAGAGCAAGGCAAGCAACGCAACACCGAGCGAAATATCATATTAATGTGGGGTTTTTGGTAGCGAGCAAGCAAGGACGAGGATGTTATGTCAACAGATTCCTCTTGGGGCGGATTAATCTATGCTCTTGTCGCGTTTGGACATTTTGGGGATAGTTATACATTTGAACATCACTATAATACACATTATGTTTGATTTTGGAACATAAATTATTATAAAAAGGATAATTTTATTATATTTTGGGATTTTTAAAAATTTTAACTGGAAATATACCTAATATAAATATTTTTTGCCAAGAAAATGTAAAAATGTGGCGAAGAACATAATAAGCAGCAATGCGAAACAAATAAATCACCTCGAGCTACATATTTACGATGTGTATAATACGCATAAATTTAATTCATATTTTTCAGGATTAAGGAAACATAAAACACAAAAATTTAACGAAAATACTCGGTTTTCTAAAAAGAAAATATGACAAACCTCAACAATAGAAGGAAGTATCCGTCCAAATAATTTCCCCTTTGTTACACTTTTATTATAAACCTTATCCTTCCGAGCTGCAAGTGTAAACTGTTATTCTATACCCGTGCTGATCTCGAGCAAACGCGAAATGAATCTCTTTTTGATTGTCTTGCATTATGCACGCTATGCGTTTTTATTCTATTTTTTTTTTCATTTCGAAGCCTCCAATCTAGCCGCTCTTCCGCGAACGAAAGAAATCCGTAATCGCACTCGTAATCGCATTCTCATTTTCATTCTCATTCTCGTCCACATTTGCCGCTGAAGTTGATATCGTACTAATGTTGCCGTTTCTGTACTGCATCAAACGATACAGTAATTTACTCACTCAAAGAAATACAAAAGGAAAAAGTTATCGGATAAAAAAGCAAATGCTGTAACAAAAGAAACGAATACCGACTGAAAAAAATGCGAATGAAAAAGAAACTGATAACAAGAATCCAAATATAAAGAAATATTGTATGAGAAAATGCGATAAAGAAAGCGAATTTGTAGGAAACACAAACAAACTCGTGGATTTTGTGTGGAAACGAAAGTTATTATCATTATGTTGGCCATTTAAACTATCTCACGATCGTTATCACTACTTGTCTGAGTAGTAATATCCCACAACACAATAAACTATTAATTACGGTTATCGTATACTAGCTTTCGTTTTTATTTTCTGGTCACCTCATTTGATAACAATGAATTTATTGCTAAACATTATATACTATGAGTTGGATAGTTGGCATGGTAAATTTTCCTTGTAATCTTTTTTGATTCCTCAAATTTTCATGATTTGGATATCATAGTTAATAGATAATTTTCCGTAGATTAATAATCTTCAATCTGTTCCTCTCTATCTCTTTTATTTTACGAGATATTCGCAATTAAAAAACTCGTAAAAATGAAAATGCGTCATTTTTTGCACTTTTAGTCACTATATCTGAACTTTTACTCAACGAAATTTATATATGTTATTATTTTGAAAAGAATTTTCCGAACTTTCATCTTCTTTTATCCGTGGGTCTCTAACGCTTTTAGAAGATAATCGCTACTAAAAATCTCAAAAAATACGATGCCGCACTCCCCTTTGCCCATTTTTCGTTATGAATTATTTTTCATCACTTTGATTTCCAATTTAATCAGCTTATGATAGATTAAACATTTTCAATCCATTCTTCTCTATCGCTTGCTTCACAATGAAAATGCATGTATATCTTATCAGTTGCATTTTTAAGACTTAAATAAACACATTGATTGATCCCTAGCATTATGTGTTTATTTTGATGACTATAGCGTGTGTGTACGAAATAGTGTGAA